GCTTCACAGAATATACTGTAAAATGAATTGACTGTGAATTTTGTGGGTGAAACGCATTAATAACGATTTTTATGAGTAGTAATTAAATTTTAAAAAATCCAAAGTTATTGCTCGGTTTCTCGTAATCTCAACAGTGTTCCTCTTGTTGTCTTCCCATCACTCTACTAGGGCGTTCCCTAACCACTCCCTGATATACCTAATCCCCCTCTAAGCCTCAGTTAGTGTGTTAATTTGCAAATTTTGCATTGCTTGCAATATTTCACTGAGGTAATTAGATATGTATTCAATTTAATCTGGATAATGAGCAGCTACGACTGTGGAATTTGGTTTTCCCTGTGGTTAGGTCCTTGCTAAAGCATTTCAGAGCTTTGATACAAGATGGAACATCACCACTTGTTTTAATTATTGGGTTTGTTGTGCAGTTTAATTAATATTTTCCTTCCCCTTTCCTAACCACGATTTGATTGTGGAGAGAAGTGTAGCGCCAGGGCAACTGGTAGTGCTACGATGTCGTTTCAAGCTACAACAACAACTTGCATTTATATGGTGCCCTTCACGGAGGGCAGGGTCTCGGGAGCGCTTAGCACTGGTGGAGCCCGACCCCCGAGCCGGGGGAGAGGGAGGAGGTGACTGTAAGCACGGTCTAAGGAGAAGATCTTTAGTCGTGATCTAAAAGAGGGGAAGGAGGGATTGGGGGTGGGGGGAGAGTTCCAAAGCTTTGGGGCGTAGTGGCTTAAAGCGCGGCCACTGACGGTGGAGCGGAGGGCTCGAGGGGCGAGCAGGAGGCCAGAGCCAGCCAAGCGGAGGCAGCGGAGGAGAGAGGAGGTCGGAAAGGTAGGGAGGTGCCAGGGGGTGAAGGGGTGTGCAGACGGGTGAGAGGATCTTAAAATTGATCTGCTCTGTGAGGGGGAGTCTGCGAGGGGGAGCCTGGCGAGGACTGATGCGATGGGGGGGGTGCGTAATTTAATGCGGGTGAATTTAACTGTTCGGGATAGATGGTGGGGGTCAATGGACTTGGAAGCAGGAAGGGAACAAATGGACAAATGATAATAAATGATAATAATCCTTGCATTTGATCCAGCGCCTTGTCACATCTTCGAGGCGTCTCAAAGCGCTTCGCGGGACGTGCTGTAAAGTGTAGTGACTGTGTGGTTTGTGGGCGAAACGCGGCGGCCAATTGCGCCCAGGGGCGTCCCCGCAAGCAGCCGTGGATCGAGTGAGTGGCCAAATTATTATTATCGTGTTTTTTTTTTTTGAATGGAGATCTTTTCATGTCCGCCCTCAACGGGGAGCAGACAATGCAATGGTTCCCCCCCCAGCACTGCGCTGGAACATTACACTGTGAGCAGCAAAGTCCTGAAGGCACAATACAGAGAGCAAGACAATACCAATGTCTTCACAGGTTGTGCACTATGGAGCCATGAGCTGTAAATATTTACACTTGGATGGTGAAAGCTTAACACGGGTTTAGAAAGTCGTTAGAGGGGGAGGGAAGCGGGTTTGACGCGTAACCAGTTCAGCCCCAAGGAGACACATTTGCATTATCCGGATCAGGCCACTGTGCCTTCTTTTGACCGCGCGGCATACGAACAGCCTTTGCATTTGATATCGTTCGATGTCGTTTGATATTAATAATAATCTAAATTAATGTGATCTATAATTATATATGGAGTCCTGTAGCTCAGTGGTTAGAGCACTCGCTTTGCAAGTGAGAGATCTGGGTTCGATTCCCGGCAGGGCGAAACCTTGGGCAAGTTTCCTTACTCCATACGCCCAATAATAATCCCTCCAAAAAAACAAAACAATAATAAATTGGTCATTTTGAATCCATGACTGTTTGTGGGACATTGCTGTGCGCAATTGGCTGCCGCGTTTGCCCACAAATATACAGTCAATTCACTTTACAGTGTACTCTGTGAAGCGCTTTGGGACGTCCTCCCGACGTGAAAAGCGCTATATCAAATGCAAGGATTATTATTATTATTATTATTATTTACAGTGTGTTCTGTGAAGCGCTTTGGGACATCCTCCCGACGTGAAAAGCGCTATATCAAATGCAAGGATTATTATTATTATTATTATATTGTTATAAATAACTGCAGCATAGAATTATAAATATGAGAAAATTAAATAATTGTATTATAATATTATAATTAATTGCAATAAGGGTGATAATCCTTCCCACCCCCCCCCCCCGCCCCCCAAAAAAATAATAATTTGATCACTCAATCCACGAGTGGGGACACTGCTGTGCGCAATTGAAGTCAAATGCAGCTGGCGCTTGAATGCAATAGTGCAACATCTCGCATGTAACTTCTGTCAAAGGTGGTGACCATTCATTTGTTGGCAAAGCAATCCTTATTTTCCAGTTGAATCGATCTGTAATGGGGTCTTCGCCTGCGTTTCTGTGGAACAACTCAGTTGTTTTTCATCAAATTTCCATTGTTATTTGATGTTTCAACGTGCGTTGTGTCCTATGTAAATACTGTATTTCTCCTCTCACAATCTGTTCATCAATGACTCCCAAACAAACTGGTTCGACTGGGTGACAAAACCCACACTTGCCTGAGTATTGGAGTGGGCCAACCAGCCCGTTGCCGGCGTTAGTTCTCCTCACAGGTCTCCACCCACTCATTACTCCCTTCCAGACACTTTTATTCCTTTTTTCCTCGTGTGAAGTTCCAGCTTCCTTTTAAACTGGGATTGAAGGTGGGTACGTTCAAACCCAATCTGTGGAAACGCTATTTCGGTGAGAGACTGGTAAATCTACGGAACAGGTTCCCTAGGGAGCCGGTGGAAGCAGGAAGTGTTGATTCATTCCAATAAAAATTAGCTGGATTTGTTTTGGAAAATAATATTTTGGGTAATTTGAGACATAACAAGCGGAAGAAATAGGCAACTTTGGATCTAAGGTTCGCAAAGCTTTCCACTGTGATGGTAGACTAGTCCATACAGAATGAATTGCTACCAACAGCCCCATTATTGTAATAAAAACAGAAGTCACTGGAAACTGTCAGCAGGTCAGGCAGCATCTATGGAGAGAGGAAAGTGAGTTAATGTTTCAGGTCAATGGCCTGGATGGACCTTGGTCTTTTTTCGTTTAGCTATTCCCGTGATCCCTTGTAAACACGTCTGTACAATAATAATAATAATAATAAGCCTTGCATTCGATATGGCACCTTATCATATCGTGAAAGCGCTTCACAGAGTACACTATGAAGTGACTGTATATTTTGCGGACGAAATAAAAGTATCAGTGTCACAGTTTGAAAATAAACCCAGTGGTGCTGATTGTAAAGTGATTGCTGAAGTCAAAAACTGCTTTTGGAAGATTGTTGAGCACTGAATATCTCACAAGTCTTTATATGCACGGATGGAGCAGTTGGATTCTCTAAAAATGTAGACTAAGCATTCAGTGGAGAAACACAAAGGCTCCCAGAAATTATTGCAAAGCAGTCAGCCGGACTCGTAAACTTAAGCTTGCATTTTATAAATGTTATCTCAGTTCTGATAGAATGTAAACCAGAGTTTGTGTACTGGATTGCAAAGTGAGCTTCCTTCAACTAAGCGCAGAAAGGGAAACTCAACACCAGTTGCTGGATTAAGGGTTACATAAATAATATTTGCATAATATTTCATTCCATGCCTTTGAACAGTTCCCTGAACTGCGAGCAATTCCTATTGATATAAGATCCCGATCCAATATTAACAATCATCTAGTCTACAATTATATTATAATTAATTAGAATAAGGGTAATACTCCCTCCAAAAAAAATAATAATGTGGTCACTCCATCCTTTAAAAGGGGCCCTTCACATAGAATAAGTGATTGGTGGGTGGTGGGGGCGGTGTGGGTAAGGAGGTGCCTGTAAGCATGGTCGAAGAGGTAGGTGTTTGGACAGGATTTAAAGACCGTGAAGGGGTGACTGAGTGGTACAGGGAGCTTAGGGGAGCTGTGGCGGAAGGCTTGGGTGCCAATAGTTGTGTCTGAGGCAGAGGCGAGCAGAAGAGTGAGCAAAAAGATGATCCTGGAGATAGGGAGGTGCGAGGACATAAGTAGGTGCTCGCCGACTTATAACATTTCCCACAAGATTCCATCAATGTATTGTTCCCTAAATCGAATCGCTCTGAAATCTTTCAGTGACTTGTCTGGTTTTTATTGGAAACTGTTGTAGCCTCTAGTTCTTCGTTCTGGTAGTTTCCACCACAAGCCAATCTTAATTTACTTTATTTTTTTAAAAAAAAAGTCCCCTGTGTTTCCTGTTGTAGCTTAACTGAAACCAACATCTCAGACAGTGATGTGCTGTGGTTTCCGAACGTTCTCATTGGCAATAAGGCTGTAACTACTGGCTGTTACTTGACTTATTCAGAGCTATTTTATTATAATAATGATGATAATCCTTGCATTTGATATAGCACCTTATCACGTCTTCGAGGCGTCTCGAAGCGCTTCACAGGATATACTGTAAAGTGGAGTGACTGTATTTTGTGGGCGAAACGCCCCTCCGGTAAGTTAACATTTTACCTGTGACTGATGGGAAGATTCATTAAATCCATTTTTATTATGTTAAAATAATGATTTCATTTCCATATTTTGGTGGTGTTGAAACCTGTTGTAGCTGGAGTCCAGATCAGTGGTTGACATTTCCAGATAATATTGTGTTAACCGTTGCTGGAGTTGCTGAGTCATGCTGCCTTTGCAATTTGAATTTATTTTGAAACTGAATTTGCAGGGTCATGGTGACTAAGTATCTCACACGCGTGATGACGAGGAAGTTATTCTCACTGCATAGTGCAGTTTAGAGAGGCTAGGAGAGGTGTAGCCTTTCAGACTGTTTCAATAACTTTTAATTAATGTATGCTAATAATAATACTTGCATTTGATATAGCGCCTCATCACGTCGTTGAGACGTCTCAAAAGGCTTCTCATGATCGCACTTCCCTCCCCCTGCCTTCCAAACTCGCTAAAGAGAAACAGTTAGCCTCACACAAAAGCGATCTCTTATCAAATTTATGCAAAAAATCAATCCTAAAATAGTCAGCTTTTTCTAAGATGTAATGCATAATTCAGTGCCCCTTTGCAGGAGGGTGGAGGGAAAGGAGTTTATGCAACAAACTTGCACCAAACAAAAAGAGAGGTTGGTTTTATTTTGATCTAAAGCTATTGCTTTTTACAGCAAGGCTCTCTCGCCTCTCTCTAGCACCAGCTATGTACTGATGCTGATTTATTAGAAAGTGTCAGGTGCCCAATTAACACTTAGGGCTGAACTTCAAAGATTGTTTTCCTGCAAGAATCTGCGAAAATTAGATATTTTATAGTATATATTAGATATTGGGAAAGCTTGCAGACAATATCAATGCAAGCCATGTGGTGTTAGCTGGTTAGACTCCAGCCTTTACCCCCAACGCACACTCTGGGGTCCCCAAGCCTTGCCTCTTGCCAACCTGCGCCTAATACTTTCTGGAATTAAGTAAGCAGGATGTGTCCACCAGAGAGAGAGAGAGAGAGAGAGAGAGCGCATTCCATTCCAGCAATCTTATCTCTGGGATTTCCGTGTGGAGGTGGGATGCGGGGAATTCTTACCTTGGTTTGGAGGCTCTTTAAGCATGGGTGATGGGTTTCCTTATTTGTCAGACACCCGGCTGACCTTCAAAAAACCCTGATTGGAGTCCAGCCCTTGTTAGCTACCTTGGTTGAGGCACTTTTTTTTTAGAACAAGTCAAAAAATCAACACAATATGTAAGCCAATAGTATTACCGGAACCCGTGCCTGTGGTTTCTTTTATTTATTATCCAATTTGTTCTTCCGACAGGTGCATTCCTCCTGCCGTACCTGATCATGCTGTTGCTGTGCGGGATTCCGCTGCTATTCATGGAGTTTGTCATCGGACAGTACACCCAATTTGGCCCTGTCCTCGCCTTGGCTAAAATCTGCCCTCTCCTGAAAGGTATGTGTGCTCTGGATTGACCGTAGCTCAGTACAACACTTCAACGAGAGTTCACTGACTTGTCAAACTCTCCCTCTTGCTGTGTTGCTTGCATTAACTGAAGGTAAATGTGTCCCTCCTCTATTCTGATAGATGAATCTAAACTGATGACTGAATTTCTCCACAGACTTTTATTGCAGTGCTTTATGGTGGAACCTCTTACTTTCCCCCCCCCCCCCACCCCCACTCACCCCACCTCCACCAACCATTGAAACTGATGCTACCATTCTGTACTGGTGGATCTGCCAAATGAGCGAAGGCACTTGCAAGTTTAATCTTGAAAGATCACCCGTGTCTGCATTGATGTGATGCATATTGTTTTTTTGGCACAACGTTTAAGAAATTGTGTGCAAACAAACAATGGCCTCCCTTAACAGAGCATTTTTCCTGGTTTTGCTCAGGGGCGAAAATAGCTGTGTGTGGGTTATTTTTTTATAAATTGTTACGTGACTGTAGCATTCCGTCCTGGCTCAATCTTGTTAATAAAGGCACTAATTTTCAGCCTTAACGGTTTATATCAATGAAATGCAAATTGAAGCATCTGAAATGAACGTGATAGAGCTCAGTAAATATTTATTAACACTACAGTTAATCTACCATTTCCATGTCCTTTCTACTCCTTGGCAATGCTAAATATTGTGTGGGCATGCATATACTATATAGCAATATATGGTTGTATAGCAATGAATTAATTAAATGCTTGATATAGTTGGCAAGAAACACAGCTATTAAGCATTCGAAATTTTATGACAAACGATGACTAAATCTAGTAACAATGCCACTTTCTGCACAAGAACTTTGGATGGAAATCCTTAAAAGATTTCGCACACAAGATATAATCAATTCACTTTACAGTATATTAGGTGAAGCCCCTCGAGACGTATCGACAATTTGATAAAGCTCTAAATCAAATGCTCGGATTATTATTGTTATTAACAGATAACAACTTTAACTGAACTTTCCAGGCTCCAAATTCTCACCAGATGGTTCTATCCACCATCTTTCAGTTTAGATTCATCTTACGATTGTTTGTGGGAGATAAAACATCTCATGTATTTTTCACACTTTGTCACGACAGTGATAGAGCTCATTGTACAGAACAGAATGCTTAATAAATATAAGATGTTTCTCTCCTCGCCTTTCCCTTTATACAGCAGCAGGTAAACTACACTGGTTCCTGTCAGTATTGTGCTCACGTCCACACAAACAAATCTACTCCACAGGGATCAACCTCCCAGCTTTTTACCTGAAATATTTTAAACGTTTAATTTATTGTGGCCTTTAGAGTGACTAACTAATGTGTTTTAATGTCTGAAATTGTTGACATCGGGGAAATTCCTGTAAGTGATATGATATTCTGATTGCACAGATGATGTGACCCAGATTCTAAACTAAGCCCAAAACATGGTTATTTAAGACAGACGCATAGCATTTTGAAACCACATCAATTGCTTATCACTTCTAATGAAGGGAAGATCTGGTTAAAACTCCAGATTTCTTAGTAAAAACACTGTGTGCCTTGGATCACACATGTTTACTCAGTATTTAGCACTGTTACTTGAAACCATTTTCTATGAAAATCTTAAGACCTGATCCAAACATAAATCCAATACAATGGATATCAGATCTCATGTTTTAGTTTCTCTAATCGAACAAACCAAATTTATTCCAGACGCATTGAAAAGCAGGAATACATGGGTCTATTAATGAACTCGAAGTTGCATCCAAAATGTTAATAAACTGGGGCCTCTATTGTCCAATCTGTCCTTGAATTGTAGTGTCAAAATATAAGTATTACCTTCACGGCCTGTAAAATGCTAACTGATGTATTCCTGCGTACAAAATAGATAATTTTATTCTGTTTCATAAAGAGATTACTGATGTTCATTTGTTGATTGGTGACTGTCTAGCTGCTTTAATGTTCAGGGAATTTCAACGCATGGAGAAAATATGTGTTTCTTTGCACTGAAATGTCCACGTTCAAGCCTAAAGCTTTGGAAAATCCTTTTGTCCTACGTTGGGTTTTCTGTACCGAATGCATGTAGTAGGGTCTGGTCATCAGTCACTGGCAGAACTGGGTGTCAGTTATCCTATTGATTCCTTCAAGGTGTTAATTTCTATTTCCAATTCTAACCTGGAGACTTTCTCCTCAGTGTTCTTTCTTTGAGACAGAGATAGTCTACCCGATCAAATCTGTTATTCGCTTGATCACGTCTGTGCTAATCGAAGGGAGCGACAGGTAGTGAATCCACATCTTCTTTTCACACTCACTTGAATCACACTGTTTTCACGTTTCCCATGATCCACTTAGGGTTGTGCATGAGACCCTTATTGGGTGCAGCGATTGGTGAACCTGGGCTAGTTTGCTCTCTCTGGCTTGCATCTATCAGACAAAACACCCAATCAAACACCCAAGCTTTCAACTCTTAAAAGGTGTTTATTAATCTGAAAAACAAAATTCCCGTTACCAGCACCTGTTAATTAAAACAGACAAATTTGCGGGGTTATGGGGTAAGAGCGGGCTTTTGGGTCTAGTTGGGTAGCTCTTTCAAGGAGCGGCACAGGCACAATGGGCTGAATGGCCTCCTTCTGTGTTACATGATTCTTTGGTGATCAATCTGCATTGTAAATTTACCAATACACGTTCACTGCTACTAAATAGCTGTTCGGTGCAATCATTGTCAAATTCAGGCGGTAATGATCTGCTTCCAATCTAATTCCCTGGATTTACCTCCAATTTCTGCCTACTAAATGTCTGCAACTTCCCCCAAAACTCTTCACACCAATGGTACATTCCAGACTTGTTCCACAATTTCAAATCAAACCTCAATGTCCATCTGCAATTGACCATCTGATTTCAAGGTTTCCACTTTGTTTTAATTCAATGGTTTTTTAAAAGAGAACGACTTACTCAAGAACTCATCAAAAACACAATCCTTATTAATGTCAGGTGGATTGGAAAATTATTTTGTGGGCTGTTCCTTGAAGGTAAAAATAGCATTTCCAGTACTGCTTCAGGCACGAGGGGGGGGAGTGGACCTGGGATGTTTCATATCATTGCAAAACTTGTTATTCAAAAACTCAAATGGAAATCATGTAGTTATTAAACTAACTTGAATGTATAATTTCTCCGTGCACTATTCTGTACCTAACAGGAGAGATAGACTAACAATGTGGAGTCTCGTAGCGTAGCGTTAGCGCAATCGCCTCGCAAGCGAGAGGACCCGGGTTCGATTCCCGGGTGGGTTGGAACCTTAAGCAAGTTTCCTTAGTCCACACGCCTCTGCAGGAAGTAAGAAACCAGTCGACTGGCGGATTGCCTTCCAGAGATAATAATCCCTATGTTTTTTTAAAAAAACAGAAAAGCGCAAAACAGGGAAAATTTGGTCGTACAATCCACGATTGTTTATGAAGGCATATTTCAATAAAAATGGATAAAATCTGTCCCCCTCAGGCGTCTTGAGTTCTTCCACTCCAGCTTTATCAGCCTTGAAGGTTGATAAACAAGGATTTGGGGATTGCACAATTTTAGGAAATAAAGGGAAATGTAGTTATGACTGGAACTGAGACTTAATCAAAAACATGCAGTTTTTGATATTAACTGCATGGCTGCTGGCTATTTAGTGGGGCAGAATATTTGTTTGTTCTACACTCTGCAAATCCTTTGAAAGTACAGAATGATTGTTCCACTGAGCTTATAATTCTCACCTCAGATTTACGAGACGTGTCATGAATTACAGCCTTCGTGAAAATAACTAGATCAACTACTGCCGATGCCAAGCTTGCTTTTGTCCCCGTAGAGTTGGCAAATTGCCGTGTTTCATGGAGGTGACAAAACATTTAAGTAAGAATAGAAGGAGAAACCGTTTCCTCTGGCGGGTGGATCGGTAAGCAGAGGACACAAGATAATTTAAGATAATTGGCAAAGGAACAACAACTACAACTTGGATTTATATAGCGCCCTCCACGTCTCGGAGCGCTTTACAGTTTAGGATCCCGGGACCAAGCCGGGGGGGGGGGGGGGGGGGGGAATGTGACCAAAGGCCCGGTCGAAAAGAAAGAAAAGAACCAGAGGGGAGAGTTGTTTTTTTAACGCAGCAAATTGTTACGAAGCGGAATGCACTGCTTGAAAGGGTGGTGGAAGCAGATTTGATAGTAGCTTTCTAAAGGGAACGGGATATGTACTTGAGAAGAAAAAATTTTTGCATCCGTTTCCACCTGCCCAGCAAGTCTCGAACCAATTCTCCCTATTCCTTTGACAGCTTTTTTTAAAAAAATGGGTAGCTCCTCTTCTAGTACATAAGTTGCCTAACAATAGTAACTCCTGTCCCAACTTCCAAACAGCAAACCTGTATAGGGTTTAGTGGTTCCTGCATTCAATCAGGACCCAACTATGTCGAAGACTTGTATCTTATCCCTTGTCATATTTTCATTAAAAAAATTGTAATCTTTTTAAATCGCTTTCTTTCCGCTCCCTGTTATTTCTGTTGGAGAACCATTCTCTGATTATTAGAACATTTTTCTAATCGTAAATGAGTCTGGCTTTTATTTGAGCAGTGCATCAAAAGTAACCGAATGCACAAATCCATACCCAAGACCTATCGAGAGGGAACAAAGAGCTCACGAGCTACATTTGGTATTTGAGCTCACACTGTGCTATCTGACGTGACATTCACCAGAAAAAAACATGAAACTGAGGATCCATCTGCCTGTTCAGGGTAAAGATCTGGTGTTCTGTAGCTCAGTGGTTAGAGCACTTGCCTCGCAAGCGAGAGACCTGGGTTCGATTCCCGGCAGGACGAAATGTTGGGCAAATTTCCTTACTCCACCCACCCTCTGTTTAGCAAGCAGTAAGTAGGAATCCGGTTGCAAGTCGGTTGGCGGATGGCTTTTCCGGGAGTAATAATTCCTTCAAAAATAAATAATAATAACAAATTGGTCACTCAATCCACGAGTGTTTGTGGGACACTCCTGTGCGAAATTGGCTGCTGTGTTTACAGTCAATTGAGTTTACAGTATATTCTGCGAAAAGCTTTGAGATTTCTCGAAGATGTGATAAGGCGCTATATCAAATCCAAGTATTATTATTATTAAAGATCCCATCCCATGACAATATTCAAGGAGAGATATTCTCTGTCTGCAATCCTCCAGTTACATCAGTCATTCACTTCATGGCTCTTTGTGGGACTTTGCTGTACATAAATTGCCAACCATGTTATATACAAATGTATATTTGACAGGAGTCACCAGCGAAGCAATTTGGTACGTTTCAATGTTCTAGGCACTACATCAAATGCAGGGCTTATTGTATTATTACATTATACACTTTTTTTAAATGATTCTTGCTAGCTTACTTTCTCAATCTGATTACTGTCTTATATTCCAGGATTGCAATATCTTCACTGAAAAATAATTTGCTACTAGATTCAACAAGCATTCATGTATGTGTCAGCCTGGCTCGGTGTCGGAAGGTTGTGGGTTCAAGCTCTATGTCAGGACATGGAATCACATAGTCTAAACTGACACTCCAATGCAGTACTGGGGGCTGTATTGTATTATCGGAGGTGCAGTCCATCAGAAGAGATCTCATCTGCCTGTTCAGGTGGATGTTATAGATCCCATGGCACTATTTGAAAAGAGAAGGGAGTTTCTCTCGGTGTCCTGGCCAACAAATCCCTCAAATAAAAATTGTTCACTCACTCCATGGCTGTTTATGGGACACTGCGATGAGCAAACGGCTGACATGTTTCGCCCAGAAAACACACAACCGATCCACTTTGCAGTATATCCTGTGAAGCGATTTGAGACGTCTTGACAACATGATAAGGCGCTATATCAAATGCAAGATTTATAATAAGATAATTTTATTTTGCAATAGTTACCTCTTGTATCTGAATTGGATGGCATACATATTATAGGTTGCTCCTTTGTATAATTATCTCCCGGAAACTACTTATAATAATAATAATCCTTGCATTTGATACAGCGGCTTATCACGTCTTTGAGACGTCTCAAAGCGCTTCACAGAATATACTGTTAAGTGAATTGACTGTATATATTGTGGGCGAAACGCGGCAGCCAATTGCGCACAACAGTATCCCATAAACAGTCGTGGATTGAGTGACCAATTTATTATTATTTGTAGATAATTGCACCTATGAAATATGATCTTGAGAGAGGAGAGAAGGAACAAATGGAAGATCAGGTTAAAGAGACAAAAAGTCGCTAATTGCTCTGTATTTTTTGGTTGATTGTCTTTACTGGAAATCATGAAACTTTTGTTTTTTTAAAATTGCAGATGGAATGAGATCAGAAACTGATTTTGTACGAGAATCCGAATCACTAATTCTTTACACACCCTTGAGATCTATTTCCCCATAGCATTTCCAACTAATAGAGAGGCTTCTAATTAATATCATTCATATATATCTTTCACTAGAAGCCTGGCCGCTTATCATTACCGTGTGGATTGATTTCTGGCCGATACAACACACACCAGAGCAGACCTCGATTGCTCACTGTTACTGGTAACCGGTTGAGTTTCTGCCGTAGTCTTGTGTTCAATAGCGACAGGAACTGATATGGGGGTCATTCCAAATCACTGTCTTAGCTCTTCCTTGAGATTCTGACAAAGTATTGTGTTCGGGCGCAGCAGCAGACCTAGATTACAAGGCAAATTTATGTAAATCGAATGTAAATGTCCATTGTGTCCTCACACTTTTCTAATTTGGAAACTTTGGAAACAGCCCAATTCTGTCTTGATCAGAAGTGAAGGGTGTGAGGAGAGGAGAGGAGGGGTTGAGGAGTTGGAGAGTGCAGTGGAAGCCCTACCCAGGTCAACTGGGGATGTTTCGGGATGAGGGTTGACTTAATGAAAAGGAGGTTTATCCAAACTTTCTATACAGCAGCCCCCTCCCGGTCCTCTCCCCCCCACCACCCCTCCCCCCAACCCCATCGCCCCCCCCCCCCCCCCACCCCCCAACTCCTCTCACTGAGTGAGATGAAGAAGAGAAGCCAAATGCTCACACTTTTAATTTGGTAAATGCGGTACAGGTGAATCCTTGTCCTGTTTCAACATTTTGCTGCAGAACTGTTACTGCGGCCCACCAAGGGTTGAACGGTTTTACACTGATTTCATACTCGACTTGTGCTCAAACTTCTATCTCGTTTTGTTCATGCCAGCGAAGAGGCAATGTTTGCCTGTGACCTATCTCTCGCTGTGTGCAGTGCTCTGTTAACTGACCTCTCTCTGCTACTGTGCAGGTGTGGGTGTGGCGACAGTGGTGATTTCATTCTTACTTTGCACTTATTACAATGTTATTATCACCTGGGCTTTATACTACTTCTTCAACTCCTTCCGGTGGTCGCTCCCCTGGCAAAGCTGCAACAATACATGGAACGTTGTGGAAAACTGTTCTGACGGATTTTCTGGGAACGCTACTCACCTCAGATCTAACAGCCAACAATTTTTCGAGTGAGTACAACAACAACAACAAATTACATTTGTACAGCGCCTCTCACCTCGGGGGGGATGTCCCAGGGCGCTGGACAGTCAGGAACTTGTACCCGAGCTGGGGGTTGGGATCAGGGGGCAGGGTAGGGGCGGGTAGTGTGAGAAGGCGCTATATCAAATGCAAGGATTATAATTATTGTACGATTCATGCAGATCAGTCTGACGCGAGTTTTGCTGTACATGACCCTTTTTCTTCGTTACAGTTACAGGCTACTGCAGATCAGCAGCGGGATTGATCAGATGGGGAAAATGCGCTGGGAATTATTTGGTCTACTGATAGTGTCTTGGATCATTGTCTATTTCTGTATCTTCAAAGGAGTCAAGTCGACTGGAAAGGTAAGAAATGTTCTAGAAAAGAATATTTCAGTTCTATATTTAGCTCAAGCCCTTTCGAGTATTTTCCTTTTTCGTTTTGATCTTTTTTTGTTTGCCCGAATGGATATCTATTCCTGCAACACAGGTCTTTCTGACTTGATGTGGTTTCCCCAATTAGCCTTGCTCTAAAATCAGCTTTTTTTAAAAAAAAATAAGTTGCTGTAATATTTTTTTTGAAGCAGAACATTACACGTTTGTGTGGCAGCGGCTATTGGGTAGGTATAAAAAAAANTCTTCTGTTGAACGCTGCTGAATTGAAATTGAACTCAATTGTTGTGAAACATAACAGTTACCACTGCGGCACTCTTGAGCAGATTTTTACATCTATTTCGGCCTCAGGGAGTCGGCTCAGATAATGGTTGCAAAAGAATCTCAGTGTAGGCTGTCCTTCACATCTGCCTCCTAAGTTTGGGATAAACAATCAACAATCTACTTCTTTTCTTACCCAATTTGTTGTAAAACGTTTGCACGCACTGGATGTCAATTTATTTATTTACAAATAGATCAATGATTAATTACTCTTGTACACAATGGCACCATCTGTAGTTATGAGAGTAGCTAGTCAAGCCAATACAGGCAAGAACAGCTGGCAATTTTCCCTCCACCCACACTCTCCTCCACCTGTACTGTTGCTGTAACTGAGATTGTCAGTTTTGGTTGTGGAGAGGAGAATGATTTGCAAACTATGAGTCTTCATGATAAAGCAAGTTTCAATCTTCATACAGTCAATTCACTTTACAGTGTATTCTGTGAAGGCTTTGAGACGTCTCGAAGACGTGATAAGGCGCTGTATCAAATGCAAGGATTAATTAGTATTAATCTTGACGATGGTAATTGAGTCGCATAAGGAATAAAGTGACAAAAACTCCACCGTAAAAGTTGATGTTTCTCTCCTTTTCTTTCCAACTGTTTTAAATTATTAAAAAAAAACTCAATTAGCCACTTCCAGCCTCTTTCCCTCTAATGTCTGTTTTCTCGCTTGTCTTCACAGGTCGTTTACTTTACAGCCATTTTTCCCTACATTATCTTAATAATTTTGTTCAGCAATAATGTGCAGTTGCCAGGTGCCATGAAGGGAATCCATTTTTTCCTTACACCCAAATGGGGCAAGCTACTGGAAGTCCAGGTAACTAACAGCCACAGCACAGTCACTGCATTTTAATAGGGTGGCATTGCCAGGGGCAGGGAGTGCAGATTGAAAGCGTCACCTATTAGAATCATAGAATCCTGCAGCACAGAAGGAGGCCATTCAGCCCATCGGGCCTGTGCCGGCTCTTTGAAAGTGTGGGAGAGGATACACGTTTCAGGGTTCTGGATGATCTGCAGTTTGTGTAGGGAGGAGCTGGGCAGTCAGGCAAACAGAGCATTCGAACAGTCTAGCCTACACTTCGTGAATGAGGGAATAAGTGTTTGCTCCCTCACGAGAATCCGGCTCAAATTAAAGTGCTTCCCTTTGGTTGAACCGGAAAGGGTGGTTCTTGTGCACCTCCTGGAGGCTGTTTAATATTTGCATGCATTATAATTGGGGTTTTTGATGTTTGGTTTTAATCGACCAACCAGATTTTACTCTCAAACGAGACCGAGGTGTGAATAGAGTAAACCCATGGGGTTGAGTGTACATTTTTTTTATTGTGAATTACTGCCACAGGTGTGGGTGAATGCTGCCGCGCAGGTCTTTAACTCCATTGGAATCGGATTTGGCTCCATGATCTCTATGGCCAGTTACAACAAATTCAATAACAATATCCTCAGGTGAGCCTCGAGCTTCAACAACAACAACTTGCATTTATCTAGCGCCCTCCACACAGGGCGGCATCTCAGTGCGCTTAACAGTGAGCGGCAGAACCTGAGGTGGGAGGTGACCGTAAGCACGGTCGAAAAGGTAGGTTTTTAGGCGGGACTTGAAAAAGGGGGAGAGAGGGGGCAAGGCGGAGGGATTGAGGGAGAGTGTTCCAGAGTTTCGGGGCGTAGCGGCTGAAAGCGCGACCTCCATTGGTGGAGCGGCGGGCGCGAGGGACAGGCAGGAGGTCGGTGCCAGACGAGCGGAGGCGTTGGGTGGTGGATTGGGAGTGAGGAGGTCGGAGAGGTAGGGAGGTGCCAGGGAGTGAAGGGATTTGAAAATCCCTTAATAAGACAGCAGAAAGGGTGATCTTTTCAAGCCCGATAGGGTCTTGCTCTTTGCCTACACTTCTCAACTTCACAGAGGCCTCTGTTTATATCGTAGCTTTGTCCGTTTGTCTTCCCACCCACCGTAACGAATTAGACGAGTCACTGCCTTAAGGGGCCAAAGACTCATATGAAATGACGCCCTTTTAATATAAACTTAAAAGGTGCGCCGCAATTTTTTGTGACGGTAAGATATTTTGTGTTCTGTTTCTGAAGCTCCCACGTGCCCTCATTTTCACCATTTCTTTTACCTCCCAGAGACACGCTCATCGTGGCATTGACCAACTCAGCTACAAGTATCTTTGCAGGATTTGTGGTTTTCTCTGCGATCGGTTACATGGCCCACCAGCACCACATGCCTGTTGAGGACATCGCTACTGATGGTAGGTTCCTTTCTGACCAATCCATGTATTAAGGGGCCCTCCACAGCTCCTGATCCCCCAACCTCCAGCTCGGGTGCACATCCTTGACTGTCCGTCCAGCGCTTTGGGATGTCCTCCCGACTTGAAAGACGCTGTGTAAATGTCATCTGTTGTTGTTAATGGATTCTCGTGTCTTGTTCCCTTGCTCAGGACCAGGACTTGTGTTTGTTGTTTATCCAGAGGCCTTTGTCACCATGCCCATTGCACCGATGTGGGCTACACTGTTCTTCTTCATGCTTCTCTGCCTAGGTGTGGACAGCCAGGTAAGCCACGTGTTTTCTTACTCAATGATATAAAGGTTATAAATAATGGAGACATTAGGGAAATTTAGAAAGAAACGTGAGGGCTTTACAGATAGGATTGAATAGGAAACAATGAACTTTGATGGGCTTTTTCCTGCTCTTGTGCTTTAAATCTCCCAAAGCTCTTCAGATGCATTGAAAACTGTCCTAAACATTAGCCACCCATAAGACGCCTGTATTGATTGTGCAACACTATGGTTTTTCTTGGCAGTTTGCTATGGTAGAAGTAATGGTAACCAGTTTGATGGACAGTTGGGGGAAATCTCTACTTCACATCTTCAGACGGAAAGAGCTGGTGGTTTTTGGCGTCTGTTTTGTAGCCTTTGTACTTGGGATTCCCAATGTTACTCAGGTAAGTTCTGTTCTTATAAACAGGTGCCTCCACGCCCTTACCCCTCCTACAACTCCGACCTGCTGACCCCCTATCAATCTGTCCGCTCCCTCCTCTCAGCAGGCTCCAGCCTGCTCCAAGTCTCCCGCCCAACCCGCTCTACCATCGGCGGCCGGGCTTTTAGCCTCTCTGCCCCCACCCTTTGAAACTCCATCCCACAATCCCTTCGCCTCTCTCCCTCCTTTGCCTCCTTCAAGGCACGACCCAAGACCCTCCTTTTTGACCGTGTCTTCAGCCGCCCTCCTACCCCCTCTGCCTCCCCTCATCCCAACCCTGCCCTCCCACACTCAGGTCCTGATCCCTGACTGTTCAGCACCTTGGGAAACCCTCCCGACCTGAAAGGTGCTTTACAAATGTAATTTTGTTGTTGTTGTTGCATGGTAGATACACATTGTGGATGATCTTTATTCAATTGAACTCATAAGAAGGAAATCGTCAAATGTATTTTTGGGTCAGAGGTCCGAGAGGGTGAACTGACTTTATTTTTCTCTTTAAGGGTGGAATCTATTTCTTCCAGCTGATGGATCACTACACAGCAGTCGTCTCGCTCATGTTTCTGGCTTTCTTTGAAGTTATAGCCATTTGCTGGCTTTATGGTACATAACTTGCTTTATCTCCACTCTTTGCTCGTACAGTTTCCTTTGTTCGATCATACGCTCTTTGTCCCCTTCGCTCTTGAACTCGTAGATTAATACGAGAGGGTTGGGGAGGACAAATTTGCAGGGCTATGGGGAGAGAGCGGGGGAGTGGGACTAATTTGGACAGCTCTTTTAAAGAGCCAACACAGACACGATGGGTCGAATGGCCTCCTTCTGTGCTGTATAATTCTACAATTGTATGAATACTAGCTGAGTTACTTAGCAAAAAAAATTGTCCAGTAACTGCGCTGTCTTTAAAAGTAACAGTTTACGTAGCAGACTGCATTTTACTTGAGAGAATTACTATCTACAGAAGAGGACCTGCCTTCGAGTTTTTGCATGTGGTTCTGTTGCAGGTGTCCGCAGGATATCTAGCAATGTTCAGGAGATGTTGGGATCTCCTCCTAACATCTTTTTCAAGGCGTGCTGGTGGTTTGCTGCTCCACTTCTCGTCACTGTGAGTCGCATTCCTCTTCCAGGGTTTTTCTAGCTGCTGGTGTAAATGGAAATTAAAAAAACGATTCCCATTAAAAAAAATGTTTTTTTAAAAAAAAATAATCGTTTGGATTTTCCCTGAAGCGCTTTGAGACGTCTCGAAGGCGCTATTTCAAATGCAAGGATTATTATTATTATTATAAACCGCTCCAATTAACTGCAGTAATCCCTGAGAAGATGCTGGAAATATGAAACAAAACAGAAATCGGTATCCCTGACTGTCCAACGCCTTGGGACATCCTCCCGACGTGAAAGGCGCTGTACATGTGTAATTTTTTGCTATTATTAATTTAGAATATTCTCCACTTTTGCCTGTAGATTATCCTGGTATCTAGTATAATCCAGTACACCCCGGCAAAATATGGGAAAACCTATGTCTATCCACCGTGGGCTGAGGTACTTGGCTGGTGTGTCTCCCTCTGCTCAATTATCTGGATCCCACTTGGAGCTGTTCACACATTATACAACGGGAAAGGCACACTTATTGAGGTGAGAGTGACACTACATCAGTAAGTGAATTGCATATTCCATCACATTAATTTTACCCTATGTTTTGCCCTGACGCTGAACCATTTCTGTGGCTAAGCGAAAATTTAGCGTTTCTGAAATTTCTGTCGTATCAGATTATGGTACGATTATTCGATTATGACTGTTGATCAGGAATTCCCAGTTTCTATAACACTGTGAACCACTAGTACAGAGTCAGCCTGGTTCAGTTGATAGCAGTCTCGCCTCTCAATCAGAGGGTTGTGGGTTCAAACCCCACGTTGGGACTTTGAACTCACAGTCTTGTCTGACACTTCAATGGAGTGTTGGAGGAGCGCTGCAGGAGATGGTAAACCAAAGCTCCGTCTAACCCGTTCACGTGGATGTCAAAGATCCCAATCAAAAAGAGACGAGTTTCTACTGGTGTCTTGGCCAACAATCCGCCAGATAAATATGGTTCATGCCCTTCATGGAGATTTGTGAAACATTGCAGTGCATAAAATGGCCACGTTTGCCTAAAAAATACACAGTAACGGCACCTTACGTTCCGTGAAACTCTTTGAGAACGTCTCATCGACGTGAAAACCACGAGATCAAATGCAAGTATTATCATTACTCCTACACACAGTTAGTCGGGGATTCAGGGCTAGATGTTTGCTGGACGACATTGTGCTGTTTCATCTTCATGTAGATCAACTTATTTTTTTGTCTCATTTTAGCGGCTTCATTCGTCAATCACACCAGTCGCTGATGTTCTCTCAGTGGAAAACGAGGACCTCATGCTCAAGGCAAAGTCTGACATGTCGAACTCCATGTATTCTGGTGTCGTCGTTGAATGTGTTCGTCTTTCAGAAGAAACCAGGGGCCCTTAGAAACGTGCATGTTGAACAAGTGTTTAGAAAAGTAGTTTGATGAGTATTTTACCGATCCTGTGGGGTTTTTTTTTTACTCAGGAGCGAATAGACAGACATTCTGTTGCCATTGTGTCACCATTGTGTCAGGTCTGCAACTTGTTTTAAAAAACAAAAAGGATTTATAGTCGCTGTATTTAGTTATGGTGAAGTTACGTGCGTCCCAATGGTAAAAAGATTCCCATGGGAAGTGAGAGGTCTATAATCACACAAGATGTAAGTGAGATTGGTGGATGAGAGCATCTCAACAATGGAGTAAGCTAATTAATTAATGACTGTTGGTGGAAGATGATACAGGGTGACCCAATTATAATGTGGTGGTCGTCTCGGTCCATAATCTCGGAACCCTACATTAAAACAAGTCTGAGAAGATGTCAGTCTTTGCACCGTGGGTCAAGTCAACACTGATATCTGTTGACCACCCACTTTAAACAGACTCTCACTAAACCAACAACGCCTTAAAACAGGGTCACCCAATATTTTGGCGCTCCATCACAGGTAAATGTGGATACTGACAATGAGTACCAAAATACAATCTTCCATTAACTGCCATTGTGTAAATTCGTCTCAGTTATTGACTGGTCTTAATCTAGGTGATTTAGCTGCTTTCAATTTGATTTGCAAATTGGAGCTGAAATGTAACATTTGCTTCATGTGTACAATTAGAACCAATACATCTCAAGGAAGGCTCAAGACCCTCCTCTTCGACCGTGCCTTTGGCCACCCTCCTACCTCTCTGCCCTCCACCCTCCCTGATCCCAACCCCACGACCCTCGGGTCCTAATCCCTGACTGTCCAGCACCTTGGGATGTCCTCCCGAGGTGAAAGGTGCTTTACAAATGTAACTTTGGATTGTATATCCAGTTTGAGACTAAAGTAAGTACTGTATTGACAGAATGGGTCGAGGGAAATGTAAACTAGATTTGTTGGACACTGAGTAAATGCCTACCCAGGTCTTTGACATAGTGACCACTTGCACATAACATTCCTCAAACTATTTCAAAGAAGGTATCCTTTACATCTGACGCTGATTGTTTGGCAGATGGTAATTGAATTTTAATGTTACGTTAAATTTCTGCAATATATTTGGGGCAATTAGTAACAGTAGCACGAAAGGAGCAGACATTCTGAGATAATAATGAACCGTTCATGATGAAACTAATGGTGCCAATGTTCTTCTTTTCAAATTACGTTCAGAAACCAACCAATTCAGCCAAAATCTACCTTAGATCAATTGTCTGAAACCGTTTCACACAACACTATTAGTTGATGTGCTTGAGGATTCTGCTTTCGATATTCCAGAATCTATTCATTTTGTTTGCTTGAGACGCGAAAGGTGCTATACAAATGTCACTTCGAATTGCCGATGTTACTCATTTGTTTTTATGACAAATCACAATAGAATTGTTCAGACAAACGTCCTTGTTTTTTTAATTATGTTTTATCAACAATTTTAAAAAAAGTACACAGAATGTCTCGCCCGCAGAATGCACAGTCACTCCACTTTACAACGTATTCTGTGAAGCGCTTTGAGATGTCTCAATGATGTGATAAGACACCACATTAAAGGCAAGGATATTATTATTTTTTTACTCCATTACAAAAACTTACTACTGCCTACAAAGTGCTTTGAGACATCCTCCCAACATGAAAGGTTCTGTATCAAATGCAAAGATTATTATTACAACAACAGCAACAACAAACAACTTGCATTTATGTAAAGTCCGAAGCAAATGTAACATTTGCTCCATGTGTACAATTAGAACCAATTTAAATAGAGGTATGAGAGAGGATTTAGCTGAAATAAACTGGAGAATTAGATTAAAGGATATGACAGTAGACCAGCAATGGCAAACCTTTAAAGATACGGAACACAATTCCCAGCGATCACACATTCCTTGAGGAATAAAAATATCATGGGATAAATGGTTCAAACCATGGCTAACTAGAACAATTAGGGAAAGTATAAAATTAAAAGAAAAGAACTATAATACTGCCAAAAGGAGCGGTAAACCCGAGGATTGGGAGGGCTTCAGAGACCAAATGGCCTTCTCCTGCTCCTAATTCCTATGTTCCTATGTTTATATAACTTCCCTTATGCAGGGTAGCATCCTAGAACGCTTGAAAGATTATTATTACAACCATTCTTAATATTATTTTTCACAGGCCCTGATGGGTATTGGACTCTAATCAGCAAGCACAATGACATTGTCATTGTCGAATTTCTAACAATACAGTTTACAGAGGTGAAATGTTTGTATTATTGATATGTAGGGAAGTGATAACTAGTTAACATGTAAATTAATGTCACAATGTACCCACGCCTTAAACGTTGCATTTAAGAGTTTTCTTTTTATTTAGTCTTAATCATTTACATTCCCGAATATAGCGTCTGACCCACAATGGAGTGCTTTATGTTTACAGTACCACTGGTATACTTATGCATTTAATTCTATGTATTATATTGTTCAAGTTTTAAACATTTTTTTTTCCAAATATGATTTATGGATCTGTGGGTATCGAGAGCTGTTTACTATGGCAATATTTGGCAAGAATTTCCCAATATACAAAAATAAGTGTTTCCTTTAGGCTTGACAAATGTAACCCTAATTGGCACTGAAGTTTTAGTAAAAAGGGTAACTTAAAATACACAGTCAATCCACTTTCCTTTGAAGCGCTTTGAGACATCTGAACGATGTGACAAGGCGTTATATCAAATGGAAGGATTATTCTTATTCTTAACTTTACCAACTTATGCGCTTTAAGATCCATCTGATTAACCCTCCGGAGATTGTTTCCATAACTGTTGATTCAAGGTCATGTCTTTCTCCCTCACGATACACGTTTCAGATGTGTACGCTTTATACAGGTCCATGGTGCGTTAGCTAATTTTTATCTAGCTAATATTCATTAACCTCTTTTTGTGACCAAAGAGCTATAAATCGACTTACATGTCGATCGCAACAACAAGGTGCAATTATACAGCGTCCCAGAGGGCTTGACCGTGGCGGAGCACGATGCCAAGCCGGGGAGAGGTGACCATAGGCACTGTCAGCCCAGAAACGGTCAGTAATGAAGCTAGACTATCTTGTATTTAGATGTGCATTTTGGCTGCCGCTTCTGACCTACCGCTGCCCCCTTCCAAAATGCCCCCTCTTCTACTCCCCACCCTTGGAACCCATTCAGTTCCCTCCTATTGCCCTCCCTGTCTTTTTCCCCTCCTGGACTATTCCACGGACTCCTGCTGCTTCAGCCTGAGGATCCTTTGCCGGACTCATTATGGCACTCGTCGATGGCTATCCCAGAGCAGCCTTCCCAACTGCCCCATCCCCTAGTCTCTCCGCAACACTCATTATTTCCATCTTAATTTGTACAAAACAATGTAGGTTTCTGTCCTGATTATCAACACCTCTCCAATTTTTATCGCACCCATTTTGTAAAAGTATTTTAGTCTACGTAAGTGGTGGCTGAATTTCGGGAATGGGTAGCAGGAAGGAATCAAGGATGCAAACCCACAACTCATCTGTGTACCAATATACCTCAAAGATAGATATGGTTTCAAATAAAAAATTACTATATTAACCCAGATAGCTGGACTTTGGGGAGGGAATGAAAATTTAAATATTCAGTATTTATGTTTCGTTATTTGAATTATGCCATACACCAAAATTCAAGATTGCCTTTTGTTTTCTGAAGCTCTGAAATAAACTGCATTTATACCAAAATATTTGTACTGGTCCCTCAGTTACTTGTTCTTTGTGGGATGCTGCCATCTGCTGCTGCTTTCAACTACAAACACGATCAACTTGCATTTATATAGCGCCCTTCGTAAGGGGCAGCGTCTCAGAGCGCCTAACAGTGGCGGAGCCTGTCACCGAGCAAGGGAGAAGGAGGAGGTGACATAAGCACGAAGAGTTGGTTGAGTTATTGACATTCCAATTTTTTATTTCAAAGTACCTCCGAGCTATTGTTAGCCCAACAGTTGGTTGAAATGCAGAAAGTGACCTGACCTCCATCCCTCCAATTACTATATAACACCCCAATTTCCCCAGGAGCAATTATGAGATGGTATTACGCTGGGGAGACTAAATTACGTCATCACGCCGTCACGTCATCCTAAATTATCAATCCACGACTGTGTGTGGGAGACCTTTGTGCGCAATTCGCTGCTGCATTTTGGCCACAAATTACCTGTGAAGCGCTTGGAGACGTCTCGAAGACATGATAATGCGCTATATCAAATGCAAGGATTAATATTGTTATGATTATATCTCGGAGATGTTTATTAAGAGGGATATTGAAACAGACCTTCCAACTTCCAATGTATGAATAAGACAGCGTACTGTATAGCGCAGGGTGGTCCGGTCTTGTGGCTGGCTGAGAGCCGGGTGCCCTCTTTGAGAAATGCCCGCGGACCTCACGAGCGATGTTTTTGTGTTTCCCCTCCGGGAAACATAACGTCGCATTACGGGCTACGGAGAGCGCGGGCGGGCGGGTGGGTGGGTGGGGGTGGGGTGGCAGGTGAAATGGAGGCGGTGGTGTTGGGTGGGGGAAGGGGAAAGGAGGAAAGGGACTGATGCGGCCCGCGGGCCGCCAGTTGGGTTGACTGACCCCATTGATCGCGCGTGCTGTGGCTGGGGGTGCCGCTGACGTGGCGCGCGTGAGGTCGCGGCGGCGTGATGACGTGACGGCGCGATGACGTCGGAGCGCGGGCGGGGAGAGTGACGCGCAACATGGCGTCAGGCCTCAGGGAACCCTCTGCCCCGCGATAACAGCCTGAGGTTAAACCCACGAGATCCCGCGACCGACACCGGGGAGCGGTCGGTGTGTGTGGGTGTGTGGGTGTGTGTGGGGGGGGAGCGGGTGGCAGTTACTTACTCGCCGTGTGGGCAGCCACAGAGGCCGAGGTTGTGCCGAGGCCTAACCCCCTGGGGGTGGGGGAGGGGCTGAGGGGGGGGAGGGGCTGAGGGGGGTGGGGGAGGGGCTGAGGGGATGTGGGGGAGGGGCTGAGGGGGGTGGGGGAGGGGCTGAGGGGGGTGGGGGAGGGGCTGAGACCACCACCACCACCACCACGACAACTTACACTCATACAGCGCCCCTCGGGCTTCCATTGCCATCCACCGCTCCTCTTTAACCCCCCCCACCAGCCCGCACCCCCCCCACCCACCCACCAGCCCGCACCCCCGCCCGCCCGCACCCCTGCATACTGAGCAGAACCTCCATCTCAATCGTGATTGATGTCGTCCCCCGAATCCAGTTGATTATCGATGATAATAATAATAATAGTTCCACACGACCGTCCGCGGGACCCCTGCCGTCCGCCCGCAGTCGGCCGCCGCCCGCCTTTCGCCCGCCAGGTGCGCAGTCGCTGCACGCGACGGAATACGCTGTGATGCGTTTCGGGACGTCTCGAAAGATGTGACCAGGCGCTCTTTTATCAAATGCAAGGATTATTATTATTATTATTATAATCTTTGCGATTCATATCGCACCTGAACACGTCGTTGAAATGTGTATCGAAAGGGCTTCACAGGATATACCGTAGAGTGAATTCGACGGTATTTTGTGAGGGGAAGCGCAGCACACGGATAGCAAGCGATTGCGGATTGAGTGACAACATTTTTTTTTGCAGGGATTATTGTTATGATAACTCAGTTGGAACTGAGTCAATTGAAGTGCAAAATATTTTATAGCGCCTTTCAGCTGGGGATGACAACTGAAAGCAAATAACAGTGCTGGATGGGCCCTTATTTTGTGTAAATTTTATTTAATTTATTCTACACCCCCACACCTTGGCATCACATCATTAAGAGCACCGCCAGGCGATGCTGAAGCCCCTCCTGATTTCCCATGACCAGTTAGACTGTAGGCAGTAACGATCTTTCATAACACAAATTTTCTCTTTAAAGTTGAGTACATCAAAGTTGGTCACATTATTAAACAAAATGGTTGGGAGGAAGGCTGGCGTGTATAGAGTTAGGAGGTCCATAAAATACTTCCAATCATGCTTTATACTTGCCCTAGAGGGGGTGCAGCGTAGATTCACTCGGTTAGTTCCTGGGATGAGGGGACTGACCTCTGAGGATAGGCTGAATAAACTAGGGCTGTATTCTCTAGAGTACAGAAGAATTAGGGGGGATCTTATTGAAACTTAAGATTCTTAAAGGGCTGATAAAGTAGACACAGAGGGACTGTTTCCCCTGGTAGGAGAATCTATAACCAGGGGTCACAGTCTTAAAATTAAGGGTCAGCCTCTTAGAACAGAGTTGAGGAAACATTTCTTCACTCAGAGGGTAGTGAATTCATGGAATTCACTACCCCAGAAGGCTGTAGATGTCAGTCCTTGAACATTTTCAAGGCTGAGACTGATAGATTCTTGAAAAATAGAGGGATTAGGGGATATGGGGACAGGGCAGGTAATCAGAGTTAGATGAGAAGATCAGCCATGATCTTATTGAATGGCGAAGCACAGGCACGAAGGGCCGAATGGCCTACTCCTGCTCCTAATTCTTATGTTCTTATGTTCTTATAATCTCTTTTAGCAGCAGGTACCAGTGCAATAATGCTGGTCCCAGCAATGTTCCGTGCCCCACGGTATTTTATGTCCAGAGGACAAAGAATTGCGTCATCGTGTAAATCTCCAGTTTGGGTTTCCCTGCGATGGAACCACTCAAAACTCCGGCGTTACAAGGCTGTTATTTTTGACATGGGTGGAGTTCTGATCCAGTCTCCATACAGACTAGCTGCTGGTGAGTGTTAAGATTCATTAAATCCATGCAATATGAGTTGTGTAGGCTTGTTTGAAGGAACTCTTCCCCCAAAAGGCTGTGGATTCTGGATTAGGTCGGGGTATCAGGGGCTAAGGAGCAAAGGCAGGTAAATTAAGTTGAGATGCAGACCTAATAGAATGGAGAAACAGGCTCAAGGGGCTGAATGGCCTGCTGCTGTTCCTATGTAAGTCCAAGTATCTTTTTTTCAAAAGGTTCTTATCGATCAGATGGCGGGAGGAACTGGAGGAACAACGATTAAGGGGTGACTGGATAGAGGTCTTTGAAATGATGAGGGGTTTTGATAGTCAACAGGGAGAAACTATTTCCACTGGTCAGTGATTGGAGATTATCAATTTAAGATATCAAATGGGGAGATCAGGAGATGTTTTTCATGCATAGGATAGGGAATGCCTTGCTGGGAATGATGGTTAAGGCAGAATCCATATTGGCTTTCAGAAGGCTTTCAAAAGGAGTAAGCAATAGGGAATAGAGGGAAATAGCAGGTAAATGGGACTGAAAGGAATGCTATTAAAAGAGCCAGCATAGACACGAAGGGGCGAATAGCTTCCTCTGCTGTAAATTTCTATGGGTGCAATAAGCAAAACTGCATCATATCACGTCACTGACGAAAGGGAACCTGGAAAACAAGGTTGGGTTGCAATCTGCGGAGCATCATGTGGAGTATTCTGTTCGAGTGGGAGAGGGGCAGGGAGAAACTGGAACTCCCATGTGCCAAGAGAGAGTCCTATTGACTTGTGCTGTAGAGAAAGCATGAAGTTTACTTGTGTTTTGTAACATTCTCCTTTCCTAAGTCCAGTGTTGTATAATCCATGACAACTGATCTTGATTCTCAGCCTGGGAACAGCAACACAATCTTCCTGCTGGTTGCATCTGGAAAGCTATATTAGGATCTGGAGACAAGGGTGATGGCTGGTACAGGTGCATGCGAGGAGAGCTAACATTGAAGGAGTTTGCAGACCTGTGCAGCAAAGAGATCTTCACTGGAGTAAGTAGAACCTATTCCATCTCATCTCTCCACTCTAATCCTGTGGAGTTGTGTAGCTTCGTGGTTAGAGCACTTGCCTCGCAAGCGAGAGGACCCGGGTTCGATTCCCAGGTGGGGAGAAACCTTAGGCCACACCCTCTGTTTGCCTAGCAGTATGTTGGAACCCAGTTGGTAATTGATTGACAGATCACTTTCTAGTAGTGATTATTATTATTATAATTCAAATCATTTTAGATGAACACTATTTATTTTTCTTCTTAACCAGAGCCAAACCCCTGATCCAATCGGAGCCTTCTTATCAGAGATAGCCAGTCACCTGATTGAGAAGCCCTGTCCGGCAATGAGAGAAGCCATCATGTGCATCAGGGCAGAGGGATTGCGTACTGCTGTACTCACCAATAACTTCTACCTCCACAAGAACCAGAGCTTCCTGCCTGTGGAGAAATCTCTCTTTGATGTGGTGGGTAACATGCGTCAACAACATTTGAGGACGTTTGTTCCGTTCTGTGCAATGTTGTCTTCTGCAGTCAGGTTCTAAAGAAGAAATGTGATCTGAATAGGTTTAAGTCACTCTGGTTTAGGAGATGGTCTTGAGCGATTGTCTCCCTTGGACTTCAACCTGATGGCGGAAGGGTGCGAGAGATGAAATCGGCTAGGGAAATATGATTGCGTTGAGAAGCCAACGTTTCGTTGTTTCACTGGTTTGTGGCGGTTTTCTTGCGTTCCCAGATTATCGAGTCGTGCCGGGAAGGAACTTGCAAACCAGACCCTATGATTTACACCCGGTGTCTGGAGCACTTAAAGGTCCGTCCTGAGGAATCCATCTTCCTAGACGACCTTGGGCAAAACTTGAAAACTGCGTCTCAGCTGGGAATGCACACTATTAAGGTCAGAATGCTTTCTTTACTTTTGGTGTGTGGGTGGGGCAGTGGGAGCTGTGGAAATGGGGATCGCAATGCAGATACAGCCAGTGGCTTTCAATGACATGATACTTGTTCCTATCCATGTGGAGGATGGTGGTCTGTACCCGAATGCTCTTGTTTCCCTCTAGGTTCAGGACAGTTCTGCAGCCCTGCAGGAGTTGGCAGACATGCTGGGGTTCCCACTACATGGGTATGTGGAGGGCACGCGGGCTGTACGTCAGGGCATGGAAATTCCTGTGGACAAGCTGAAGGAATATCTCCAGACAGCTCTGGGGCAAAGCTCAATGGGTAGAGTATTTACATTCCAATTGCTGCGCGAAATTAGCTGCCGTGTTTCGCCCACAAAATACACAGTCATTGTACTTCACAGTATATTCTGTGAAGTGCCTTGAGATGTCTCAATGATCGTGACAAGGCACTGTATCAATTGCAAGGATTATTATTATTATTATTCCATCAAACTGCTGAAGGACCAGCCCTTCACTTGTGACTCAGGTTACTTTTAGATGCGGTCCTTACCTAAAAGAGAAATCGAATGGAAATTTTGCCCACAAAATACACAGTGAATCCTCTTCACAGTATATCCTGTGAAGCGCTTTAAGACGTCCCGACGATGTGATAAGGCAACAACAACAATGATATGACGTGTCCCGCAAGTTCATGAGGTGGGGGGGAGTTGCGTGTGCTGTAATAAACGATTGTCTGCTTTCAGAACCATTGAGTCTGCGGCAGTTTACGCACGGACAGTCCAACCCCACATACCACCTGCAGAGCGGTGACCGACAGCTGGTCCTGAGGAAAAAGCCACCTGGAAAACTGCTTCCATCAGCTCACCTGGTGGAGCGAGAGTATAGGTACTGTGTGTGTGTGTGTGTGTGTGTGAGGGGGAGGGGAGAGAGTACAGGCAGTACGTGTGTGTGAGAGTGGGGGAGTATAGGTACACTGTGTGTGCGAGGTGTGGAGAGTGTACGGGTACACTGTGTGTTTGAGAGTGGGGGGGGAGTACAGATACAGACCTCTTTGTGTGCGTGAGGGGTTAGGTAGTAGGTACAATGTGGGAGAGAATAGAATCTGTTCTAAAGCCAATGTGAGCGGAAACATACTGGAGCGAAAAGCCTCTCAAGCACGTTTGGGTTTGTTGCCTTGATTTAGAGAATTTCTAATTCATTTTCATTCACTTGTTCGAAATTATTTGATGGAAAGGCTTTACTTTCTTGGTTCCTTTCAGGGTGATGAAAGCTCTTGCCGGGATGGGAGTCCCTGTCCCAAAGCCACTGGCCCTCTGTGAGGATCCCAGGTATGTAGGTCCCTCGGCACGCAATAACAACAAATGACATTCACTCTGCGCCTTTCACTTCAGGAGGACATCCGAAGGCGCTGGAAAGTCGAGGACAGTCAGGAGGGGTAGAGGGCAGAGAGGGTAGGGATAGGAGGGTGACTGCAGGGAGGGTGGGGGTAGGAGAGGACCGACGACGCGGTCGAAGAGCAAGGTCTTCGTAAACTCGCGGTGCAGTGGATTACTGGCGTCGTGTTCGCTGGTTGCTCTGTTCCTCTATAATACTGTTACTCCTGTCTCCCCAGTGTTCTGGGCACCTCCTTTTACCTGATGGAGTACTGCCCAGGACGCATTTTTAAGGACCCATCACTGCCGGGGTTAAACCCGAGTCAACGGAGAGAGATCTACACAGCCATGAACCGGACTCTCTGTCAGATTCACCAGGTTAACATCCAGGCTGCTGGGCTGGAGGATTATGGCAAATACGGTGAGGGAGACCTGATTCCAATCGATTATTGATTGTGTGTATCTGATTTTTCTTCGACAGCCGAGGGTTTTACGCAAAGTAATTTGTTTTCAGGTAACTACATTGAGCGTCAGGTGCGCACTTGGAGTAAGCAGTACAGAGCGAGTGAGACTCGAACGATCCCGGCCATGGAGAGGCTCATACAGTGGCTCCCGGACCATCTCCCCACACAAGAGACCACCACAGTTGTGCACGGAGATTTCAGGTAGGGCACGCCAAGTAGGAACTCTCTCCTCGTCGGCCTTCCCGGCACCTCCCTCCACAAGCTGCAGGTCATTCAGAACTCTGCAGCTCGTGCACTGTCCCGCACCAGGCTTCGCGACCACATCACTCGCTCGCCCCCACTGCTTCCCATCCCCCAGAGGATCGAATTCAAGATCCTCATCCTCACCTACAAGGCCATTCACGGCCTCGCTCTCTCCTGCCTCTCCGACCTACTATCCCCCTACCTACCTGCCCGTACTCTCCGTTCCTCTGGCTCCGGTCTGCTCCACATCCCCCGCCCCAACCGCCCTACCATCGGTGGCCGGGCCTTCAGCCTCTCAGCCCCGAGGCTCTGGAACTCTATCCCCCAGTGCCTTCGCCGCTTCCTCCCTTTCCTCCTTCAAGGCCGGTCTCAAAACCTTTCTGTTCAACCGTGCCTTCAGCTCCCCTCTCGACTCTCTACCCCCTCCTCGCTCCCTCCCTTCCCTCCCCTCACCCTGACCATTTCCCCCCGCCCCCCCCCCAATGCTCGGGTCCCGACCCAACTGTCCAGCACCTTGGGACGTCCTCCCGACGTGAAAGGCGATCTATAAATGCAATCTTGTTGTTGTTGTTCACAAAACCACCTCAGCAAACGAGAATGTCTTCACAGTGACTAAGAATTGTTGTGTTTCAGTTGCAGGGCCCCGGGTGGATGTGGTTAGAGTGTGTGCAATTGTGCTGAGAGCTACACATCTGCTTTATATAAATTGAACTCTCCTTTTGTCTCACCAAATAGGCTGGACAACGTGGTGTTCCACCCTGACAAGCCGGAGGTGCTGGCTGTGTTAGACTGGGAACTGTCCACGCTCGGCGATCCCCTCTCCGATGTGACCTATAATTGTTTAGTGCACCATCTGCCACCAGATTTCCACCTCCTGAAGGGTAAGTGGGGAGCAAGACATGGAATTACATAGGACGTTACAGCACAGAAACAAGCCATTCAGCCAGGCTGGTATTTATTAAAATAACAACAACTTGCATTTATATAGCACCCTTCATGCGGGGCAGAGTCTCAGAGCGCTTAATAGTGGCAAAGCCCAACACCAAGCCAGGTGGAGGGAGGAGGTGACTGTAAGCACATTCAAATAGAGAGGTCTTCAGTTCTGATCTAAAAGAGGGGAAGGAGGTGCCAAGGTTGAGAGAGAGAATTAAAGATTTGGGGAGTAGTGATTGAAAGTGCAGCCGCCGATGGTAGAGTGGAGGGAACGAGGGACAAGCAGGAGGCTGGAGCCAGCCGAGCGGAGGCAGCAGATAGTGGAGCGGGGAGAAAGGAGGTCAGAAAGGTAGGGAAGTGCCAGGGTGTGAAGGGATTTGTGGATGAGTGTGAGGATCCGTTCTGTGATAGAGAAACAATGCCGCGTTTCCCCCACAACGTACACAGTCAGTTCACTTTACAGTATATTCTGTGAAGCGCTTTGAGACGTCTTGAAGATGTGATAAGTTGCTATATCAAATGCAAGGATTATTATTATTATTAATGTTTAAATTCAGTTTCCGTTTGTTGCTGCAGGACTGAGTGAGTACGACTTGGCAGAGATGGGAATCCCATCCGATGAGGAATACCTCTCTCTTTACTGTGAGAACATGGGAATCAGGTCTGTTGAAAATTGGAATTTCTACATGGCCTTTGCCTTTTTCCGAATTGCTGCCATCCTCCAGGGTGTCTACAAGCGATCACTACAAGGTGAGCAAAATAGAGACCAACTACTAAAGATTGTGTATCAGTGACTGTGGACGGAGGGAACCATACAATCAGGTCATGCATTGAGGCTTTCGACAAGGTATTGCCAGGTAGTACTGTACGGAGAACATAGGACCAGGGCTAGGCCATTCAGCCCCTCGAGCCTATTCCTCCATTCAATTAGATCATGGCTGATCTGTACCTCAGCTCCGATTACCCGCATTTGCTCCATATCCCTTGATACCCTGACTTAACAAAAATCTATCCACCACAGTCATGAAAAAATTCAATTGATCAATTGGCATCCACAGCCTTTTGGGGGAGAGAGTTCCTTTGCCACAATAAAGAGCTTTAGGAAAGATAATTCCTTTGTGTTTCTGTCCAGGACAGGCAAGTTCAGCCGAGGCAGCAGGGGTTGGGAAGCTTGCTGAGGAAATGGCTGACTTGGCTTGGGTGTTTGCCACAAAAGAAGGTTTCCGCATCTTCAAATCGATTCCGACTGGAAACCCGGGAGTTCCGTTGAGGAGCTTCGCGACGTGGAGCAGGCAGAGTTCGTCAGCGACACATGTATCATCCTCGTTTGATATCAAAGCCCCCAGACACCCAGCTGTAGCAATGGCATCTGCTCCCAAAGGTCATCTGATTGTTTCCGCTGAGAGTCTGCCTGTCCGGGTGCAGGAGTTACATCGCACACTGAGTACCTTCATGGACAAGCAGGTGCTCCCCTTGGAGCAGGAGTTGAGAGACTACCAGAGCTCTGACAATCGATGGATCCCAAACCCCCACATAGAAGAGCTAAAGGTATGAGCTTTCACTACAGCAGAAAAATTGTCCCAAGAAGAGACAGGTCTGAAGTAAGATCCCCACCAGCTTTCACCCAGTGACGAAGGATTAGATTTTATCCACGTTCCTGTTAGATTACCAGCAAGGCTGGAAGGAACGGGTGGGGTTGAGGCAGAAATATAGCTGAAAATGTTCCATGATTTTCAGCATGGTTTAGGGGAGTTGAGGTTCATTTCCTTCCCCTTTCCTAATAGCCAGCAGCGAAACACCCTTACATTTGGGTAGAATCCTGACATTAAAAGAGTTAATCCTTGTGTTTTCAGAGGAAAGCTAGAGAGGACGGACTCTGGAACCTGTTTCTACCTCTGGAGGCGGATCCCAAGATCGAATACGGAGCCGGATTAACAAATTTGGAGTTTGCTTACCTCTGCGAAGTCATGGGCAGGTCACTGCACGCACCGGAGGTATTAGTATGACATTGCCTCGTGAGTGAGTCCCTCTGCCTTGTGCCCTATGGTTTAATAATAATAACAATAATCATAATCCTTGCATTTGACATAGCGCCTTACCACGTCATCAAGACGTCTCAAAGCGCTTCACAGAATATACTGTAAAGTGGAGTGATCTGTGCCTTGTTCGAGCAATTTTCTGAAACATTTCCCTTTTGACAGGTGTTTAACTGCTCGGCGCCAGACACGGGGAATATGGAGGTGCTGGTCCGATATGGGACCGAATCACAGAAGAAACAATGGCTCTTTCCACTGTTGGATGGGAAAATCAGATCGTGTTTCGCCATGACTGAGCCCCAGGTGCTCTATTTCCATTATCCCTTTTTTCTTTTCTCAAGCCTTAAAGAAACTTGTCTTTGTCTGAGTCTTTCTTTGTAACTTAGTCCTTCGAGGGCACTTCTGAGAACCGTTTTCAATGCTGCTTTGCCCTTTATGTGACCTGTGTTTCCACATTCCAGAACCTGATTCATCGACAATCTATACAACTCTCTAACCTATTTTGGAAGCAAACAGAGATATGAGAGACATAGCCAGATTAATTGTTCTTTGTTACATCCAGGTGGCCTCCTCGGATGCTACAAACATTGAAGCCTCAATCGTCGAGGATGGAGACTTTTACATCCTCAACGGCCACAAATGGTGGACCACAGGTAAGAGTGAGGCGCGTCTGCAGCCAACGGCAGGAGGGTAGGTAGCGCAGGGTTTGGTGCATTGTTTATCATCTCTTGGATTTTAATTTGATCCCAGTTTAGAAGCATGGGATGAAGATTTTATTGCTCAGATTGGTGTAAAGATCTAAGTTTGGGATATGTTGCGCTGGTTAGGGTATGGAATGCCCTGCCAGGAGTGTTAGTGGTTGAGGCAGATTCTATATTAGCTTCCACAAAGGGAACTTGAAAGATATCTAAAAGAAAAGAGGATATGGGGAAACAGCATGTAAATTGGACTGGAAGGATTGCTCATTAATAGAGCCAGCACAGACATGGTGGGTCGAATGGCCTTCTGTGCTGTACGTTTCAATGGTACATTATGGGGTTCTTCCCTGAGATTTAGGGTTAAGGCATATTTTGTCACCACACCGAAGGGTGTTTTACACTGCAGTTTACCTGTATGCTGCCAGAACTAGCAATACCTGATGGGAAATTGTGAAGAGAATTTTACTCTGCTTGTTACCTGGTAGTGCTTGATACTGGCATTGGATGCACAAAGGTATAAGATCTGCCAATTCTGTTTTAGAAGATGTAGAATAAATAATAATAATCCTTGCATTTGATCTAGCGCCTCACCACATCGTTTAGACAAAGTGCTTCAAAGATTAAACTGTGTGTGTGTGCGTGTAGTAGCCCATGACCATCTCTGCCTCCTGCCAGGTGCCCTTGATCCTCGCTGCAAACTCTGTGTGTTTATGGGAAAGACCGATCCCAAGGCTCCGCGACATCGGCAGCAATCCATGGTTCTGGTTTCTATGGATACACCCGGGATTCAGGTTCTCCGTGCCCTCTCCGTGTATGGGATGGAGGACCCGCCAGGTGAGATAGGATATCATTAAAGGACATTGAGCGAGGTCACATTGTAGGGACAGAGCTTCTCAGCGGCTAAATAGATTGCAGATCAGCTGGCAAAGGGTGGGGGGAGATGTACAGATGTTGGAATTGGGCAATTGGTGGCAGAAATGGTACAATGTTTGAGATTGGGTGGCAGGTGGAAGACATACAAAGGTTGGGTTGTCACAGATACAATGATTGGTGTAATAACACGTTTATGACATGGCTTCAGGAGGACATGGGGAGCTGCTTTTTGAAAATGTCCGTGTGCCGAAGGAAAACATTCTGCTGGAGCCTGGCCGAGGGTTTGAAATCGCCCAGGGTAGGCTGGGCCCCGGAAGGATACACCACTGCATGCGGCTCATTGGCAATGCAGAACGAGCATTGGAACTCATGAAAGAACGGGTGAATATGTAACACTGAATCATAGAAACAATTAATGAGTAAGAGGTTCTATAACTGACTGCTGTTAATGGAAACCCACATGACCTGGGTTACTCTGGATAAGGAATGTATGGAATCCTACAGCACAGAAGGAGGCCATTTGGCCCACTGTGCTTGTGTCGGCTCTTTGAAAGAGCTATCAACAAGTCTCACTCCCCCTCTCTTACCCCATAGCCCCGTACATTTTTCCTTTTCAAGTAAATATCCCCCTTTGGGGGATGGGTGGGGGTGTATTGGGTAATACTAACTGTGGTTTTCTCCCTTCCTGTTTCTTACATCATCAGTTGGGGAATGGCGTGCGATACATGGATTGAAAATAATCCTTCTCGTAGTAAGCCATACAAGACAGGAAGGTTCCCTAACCATCGGTCCAACCTCCCGCTCCTTGTAACTGTAGGTGAAAACTCGAAATGCTTTTGGGAAGCCACTCGCTGAGCAGGGCACTATCATGGCAGACATGGCTCACTCCCGGGTTGAGATCGAACAGGCACGGCTGCTGGTGCTGAAAGCAGCACATCTCATGGACACCGTAGGAAACAAGGTCAGTGAAGAGCTAGACTCCACAGTGCCACCCAAAGCAATACAGCAAAGGGTGCACGCCTGTAAAGTAAGTGCCCTCTCTCTCATGTTTTATTGCTCTTTTGCAAGTCAGATTTTTTTACTTCTTGTCTTGCATTCTTTTTTACGTGGCCTCGTGCTCGTCCTTGATTTCCTCGCCCACTGCAGTGTGAATTATTGATTTCTCTGAAACCATTTACTTCCCTGTTGTTCCAGGCAGCTGCCCCTGAGATCTCCATGATTAAACTCTTGGTGCCTAACATGGCTTTGAAGGTCATTGACCGTGCAATTCAGGTAAGGACAGGTGATGTGCAATGCAATCGATGCATGAACTGGTTAAACATGTGCTCATAAAGTGTGCGCATGACCATGGTGACTCTCTGTCTTGTTCCCTGAGTTACACAATGATAGATTTTCTGTCTCATTTGATCTTGTAAATGTTCAATAATTATTCCCGGAAAATAAATCCAAAGAGAGGGGCCAGAAAATGGGATTATAGGTTGGCTGCGTGTTCCACGTCATAGAATCACAGAATTCTACAGCACAGAAGGAGGCCAATTGGCCGTGCTGGCTCTTTGAAAGAGCAACCAACTAGTTCCCACTCACCCGCTCTTTTCAAGAATCTATCCAATTCCCTATTGAAAGTTTTGAAAGCATTCCAGATCGTAACTCCTCTGCCTGTGTTGTTCCGTGATGCTTTCATTTGTTTAAGGACGAGAGAGCTTTGTTTTGCCACTTGGCATCTTCTCTGTTTCTCACCTCTTGTGAGAGACTGATCTACAAACATTTACATTGGTCAGGATGCTAGACTTACGATCTGCTAATGCAGCAAAGAGCCACCGGAACGTAGCCACCAGGGTTAGCGCTGCGTTGGCTTTAGAATAATAATCCTTGCATTTGATATAGCGATTTATCACGTCGTTGGGACGTCTCAAAGCACTTCACAGAATATACTGTAAAGTGGATTGGTTGTGTATTTGTAGGTGAAATGCGGCAGCCAATTGCGCACAGCAGTGTCCCACAAGCAGTTGTGGATTGAGTGACGAAATTTTACTTTTTTTGGAGGGATTGTTACCCCCAGAAAGTGATCCGGTATTTCGACTAACACCCAGGTTCCTACTTACTGCTAGGTAAGCAGAAGTGTGTGGAGTAAGGAAACTTGACCTGTCCGGGAATCAAACCCGGGTGCTCTTGCTCTAACCACTACGCTCCCGGACTCCTCCTATATTTATACGATATATTGAGCTCTGAAAAATGGAGGAACCCAGAGCTGTGTTGGTGAGAGGCCTCTGAAGGTCAGAGTTCCAAGAATTCTATGTACAAGCTGACAGGCAAAGCTCAAGGTTTCCTTCTCTTCCCTCTGCTGTCTGACAGCTCCTGTTTTTTTTTCGTAAGCTGTTGAGTCTTGTGCCTGACAACAATAAAACATTCCACATGAGGGCGCGGGGAGACAGCAGCGCTGTGTGTACGCCGTGAGTGAGCAATCGCTGAACATTGCTGAGAGCAGAGATGTAGATTGGTCATAGCTCATCTACCCTCTATCAAGACAATGATTCTGAATTGTCTCAGGATATAACATCGGTGTCAGTGTATTCTCTGACAGTTTCCGTTGTGTGTTTGTTTAGGCATTCGGAGGAGCGGGTCTCAGCAGTGACTACCCCCTGGCAGAGTACTTTGGCTGGGCTCGTGCCTTACGACTTGCTGACGGACCGGATGAGGTTCACAGGACTGCCATCGCCAAACTAGAATTGAAACGTTGACACCCACAGAGAGTAGGTTTGGGACTGTGATGAATTAAAATAGCCACAGGCTTTAAGGGACACTAAGCATTTTACAGTACAAAGCGAATCATGAAAGTACGGTACTTGTATTCTTCCTTTGAGTTTTGTTTTGGTTTATTCAAAAAGACTCACCAATAATAACACTGATTATATAATGATTACATATTTTCTCTCCTGATGTCATTCTGTAGATGAGCACATACGTTCACGATCTTTCAATATATTTTGTAACTGACAATTTGGCCATGTGGACTTGGTGTATACGGAATTTCTGATATATTTACTTTGTGAAAATAAAAGCTATTAAAATCTATTTTTAAAGAATAAAGGTGATCCAGAGGAGTTCGGAACAAACTAACTGGGAAAGTGTATTTTTTTTTAATAAACTGTTAACTTAAGTCGTGGCTGTTGATCAAACCAAAATAAGTTGAGACCCGTGGGTGTATTGAGTTGAAGCATTCACTGTCCACGTTCTGTGTTTTAAAAAGTTGAAGGGAGTTCCTCCCTGTGTTCTGGCCAACACACAGGTACAAATAATCATTTACTTGCTGTTTGTAGGGAGTTGCTGTGTATACATTTCCATCCTTGTTCGCCTACAAAATACAGTCACCAACGAGACTTTAAATGTACAATAAATCCTGTAAATTAAAGGGCTTTGAGATGTCCTGATGTGAAAGGTGCTATATCAAATATATAGATATATATATCAAATATTGGTGGAGTCCTGTAGCTCAGTGGTTAGAGCACTCGCTTTGCAAGCGAGAGACCTGAGTTCAATTCCAGGCAGAGGGCGAAACCTCGGGCAAGTTTCCTTACTCCACACAGAGCCTAATAATAATCCCTCCAAAACCAAAACAATAATAAATTGTTCATTTACAATCTACGACTGTTTGTGGGACATTGCTGTGCGCAATTGGCTGCCGCGTTGGCCCACAAATATACAGTCAATTCACTTTACAGTGTGTTCTGTGAAGCGCTTTGGGACGTCTCCCGACGTGAAAAGCGCTATATCAAATGCAGGGATTATTATTATTATCATCATCATTTGTCAGGATCAGCGCGGATACAGCTGTTCTATGTATTTCTAATCTCCTAAATATGATTTTGTAAGCCAAATGGTTGTGAACATTTTATTAAATCCACCTTGGGGAGGGAAAATGTTTTATTACGCCGTGTCTTATTAACCATGTGGTTCCTAACTACGTGTTTGTTAATTTGATATAAAAAAAAACTTCAACTGGGCTGACACAATCTTTTAACCCAATAATCATAATCCTTGCATCCGATATAGGGTTTGTTCACGTCTTCGAGACGTCTCAAAGCGCTTCACAGAATCCGCTGTAAAGTGAGTTGACTTTTTTTATACGTATGGGCGAAAAATGACGTTAAGGACAAATGCATTTAGAATCCATTCATTCATTATTATTATTATTATTATTATTCCTACTTATTATTAATCAGCAATGTGACCCCATTGAGGAAGGGCGTCGGGTCCAGAGCCGGAACTACAACTCCCAGAATGCTCGACTTCCGGTCGGAGTGGCGTGACGTCGCGCCGGCGGCGGCGGCTATACCTCCGGGACCCGGATGTAAGGCCTTTCCTTTGGAGTCGAGGTAAGAAATGGCGGCGCCGCGCGCCCGGCGGGAGAGGGGGGGGAACCGAATCCGCCTCCATCGGCGCCGGGGAAGCTCCTTCCCCGCCCGAGGCCGCCGGGGAAACGCGGCGCGAGGTGTCAGCCGTCGGGATTAACCGATATTTCCGTCGGATGGCGGTTTACGTTCGTGTTGCGAGCGGTCGCTGTGGAAGTGATGAGGGAGGGATGATGGCGGCGGTGGTGGTGGTGGTGGTGATGGCTGAGGAGACACATAGACAGACAGATGTGGGTCACGCTGCCGTGAAAGCAGAAGGGAGAGGGAGAGAGAGAGAGAGAGGGGGTGTTAGGGGTTGTGAGTTGAGAGGAGGCGCTGTGTGTGTGTGTGTGTGTGAGAGAAAGAGAGACCCTCCTCACAGGCGCTGCCTCTGGGCCTCACGCTAACTGCTGCCTGAGGCAGTGAGTGAGAGTGAGTGTGTGTGTGAGTGAGTGTGTGTGTGAGTGAGTGTGTGGAGTGAGAGTGTGTGTGTGGTGAGTGAGAGTGAGTGAGTGAGAGGTGGGAGTGAGTGAGTGTGAGGTGGGAGTGAGTGTGTGGAGTGAGCGTGAGAGTGTGTGTGTGAGGAGTGAGTGTGAGAGTGAGGAGTGAGAGTGTTTGTGTGATGAGTGAGTGAGTGTGAGAGTGAGGAGTGAGAGTGTGTGTGTGATGTGTGAGAGTGAGGAGTGAGAGTGTGTGTGTGATGAGTGAGTGAGTGTGTGAGTGAGGAGTGAGAGTGAGTGTTGAGGAGTGAGTGTGAGAGTGAGGAGTGAGAGTGAGTGTGTGGAGTGAGGATGAGAGTGTGTGTGTGAGGAGTGAGTGTGTGAGTGAGAGTGAGTGTTGAGGAGTGAGTGAGTGTGAGAGTGTGTGATGAGTGAGTGTGTGTGAGAGTGAGTGTGTGTGAGTGTGAGTTTAACTCCGCGCCGGCAGCACCTTCCCACGTGTGTAAGTCACAACACAGGCAGTCGGAGGGAAATACCTTCTAAACCTATGAAAGGTTGTGGGGGAAAGGCCGGCAAATGGGACCCACGGGATACCTTTCAGAGAACCATCACCGGCACGATTGGCTGTTAAGTTTCTGTGGTTCCATAGGGCAGTGATAATTAATCGCAGTTTTGTTTAGGGTGTGTGTGTGTGTGAGAGTGTTATCGTGTTTGCGTTAGGGCCACGTGAGGGAAATACTAGTTTTAATTTCCAAGCTGTTCGGTTGCGACCCGAGGCTTTCCGGGTGTGTGCAGGGCTTAGGGTCCAGACCATTTCAGTGCCTCACACCTAAGCCTGTGTCGTCTTGTTCGCTGGGAAAGATGTTCGAGACTCGAGTGATCTTTCGCCAGTTCATGTGCTGTTTACTGCTGCGAGAAAGGTTGCTAAATCTAGACTTCCCTTTAGCCCTCAAACTTGTCATTGATTCTGTCCGCATTCACTGTTCTGTTGTCTATTCATAATCTGTTTCGCCCACAAAATACAGTCAATTCACATTACAATAATATTCTGTGAAGCGCTTTGAGACGTATCGAAAACGTGATAAGGGGCTGTATCAAATGTAAGCATTATTATTATTAAACCCCAAATGAAATTCTTCCTATAAATAGTCATTCCGCGTTACAGTGAGTGAAGCGCTTTGAGCCTTTCAACAATAGTGTGCTAAGGCGCGGCAAATACAAGTATTATTCCTCCGCCCCAATAAACGCGCGCTATCCCCGTCCCAAATGACCGGAAAGGGAGCAATTCCATGTTGAACGGTGTTATTAACTTACCTTTTTTTTTTGGTGTTGCAGATGGCTGAAGAACAGAAGAAGGTGAAAAAGCCAAAGCGGCACACCAGCCGAAATCCCTGGTTGGCAAGAGGCATTGGGAAGTACTCCCGCTCTGCCATGTATGCCAGGAGGGCAATGTACAAACGCAAATACAAGGCTCCTGAAACCAAGGTACAGAACATTGGGCAGATGGGGCCTGCAAGGGGCTGCTGAAAAGGCCACTGTAAAGCGCTCCGCGATGCTGCCCTCCGCATAAAAGGGGGCTATTACAAGTAACAGTTGTGGTTGTTGTCTTAACTTTGTTTCAAAGGAACCAGAGTTTGGTTTAAGAATTCCCCTCAAGTTATTTGAATTCCTTTGGATGCAGTTTATCCATTTATTCTCGCTAAATTGGAATCCAGATTTCCAATATTTTGTCATCCAATAATTGTCTCAGTAAAGTTGTGGCCTGTGTGTCTGAGGCTGTGTCCTTTGTTTGCAGATTGAAAAGAAACTGAAGGAAAAGGCGCCCGCCACAGTCAGCAAACCTGTTGGTGGAGACAAAAATGGAGGCACCCGTGTGGTTAAACTCCGCAAAATGGTAACGTGTAATCTAGGGCTTCTGTGTGCTTTCATTTTGGTTTAGGCCTTTAGTCCAAGGGTATTGTTGTAATATTTACCTGAAGTGTTTAAAACTGTCTGAAAGGTTGGTGGAAGCAGATTCACTAATAACTTTCAAAAGGGAATTGGATATATACAGGAAAAGAAAAAAAATTGCAAAACTGTGTGGTGAAAGCGGGGAAGTGGGACTAATTAAATAGCTTTTTCAAAGAGCCAGCACAGACACGATGGGCCAAATGGCCACCTTCTGTGCTGTAGGATTCTGTGATAGTAACAGGTTACCGGGAAGAGTTGTTGAGACTGTTTTACAGAAGGTGTGGGTGTATCGAAGGGTGAGATCAGAGGTTTGTTGAACTTGTGTTTCTAATTAAAACAAACTACCCTTTGCAGCCACGTTATTACCCAACCGAGGATTTGCCGCGCAAGAAGATCAGCCACGGTAACAAACCCTTCAGCAAACACAAGAGGCGTCTGCGAACGTCCATCACCCCGGGGACCGTCCTCATCATGTTGACTGGCCGCCACAGGTGCAAGGTGAGGGTCGGGAGAATGTGATTGTTTCTGTGTACAGGGTATCCACAACGTCCTCTTTCTCCTTGTTACAAAACAGCAATATGAGACTGCGGAGTTGCTGAAACAAGCTGTCAGAGGTGCATTTTGCCTCATCACTCCATCCATAAATACTACGGAAGATGTTGACCCAAATATGGTGATGTATCGTTATCTGCCATGAGAATGATGGCACTCAAAGCACACTGATCTTCTGGACGTCTAAATAGAGTCAACAACAACAAAGTTACGTTTTTATTGCGTCTTTCACGTCGGGAGGACATTGGTACTGAATACAATTAAGTACTTCTAAATACAGTTATCATTCTTTCACGTGTTTCAATTGTTGGTCAGTGCACTCTAGACATAAAAGGTGGTGCTAACAGGACTTTGTGGAGACCCTGTACAGCATTTCGAGTTGTTTTGACTTTTGCGCTTTGAATTGTTCATTTTCTGCAGATCAATTCCAGTGACATTGAGTTTTCTTTCTCTCGTTCTTTAGCGTGCGGTTTTCCTGCAGCAGCTCGGCACTGGCCTGTTGCTGGTCTCGGGTGAGTGCGGTCCTCCTATTTCTTAACTCAATCGCGTTCACCTGAGTAATAATAATCATTGCGCCTTTTAAGACGTCTCAAAGCGCTTCACAGGATATACTGTAAAGTGGATTTTGTGGGAGAAACACAGCAGCCAATTGCGCACAGCAGTGTCACACAAACAGTCACAACCTTCATTTGTACTTTTATTAGTTATGTCTTTGATTTGCTGACTGCTCCGGATCTTTTCCCTAACGCTCTGCTCTCTGTGTTGGCTGCAGGTCCTCTGACTCTCAACCGTGTGCCACTGCGCAGAGTGCACCAGAAGTTTGTCATCGCCACATCCACAAAGATCGACATCTCAGGGGTGAAGATCCCCAAACACCTGACAGACGCCTACTTCAAGAAGAAGAAGCTGCGCAAACCCAAGCATCAGGAGGGCGAGATCTTCGAGACCGAGAAAGAGGTATGTGTGGTGTAGTCTCTGCTTCGCCTGAAGATCCATCAGAGGGTCATCCATTTGGAACTCTATCCCACAGCGCCCTGCTTAGCTAATTCTGGACAATATTAGGCGCAGGTTGGCAAGAGCCCAGGCTTGGGGACCCCAGAGTGTGCGTTGGGGTAACTGCTGGATTCTAACCAGCTAAAACCGTACAGCTTGCCATCAATGCCACTGTGGCAAGGTTTCCCGCTGCTTGTCCAGCTCGGATCACTCCACATGTTGCTTCACTGACTAGATTGACCAGGCAATTATCTGACTGGTGTGCTCTGCAATTTGCAAAAGTATCGTGTACGTTTATATATTGATCTGTGATGTGAGTAGTAAGTGCCATGCTGCTGCTGGAAATGGCATCCTCTCTCGTATCTTACTGACGTTACTGAGCTTGTCTTCCGGAATCGTTCCTCACAGTTTGGCTGCTCTAATACCACAGGGAGCAATTGCTGATAAATCTGTCCACTGCTGACACTTTTCTAACAGGGTGTTTGCCCAGTAATGTATTCAGCAGTAACTGCCTGCAAGGGGGTAAGGGAGAGAAATGTGACGAATCCCCCCAATGTCATATGTCAAAGGAGAGGGTGCAAGCTACACTCTGTGTCAGAAACCAACCGTGATCTGATGCTATTTCTGCTTGCTACAATAAACATAGTCTCATTCAGTTGCAGTCTCTTCTAAGTGAGACCTGCTGTGCTGTTTATGCTGACTGTTACATGGCAAATCTTATAAATCCCAGTGTTGTATGGACTTTGATGCCTTACACATTGACAGCGTAGAAGGAGTCTGCATCAGCTCTCAGAGTAAGGTGTTCATTCAATCCCACTACTCTGCCATATCTCTACACCCCTTCAAGCCTCTATCTCTCATATACCCATCTACTACCCTCTTAAAACCCACAGTGGATTCTGTCTCTTCTACCTTAGTGGCAGTGCATTCCACACCCCCAACAACTCTGTGTGAAAAAATTCTGATGCTCTGTGCTACAGTGAATAGTTGACTGGGGAGACTTTTGTTGAAACAAGAACAGTTAATGCTGCATCGGCAGGACCAGAGGGGACAGACCAACTCCTTGGAGCAGGAATTCTTCACACTTGGGTCCTGTTAACTGTGCAAGTCAAAGCCCTAACTAGCGGGGAGCTGGATAAGCAAAGGGAAGCTTGGCAGACAATGCTCTCGATAAATAGCACTTTAATCGGTAAGCGGGGTCCATCCCTCCAGGGAGAGCGAGAGAGAGAGAGAGGACTCCATTCCAGTCGCGTGTAAATTTCCTTATGTAGGTAGCATTCCACATGTGGAACTCTGGTTTGGATGCTCTGATGAATGGGTTTCTTCGTGTGTCAGACAGCCATGCGTCTGACCAAATAAATACTGTGAGGTTCCAGTGACTCAGCATGCGGGCTTCCAACTCACGCCTTGCTCCTCCCCCATCCACAGAAATACCAGCTGACAGAAGAGCGGAAGAAAGACCAGAAAGCGGTGGATTCCCAGCTCCTGCCCATCATTAGGAAGACGCCGGAGCTTCGCGGCTACCTCCGCAGCACGTTCTGCCTGTCCAACGGAGTTTTCCCACATAAACTGGTTTTCTAAACGAGGTGTAAAAAGCTCTTATTAAAACCAAAATGGAAAGATCTCTCCGACTCCTGTTCCTTTGTCTACGAATGTCTGTCGGCTGCAGTAGTGGGAGAGAGAGAGAGAGATGCGAGGACGGGGTGTAGAGGTAGAGAAGTCCCATAGTTCAGTGATTTTTTTTTGGTGGCCTCAGTGTGCAACGCTTACTAATGTTTTTCCCAACGACGTTACATTGAAATTCAAGGAGTATTACTGTTATTCTCCTGATATTAAACGGCATCAGGAAAACCATTCACCGAGCGGATCGGGGGAAACGTGTGAAAAGCCGCACAATTGGGGTTCGCCAGAAATTTTTAAAAAATCCAGGATCTTTGTAGCCCAAAGTCCACCGGACGGTAGCCCAAGAGTAGCCCAGTGTTACGGGCAGCGGAGTGGCCAGTCCGGGAAAGCGTTTTGCAAACTTTTAAGGAAAAGGTCTTTAAGAGGGAAGGAAGGGAGGAAAAAGGACGATTCCCGGGTTTAAATACGTGTGTGTGGGGGGGGTGGGGGGGAAATATTAGGCGCCCGCCCAAAAGCCAGGTCTTCACCCGCAGCCACGACAGGAACCCGCCCAATTGGGCGTGAATAGCGCGCGGAGCGCGGGTGTGGGCGTCGGGAAGACCACGTGCCGGGGAACAGGCCGGGCGCTTCCGGTCTCCTGTACGGCAGGGACGAGACTTCCGGTCGTGTACGGCAGGAGCGGTTGCGGGGCGGAGACGGTGGGGGGGGAGTCATGGCGCTGCTCCTGGTCAGGGCCGCTCTGCCTCGGCACCGGAGGGACTGACACCAGAGAGCAGGTAAGGCCGTGAGCCTCGCGCTGGGGTGGCTCCGGGGGCTTTTTCTCGTAAGCGCTCGGGGCCGCCATCAGCCCTATTATAAAGGCAAGTTGTTGTCGTCTCTTCCCCCCCATCACCCCCACCCCTCCCCCCATCACCCCACCCCTCCCCCCCATCACCCTCCCCCCCCCCCATCACCCCCACCCCTCCCCCCATCACCCCCCATCCCACTCCCTCCCCATCACCCCCACCCCTCCCCCCCATCACCCCCACCCCTCCCCCCCATCACCCCCACCCCTCCCCCCCCATCCCCTCCCCACTCTTCACTGGTCGGGGAGGAATAATATTATTATAATCAATAATAATAAATAATAATAATCGTTGCATTTGACACAGCGCCTGATCACGTCGTCGAGACGTCTCTCAAAGCGCTTCGCGGAATAGACTGTACGGCGAACTGACTGTGTGTTTTGTGGGAGGAATGCTAATAATAATCATAATAATCCCAGGTTTCTCCTCCTCTTCTTCCCCCAGCTTGATGTCAGCACCGCGGCATCATGATGATGATGACGAGGACGATGACGATCCTTGCATTTGATGTAGTCGAGACGTCTCAAAGCGCTTCACAGAATATACAGTGCTGCCACTTATTTTGTGGGTGAAACGCGGCAGCCAATGTCGCGCACAGCCCCCAGCCAGTGTCCCACAAGCAGTCGTGGACTGAGTGACTATATTTCGCCCACAAATATACAGTCAATTCACTTTACAGTGATCCCTGTGAAGTGCTTTGAGACGTCTCGAAGGCGTGAAAAGCGCTATATCAAATGCAAGGATTATTATTATTATTATTATTATGACTAATTTTATCTGGGGCACTGCTGGCCAGGACACCGGGAGAGAGAAACTCTCTTCGCGTCCACCTGTAGGCGAGTTGGAAGGAGGGAGTTTCGGAGGTTAGGGGTGTAGTGACTGAATGCTCGGCCACTGATGGTGATGCGGAAGGGGAGGAGATGCAGCAGACCCCTGTTAGCCAGGTGAAGGGTGTGAGCAGAGAGGCGTGAGAGAAGATTAGAGAGTGAAGGTGAGGACTTTGAAACTAATCTGTTGGGAGTCGGCAAATCATTTTTACGTGGATCTCAGTGGCTGTTTTATACGGGAGTTTCGGTTTCTCTTCTGAAATCAAATCCTCTCCGCACATTCATCAGTATCTGGGGAAATCATATGACCGGTTTGTGTGGAGAGCTAATTATTGAACTGGTGCAACTGATTTAATCAGTTAACAATATTGTGTGTCCCTGCATCGTAGAGTCTATTTTAAAAGGTTTATTTTACCCGGTTGACTTGCATATCACGTGGGCCTGAACCAGTGCGGAATCTCTGTGCAGGTTAATAATAATAATAAGTCGCTATATCAACTGCAAGGATTATCACGTTGTTGAGATGTCATACCAGTACCTCACCCAACCATCTTATTCCTTGTCTGTGAGCCAAGGCACTGGCGTCTAACGTACAGTAACTGATTACAAATCTCCATCCTTTCCAATGGGAATATATGTATTGTATATTAAATGCCAGGATTATTATTATCACTGACCAGGAATATGTCAGTTCGCCCTGTAACTCGCTTCAGGAATGCATTGTTCTGTATGTAAGCCATTGAAACGGTTTGATCCGAGTCCAGCCTCAGATATCTATTCCTTATCTGATCTTCATATTATTTTACTTGCGCTTCTATTGTTCAAAATCCCCCGACTGCATGCGGGTTAATGTTTTTTTATTTTTTTAAAAAAGTATATTGAATATACTCTGCTGCTAGAGTTCCCTCTATTCATCGCCACAAGAAATAAATTGCCATCAAATATAAGCGTAGAGACATTTCAAACCTCAACCATCATTTTTCAACAGAAACAAGTTGTGGTTTGTGTATCGAAGATGAACGCTGTGACTGTGGTCAGACTGCTCTGTCTCTCTTCTTTAGTCAGCAACAACTGAAATGGGTTTCCATTCAGCCATTTCAAAAGCGCCTTGGTTGGCAGCACTCTCAACCCTGGGTTGGAAGACTGTGGGCTTCAGACCCACTTCTGGACGCTTACAAGAGCTACAGAGTCCTGTAATAATAATAATAATAATCCTTGCATTTGATATAGCCCCTTATCACATTATTGAGACATCCCAAAGTGCTTTATACTGTTCAGAATACACTGTAAAGTGAATTGACTGTAATATTTGGTCGAAACACAGCAGCCAATTGCGCACAGCAGCGTCCCCAAACAGGCGTGGATGGATTGACTGTATTTGGGTGGGGGGGGGGGATTATTACTTCCGGTAAATGATCCCCCAATCGACAAACAACCGGGTTCCTATTTGCCAGGTAAACAGAGACGTGTGAAGTAAGCAAACTTGTCTAAGGTTTCGCCCTGCCCGGGAATCTCACCTGGGTCCTCGCGCTTACGAGGCGGGTGCTCTAACCACTAAGCTACGGGACTCCCAATGCCACACAAGCTCGTCTACCCTCAGTTTGATGTTACTTTGAATCCAGGTTCTCCTGGCTCCCGCGATGGTGAAGTGGCACCTGGTCGAGAACGTGAAGCACTGGGCTTACCGACGGCCCCCAGTGGTCGTGTTTGTTTTGAGCATCAGCTCTCTGGCCATCGCCTTCCTCAGTCTGGGCATCTACATCCAGTCGCACAAGGTGGCGAGCGTGGAAGACACTCAGGTAAGAATGTTTACAGCACTTTATCACATTCAAACACCTCAAAGTACTTTACAATATTCATTGCCGAGCACAGTAACTGAGAGTCCCATCACCTCCCCTGAATCAGCCATTGGGCAGTCGGGCTTTCAGCCTTTCTGCCCTCACTTCATCACCGTGTCCCTCCGCCTCACCCCTTCCCTCGCCTCCTTAAAGTATCGACTCAAGCCCCTTCCCCTTTAACTGTGCCTTCGGTCATCGTTTCCCCACCAACCCACACCTCCTTGCCATCCAACCCCTGCACTCTCCAGCATCTTGGGACGTCCTCCCAATGTGAAAGGCCCTATATCAATGTGGTTGCTGTGGTGGTGTAGCATTAATGTGTGTACAGCGTCTCGAAGAGCTTAACACTGTTTGGCATAAATGATCATTTGTGGCTTTGTTTGGTTCCAGGCCAGGAACATCTTCTTAAAATCTCTGAGTGAGCAGGAATTCTGTACATCTGAAAACATAGCTCTGCGTGTGACGGATACAGAAAGACTGCGGGACGCCGAGGGTAATGGCGGTGCTACAAGGAGACGGCCGGACCTCGATGCCTTGTCTCGTCCCACAGAGAACCAACGTCCGGGCACAGTCACCCTCTCATCAGGGACCCCAGTCAGCGTCTCTCTGCTGGTCCCAATGGCTTTTGGCATTGCCAAAGGGGTGTCTGGTGACCGAACTTACCTCCAGGCCGTGGCGAATGGGAGCAGGTTTGGTCTGACGGGTGAGTTTGAAGCGTTCAGTGAAGACTGAACACAGCCTGCTGGTGAGAGGGCCTCAGTGGGGCTGTTGAGATGAGTCAAGATCGCACACCTTGCTACCTCAGCACTGACACCACCCCAATTAAACCAGGCTCTCATTATAAGTCTCTCGGTTACGCTGCCATCTGAACCTGGGTTCGATTCGCTTCCCAGGCAGGGAGAAACCTCAGGCATATTTCCAGTCAGGGATTGAGTGACCAAATATTTTTTTCCCCCCCCAAAAGGTTATTTACTGCTACTTCTAGGTAAACCAAGACGTGTGGAGTTACGAAACTTGCCTAAGGTTTCGCACCGCCCGGGAATCGAACCCAGGTCCTCTCTCTTGCGAGGCGAGCCCACTAACCACTACACTTAACGGACTGCACAATTGTCAAAGCTCTGGCTTTGGGAGATCCCCAGTGGGTTTTTGGTGAGGATGTTGGCATTAGTTACACATCATCACTAAATTCTTCTCCTCTTCAGATTCTGAAGCGAAGGAGATGATTAACATCTCGCTGGTGTTGCCCTGGCGACCAGGACCATACCCCTCCCAAGTCAACTCCTCAGCGACAAAGACTTCACTTACCTGCGTGACAATGACGGCAGCTGCACACGTCCTCCCCCAAGCGCGGTGAGTGAAAACTGAGCCGGGAGAGAGGGGCGGGGGAGGGAGAGAGAATTGTCAAATCGTTCGCCACAGTGTGCGAATGTCACTCTGACGTGCACGGCGTGACTCCTCGCTCGTCGTCGGAAACAAATTCCATCAGATCCGTCTGTGGCTCAAAATGTAACTGACTGACCCTAACCGTTCTCCGAGATCGTTGCTGCTGATTGCTGTCCTTTGACCAAAAAGAAATCTGTCACCTTCAGGAGAGGAGCAGGGAAACTAGCCAGCCAGCGGATTCTCGCAGCGAATGGTCATGGAGATCTTATGAAATGTATAAAGAATTGGGAACAAGAGAAGGCCATTCAGCTTCTGAGCCCATTTCGCCACATGGCACATCTTTTGCAAATCTTCCCTATCCCACCTCCCATCTCGTACCTCTTCATAGTTTTACTCCCCAATTATCTATCCGTCTCTGTTAACTCCCTCAGAATGATTTCCCATCTCTGGCTTTCTGGACCAGTACATCGTACATTCCTGAATATTCTCTGCAGGAGAAAAAAACACCCTCACACATGTAGTTGAGCAGTGATCCTATTTAAATTGTATTTATATGAGACCATTTGAACCATTTTTAATAAAACTTCAAATAATGCTTTTCACATACGGAGCAAACTAGTTCTAATGGCATTTGGTGAATTTTGAGAGGAGAGACTGGTTTCCAATCCCACGTCACACACATTCGTGGAGTCCTGTAGCATAGTGGTTAGAGCACTACTGTGCACAATTGGCTGCCACATTTCATCCACAAAATACACAATCAATCCACTTTACAGTATATCCTGTGAAGCACTTTGAGACATCTCAACGACGTGATAAGGCACTATATCAAATGCAAGGATTATTATTAATACCATTTATTTGTTCCCAGGAAATATTTTCCTCCTTGTAAATTGGAGAATTTCACCGATGTCACAGCTCCTCACCCAAAGTCTAGATCAGTGGAGGGATCAATGAAGACTTCACCAACTGTACAATGCTACAAGGCCCAATACACAGTGGACCCCGCATTTTTCGTTTGGTTGTCAGAGGTGAGTACTGGATGCTGTCTCATTGCCTCGGGCAGCCTCATGGTTATGTGTTAGCAAGTCTACCTCATCTTCCCCTAGAGTTCTGGGGCTTAGTGTTGTGAGGGCCTGTCTTAAGTGCTCTGAAATGTTACCCTGCGTGGAGGGCACTATATAAGTGCAAGTTGTTGTTGCCGGTACAGAGATTCCAGTAGATTTTGGAGGCCCGGGTCCCTGAAATACCAGATCATGATGACTGAAATGTTACGTGGAGTCCTGTAGCTTTATGAGTCAAACACAAAGATTTCAAAGGTGTTGCTATATCGGTGATCGTGCAATTCGTGAACTTTTCCCCCGCAGAATATTCGGTGCAACAAACAAGTTTAACTTGTGTTATTTTGCACCATTAAAGTTGCTGCTGCTGTGCCTAGGAATGCTGTCATTTTGAGATTGTGCCAACATTTCCATGCAAAAGTATTTCCATGTAGCATTCACCCTCTCAGCCTCTTTCTGTTCACGCCTTGAATCTTTTGCATATTAGCTGACCCTCCAATTACCCAAATCAATCCTACACTGCTTAGTAATTAGCATTAACCAGTGCAAACTGAGGATTCGGGTTCGATTCCCGGGCAGGGCAAAACCTTTAGTTTTCTTACTCCACACGCTTCTATTTACCTAACAATAAGTAGGAACCCGGTTGTTAGTTGATCGGCGGATCGCTTTCCAGGGGTAATAATCCCTAACAAAAAAAAATGTGGTCATTCAATCCACGACTGTTTGTGGGACACTGCTGTGCGCAGTTGGCTGAATTGGAAAGAAAATGGGGATAACAGGACTTTATGTACATTCAGACCTCCGAGATGTGAAATTCGACAAAGACCAAAACAATTGATTTTGGACCGATGGCCTCTTAAGAAGCCTCCGTTTTGATTATTAGTGCCTAATCAATTCCTGTTCTCTTTGCTGTGTAGGAGGAGCGAGCTCTCAGTGGGCGCCATTTATTGTCGACCAGTTACGCACTGTTTCTTCTGGCAATGATTATCTTCTGCCTGTCTGCAGTGTGTGGGCTGAGCAGGAAAACCAGCCCCAAAGCTTTGAACCTGCACAAGGTACTTAGGCTCCTGGGCTCCTGTATATCTGTACACACTGTCTCCTGCCTGTACTCTCGCTCTCTTGTCATCAAAATTCATTAATTTGCAACGCATATGAACACCTCCCCTCCTTGCGTAGCTACTGAAGGCCAACGTTCTGCCTATCAAGCCTGTTTCACCGATTAAACCATAACGCATTGTAATCAATTCCTCCACACCCCTCAATCCCCAAGTATCTATCTAAGATCTTGCTGCAATAATCTACAAGCATCACCAAGTCATTACTCGATCGTACATTTCCTTGCATCGGATACAGCGCCTCATCACGTCTTCGAGGCGTCTCAAAGCGCTTCGCAGAATACACTGTAAAGTGGATTGACGGTGTTATTTTGTGGGCGAAATCATCATCCCGGGACCCGGATGTAGCCCGCAGGGCTGCCTGTTGGACCCTCCCCAATCTCCCCCCCCCCCCCGCTTTAAGTCATGACTCTTGTTTCTGTTTCAGGTGCAGCTTTTGGACTTGTGATTGTGGACACATCTCCAGCCTCATTGGGAGAAACTGTTGATGGAGTGTGTTTGAGAACAGCAGGAAACACAGCTTCTGAACGCTCTCCTGAAAGGTTCCTACATGAGACTTGAACAGCGTTGAAGTAACTGGATAATCCATTCTGCAGGTCACATGTCAATAGCAGTGTCACTACAGTGTGTACTCAACCGAGGCGTCAGGTTTGACCCCCAATTATCCTTCCTCCCCCACATCCGGTCCCTCATTAGCACTGCTTTCTTCCACCTCCGACGCATTGCCCGTCTCCACTAATACCTCTCCCCAAAAGCCGCTGAAACTCTGGTCCATGCCTGTGTCATCTCTCGGCTGGACTATTCAAACGCCCTCCTCGCCGGTCTCCCATCCACTCCCATCCATAAAATCCAACTCATTCAGAACTTTGCCGCCCGCATTCTCACCCGCACCAAACTCCGCTCCCCGATCACCCCAGTCCTGGCCAGACTGCACTGGCTCCCTATCCCACAGAGGATCGATTTCAAGATCCTCACCCTCGTATTCAAGTCCCTGCACTCCTCTGCACCCCCCGACCTCTCTGACTTCCTCTCTCCTCCGCACAGTACCCGTTGCCTTCGTTCCTCCGGGTTTGGCCTCCTCCTCGTCCCCCAAGTCCTCCACTCCACCCTCGGCGGCCGTGCCTTGAGCCACTGTGCCCCGAGGTTCTGGAACTCCCTTCCTCACTCCCTTTGTCTCGCTCCCTCCCTTCCCATTTTCAGGTCTCTGCTGAAGACCTTTCTTTTCGACCGAGCCTTTGGTCACCTTCCCACCCCCACCTCCACCCTGGCTCGGCCCCGGGATCCATTACTGTAAAGCGCTTTGAGACGCCATCCGGCGTGGAGGGCACTATATAAGTCCAAGTTGTTGTTGTGTTGTACAGTGGAAACTCACTCGTCAGGCCAGCAAAAAGCCTGAGGAAGCTTGATTTCATTAATAGCACAAACCTCACGACTGAGTCCTGACTTTTTTTATACAAGAGCATGTAAAAAAGAATCATACTCTTACATAGCAAAAAATCATACATGTTGGTGTATGATTCTTTCACCCCGGCATATTTGTAAATTCGATTCCTGGACGAGACAAATCCTTAGGCAAGTTTTCTTACCCCACACGTTTCTGTTTACCAACAGTACGTAGGAACCCGGTTGTTAGTTGAGTCGCCAATTGCTTTCCAGGGGTAATAATCCCTTTTAAACAAAAATCCAATTAACTTTACAACATATCCTGTGAAGTAATTTGAGATGTCTCAACACTATATCAAATACAAGTGTATTATAATTTGCCTACAAAATCCAGTCACTACATTTTGCAGTACATTTTGAGACGCATTCCCAACATAAACGCCATCGTTGAAAGCCAAACTGACCACGTTAGCAAGTTGGCAACATTAGTGGCGTGACTTTAAGATGAGTTTCCACTATATATTTTGACCCATAAAATTTGCCTATAGTGAGTCATGTTTAGCTGTAACTGTAATCTGCAACAGAAGCTGGAACATTTTAGTTGTATATTTAACCCCTCTTTCTGTCTTTTAAACTAACAGGTAACAAACATTTTATTAAATTTGAATCATTATTTATAATTTGGTTTAGAAGCACAAAGCCTACGACTTAAGTGCATTTATTTAAAACGTTCCTGTGAATATAGTGGTTGTCTCTCTCCCTCTGTTTCACAGCCTGAATGTGTGACCTGACAATCTAGCACTCTTGCTATCACAACAACAAATTACATTTGTGTAGCGCCTTTCATGTCAGGAGGACATCCCAATGCGCTGGACAGTCAGGGATCTGCACCCGAGCTGGTAGTTGGGACCAGGAGAGGTGGAGGGAGGGGAGGCAGGTGTAGAAGGGTGACCAAAGGCACGGTCTAAGAAGAGGGTCTTGAGAGGAGGCAAGAGAGGGGGTGAGGTGGAGCGACTATGAGATGGAGTTCCAGAGGGTAGGGGCTGAGAGGTGGGTCGGGCAAGGCGGGGGATGTGAAGGAGAAGTTTGTGGGTCCAAGCCCCACGTTGGGACTTTGAAATCACACAGTCTAAGCCAGCGGTTCTCAAATGCGGTCACTGTGGTGCTTGCAGTCACCCACGTGATTTTGTGTGGTCACAACAGTTCTCGCCTCAACCCCCACCGCATGAGGTGTGCAGTTGCTATTGGCCAGCTTCAGCATCGGTACAAAAAACAGATGTTTTTTCTGTAGTGTGCTGTTCTTGTTTTTTCTGTAGTCTGTGCAAGGTTTTGTGAAAAAAAGTGCTTTCTCAAGTGTGGTTTGTCACCAGTAATAATAATAATCCTTGCATTTTATATTGTGCCTTGCCACATCGTTGAGACATCTCAAAGCACTTCCCAGAATAAACTGCACAGTGCATTGCCTGTGTATTTTGTGGGCGAAACCTGGCTACCAATTGCCCAGAGCAGTGGCCCCCAGACAGTAAAATGCAAAAATCTACACAAATAAAATGAAAACCATTTGAGATGGTCGTGTGTCTGTATTTCTTTTATTTTTCATGTCATTTAAGTATGCAATTTTAGGAAGGTAGGTGTCGGTGACTGCGCCACCGAGGCAGCCGGGTGTCTTGACCAATGCGGAAACCCATCACCGTTGCTTAAGAGTCTCCAAACCAAACTGAGAATTCCATACATCCCATCTACACATGGAAATCCCAGAGACAGATTGTTGGAATGGAATGCGCTCTCTCTCTCTCTCTCTCTCTCTCTGTCTCCCTGGAGGGACACATCCTGTTCACCTAATTCAGGAAGGTATTAGGCACAGGTTGGCAAGAACCGGGACCTGGGGACGGGCGGGCGGGTGGGACCTCAGAGTGTGCGTTGGCGTAACTGCTGGAGTCTCACCAGCTAAAACAACATAGCTTTCCATCGCTACCGCTGTCTGGCCCGCTTGCCTGCTACTCGCCGAGCTTGGACCCCCCCCCCCGACCCGTTAGGGCTTTGGCTTGCGGGGTGACACGGGAGCCGAATGGGATGACTCCCCCCCACCAGCGACCGGTCTGCACTTCCCCCAAGTCTGGCCGATGGGCTGTCGCCGGTCGGCTGTGCCCTGGATTGCCGCGGACCCTCCTGGCTCAGGAACCCGGAGACCACCGCAGACGGGCGGGTGGATTCCCACATTCCGTGGCCAGGCCTGTGTGACGCTGTTGTTGTCGTCGTCGTTGTCGTCGTCGTCACCTCGGGGCCCAGTTCAGCCGCAAAGCGCTTTGAGACGTCTCAAAGGCGCGACGCGGCGCTGTACCGCACGCGAGGTGATTGCCCTATTGCTTATTTAACAGGCTCGAGGGGCTGAATGGCTTCCTCCTGTTCCTATGTTGCTCCCCTCCCCACACAGGGGGGTGGCACTGCGCATGCGCGGGGCTGGCCGGTCGGCGAGCGAGAGAGAGGGCTGTAACTGCGCCTGCGCGGCGGCGGCGGCGGCGGCTCCGGGGGGGAGGGGGGCGGGGTCGAGGAGTGGAGCGGGGCTCGTAACTGCGCCTGCGCGGTGGGGGGAAAGAGGCGCGGGGCTCGTAACTGCGCCTGCGCGGTGGGGGGAAAGAGGCGCGAGGGGGGGTCCTAACTGCGCCTGCGCATTGTGGTGGTGGTAGGGAGCCGTAAGTGCGCCTGCGCGCTGTGGGGGAGGCGGGCGACGCGGGGCCTGGAGCAGCGTCGGCGGTTAACGACAGAGACACGAACAGCCGTGAGGTCCTCAACGAGAAGGCGCTGAGGGGAGCGGCGCGGAGAGCGGAGCGGAGGGGCGGAGGCTTCACAGCGAGGGGCCGGTCTGGGCCTGTCTGTGCCGCCGGTCACCCGGAGGCCCGGAGAAGCCTCGGCTCCGCGTTTAGGCACAGCCCCGGCACAGAGAGCGCGAGAGAGAGGCGCCATGGCCTCCAGCAACTACACCTGCCTGAGCCGCGCTCAGCTGACCTTCGAGTACTTGCACACCAACTCGTGAGTACCGGTCCCTCTGCGGCGGCTTCGGGGTCGTCGTTTACGTGGTGTTGTGTTGTTGTGTTGTGTGATGTCGTCCCCATTTCTGCGATTCACCTTTTTTTTTCTCTATATTTTCTTATTTGTCAAATAAATGTTTGTGTTTATGTATTTCTTTCTCTCTCTGTGTGTGTGTGTGTGTGTGTGTACACTATCTGGGTATGTGTACATGTGTGTACGTGTGTGTACATGTGTGTGTGTGTGTGTGTATATATGTGCACATATGTAAACGTAACTGATTTGCCCCCAAAATATACAGTCGATCCACTTTATCCTATTTCCTCCGAAGCCCTTTTGAGACGTCTCTCGACGACCTGTTAAAAGGCGCTGTATCGGATGCGAGGATTATTATTATTATTTTTTTTTTTTTTTGGGGGGGGGGTAATAATCCCTCTCTCTCCCCCCCCCACACCCCCACTCCTCCACCCCCCAAAAAAAAAAAGATCTGGTCACCGAATCCACCACTGTCTGTGGGACGGACGTCGCCCGCGCGCGAACCGGCCGCCGCGTTTCGCCCGCCTGAATGCGCGGCCCGTCCGCTTCGCGGCGTGTTCGGCCCGGGCACCGGCTGGTAAGCTTCTGGCTGCTTGTCCGGCTCGGACCCACCGTTGGAATTCCCCACCGGCGCCTGCGTCGTCCCGGAGCGCCGCGCGCCTTCCTGTTTCGGGTCACCGCTCGTCTCTGGCATTCTGTTACCGGGGGGCGCGCTCGCCTTGCGGGCAGCCGGGTTTTAGCGGCAAAGGCAACCTCGCGTACCTCCTTCCCAGCCTCCGGTCCCCAGGTGGGCAAACGGGAAGGTTTGAAACAATAAATGGCGCGGGAACCGCGAAGCTCACTCGGCGGACTTCATCCGGGGATGTTATTTCGAAAGGTTTGGCTTACGAGTTCTTGAGGTGATTTAGCGTCCGACCGTTTTCTGTGTGTGGTGTCACTCTTATCCATGCTGTTTGTTGTTCTTGATATTTTTTTTTATACGCAAAATATAACGGCATAATGTACTTCAGTTTGATACAGCGCCTTCGCACGTCTTCGAGGCGGCCCAGAGCCCTTCGCGGAATATGCTGTAAAGTGTAGTGACCGGGTGTTTTGTGGGCGAAACGCGGCAGGCAATTGCGCGCTGCAGTGCCCCACAAACAGTCGTGAATTGAGTGACCAAACCGTCACCCTTATGGAGAGTTTTCCCTGTGTGGGGAGGGTATAAGAGATTAAAGTTGTAACCTTAAATCAACACCTCACAGGGTAAGACTGGTCAGACAACCTGTGTTTGCCTATCAGAGCTATTGAGGGTCATGCCCATCAGTACTGTACAAGCAGTTTGCATACTTTTGTTTTTAAATTGACCTGCTTTAATCTCTTTTTTAACCGCTAAAAAGATCAGACTATTTGTTGGGTAAGGGACAAGAGACGGGTGATGTCTAACCAGTAAAAGTATTTGAGAAGTAAAGCTATGAAGGATGTGGAGAAAAGGTCAGAACAGGTTTGACTGGATGAATGGTCTGTTCCTATGTCCTCCAGAAGTCAGGGCACATGTGTTCTCCAGTGCAGTGCTGCAGGTGAGCTGAACGCGGGAGATGGTGTTCTTCAGCTGAGACATTAAACCAAAGTCTTGTCTGCCTGTTCAGGTGAACAGAGGTGTGTGTATGGAATAAGGAAACCTGCTTAAGGTTTTGCTTTGCCCGTGAGTTTGGGAGTTGTGCTTTGTTGTGCACCTCTTTTGAGGAAGAAAGATAAATGTTAAAATGTGTAATGTTGCTGCAGAAAGCCCCAGATGGTATTTCTCTATGGGAGTACTCCATTAATGGGGGAAGCAGCAAAGGTAACCTGTGTCAGGTTTCCTTCTGTCAATGCCCAAGATTAATTAGAATTTACCGCATGATTTGTGAAGTGCACCAGAGATTTGAGACTAGACAAATTGTCCTGAGAATAAAAACTAAGCAATTTAGTGAACTGCAAATGTTTATTGTTATTACTGGGGATAAAGAAATTAATTTTGTTGGCCCAAATTGTCAATATGTTTAATTGTATTTAATTTAAATCAAATTGTTAACGCGGAAAATTGTGAGTCTTTTGTGTGGTTCGAGGTCCCAACAAAATCACGCTCACACAGATAGCTAAAAATGAACTTTTACAACTTTTATATAGCGGTGGTGTGCATGATACAGAAAGATAAAATTACCATTCAAGAGCACAGAATACAGAGTCGCAGGAGTCTTCTTCTTTGTCTCTTTAAGTGGTACTGTCTTTCTTCCCGGGTCTGTTCCAACTTCAGGCTAGGGAAAATGGACACCTTTCAGATGTTACGTAATTTCCATTATAAGCGAAATGCATAACACAAGAGCATAATAGTCACCTTAATCCTGTCTGATGGTTTATATTGTTAAAGTCATTACAAATATGCTTTCCAATGGTAAAGCTTAATAATAGTGTGTGTGTGTGTGTATATATATGTGTGTGTGTGTGTGTGTCATGATGCATCATTGTTATGCCAGAAACAACTCGCGCATGATGCTTCATTCTTCTGCTTTGTTCTCAGCTGCATGAACAAAAGGGGAAGAGGGTAAAGTTCAAATGAGTAATTGCTACTTGGGGTATTGGAGCTATGAGTGGTTCAATAAGTTGACAAGACTCAACTGCCCTGATGTACGCTGTCTGTTAGGAGCAGACTTGATAGGCCAAGTGGCTTTCCACTTATAACCACCATTACACATTATGAACTTCATTGATTGGAATGGATGGAGGCAAGTCCATTTCTGTTCAGCTCAGAATATAGAAAGCATAACAAAATGCACAGACATGACACATGGACACGGCTGTCAGGATGGTGGAAGGTGAACTGGATGGACCCTGGTCTTCTTTCGTCCAGCAATTCTTATGTTCTTATGGGATCTCAGTTCAACATGTACTGAAATCTATGTCTTGATTTGAACTCACAGCCCAGACTGCCACTCGAAAGCAGTGCCAGTCCCGGGGAAATGCTGCATTGTTGAATTGTTGGTATCATTCGGTTGACAAACTAAAGCAAGGTCCCAGCTACTCATCAGGTGGAAGTTAGTCTCTTGAAAAAGAGCCCTAGTCAACAATCGTGTGTTGAAATATTTCCCCAGGATATAATCAGTGTTTGGTACAGTAACTTCAGTTGGTGGGGACGAGTGGATTAGACATGGGAATCTGATTTCAATGGAGCAGAAGAATTTAATGGGCAAAATACTGATTGGTTTTCAAGACGGAATCCCAGTGGGGTGGTGGGGAGGGGTGTGCGGGAGGTGCTCCTGAAGATCACATCTTTAGTTCTGGTAGAAAAGAAATTTGATCTGTAAAGCAAGTAGTATATACTAGAGGGAAACCCATCTTATAAGTTTTTGACAGCAACTTGTAACAATTCTAATACATTGGTAGTTTGGCTTTTTTGAGAGCCACGTGGGATAAGGAAGCATGTTTAGAGGAAAAACAAAAGTATTGGTAGAGGGTACATGCAATTCCCTGCAGATGAGATGGGCTGGCCCAAATCTACACCGGCTAATGCTGCCCAGTTTCTAAGCCTGTGCTGGATAAGCTATGGCCCAAAGGGTTGGCTTCAGCCAACATGGGAAGCAACCCCCTTTTGAACATTCACACCAGTCTAGGTAAGTCTGTGGTCAATTGTTAGTTAGTGTGTTTCCAGGCTTAAATTAATCAAGAAACATTCAATCAAGAACATTTATTTTGGTGGCCGACCATAAAGGAATGATTGGAGTTTATAAATTAATGGAACGTTTGACTGTGTCGTAAACCAAGTGTCTTTTTTCCAACTTATTTCAGAACGACCCATGAATTCCTGTTTGGAGCCTTGGCAGAGTTGGTGGACAATGCCAGGTAGGACCGGATTTAAATCAAGCTGTACCTCCTATTTCATTCAACCTCTTGTGTGAAGGGCGCCATATCTAATACAAAATACAGTGCACATTTACATTTCCGTAGCAACTTTCATGCCAGGATATCCAATTATTCGCCCACAAAATACACAGTCAATTCACTTTACAATATATTCTGTGAAGTGCTTTGAGATGTCTCAACAGCGTGATAAGGTGCTATATTAAATACAAGGATTATTATTATTACTTTAATCTTTTTTTCTCTCTGATTATAGGGATGCAGCTGCTACCAGAATGGACATTTACACAGGTGAGTTACAGTGATCATGGGTCTAATACTTTGCACCTTGACTGTGGCTTGGGGGGCTCCTACTTACCTGCTGTTTAATCGCAAGCTTTACCAGCACTTTCCAGCCTTACTTCAATGCATCTTTTGTTTGAAACTAGAAAATGATGTTCTGCTTGCAATTTGGGGAATCTGCAGATATGGACATTGTTATAATGAAACACTCAGCTTTTACTTTGATTCTAAGCTTTTACTTTGGGGTTACTTCATAGAATCTTACAGTACAGAAGGAGGCCATTTGGCCAATCGTGCCTGTGTCGGCTCTTTGAAAGAGCCACCAACTAGTCTCACTCCCCCACTCTTACCCCATAGTCCCGCACATTTTTCCTTTTCAAGTACCTATCCAATTTCCTTTTCAAAGCTACTATCAAATCTGCTTCCACTAGCCTTTCAAGGCAGAGCGTTTCCAGATGGTAACAACAACATCTGTAGATAGGGACAACCCAAAATTGTGCAAGTACAAAGCTCAAATTTAATCTTGGTCTTAAGCCACTTCCGTCCTTGTAACAACAAAATCTGAAATACAAACTGCCATTGTTTTGCTCAGTACATTATATGATTTTTATGTTGGCAAATATTTGTGTTATGATGTCTCCTCACAGAGTGTACTCGATGCAACTCAGGCTCCCCCCCGACCCCCGCCATCCCCAGCTCATAATTAATAAACCTGATCTAGTACTACTAATAACTATTGATCTGAAACACTTGTGCATTTTTCCCCAAGTGAGGAACGAGGATTTGCGGGGAGCGTTCATGTTGTATTTTCTGGACGATGGAGACGGGATGGATTCATGTAAGTGACTGTGATCTCGATTTGGGGTAAGACTCCAACCGAGATCCATATGTTCCAGGCTCAACAACAACCAATTGCATTTATACAGAGCCTTTCACGTCGGGAAGACGTCCCAAGGTGAAGGGCAGGCAAAGGTTTGCACCTCAGCTGGGGTTTGGACTTGGGAGAGATGGACGGCGTGAGAAGATGGCCAAAGGCACGGTCAAAGAGGAAGGACTTGGAACAAACCTTAAAGGAGGGAATAGGCGAAGGGATTCCAGGATGGCGTTCCAAAGAATAGGGCAGAAAAGCTGAAGGCTTGACTGTCGTTCCTGTGACAGGCAGGGCAGGGGATGTGAAACAGTGAGTGCCAAGTGGAGGGAGTGGGCAGTTTAGTAGGGTTTCAAGGGTCACAGAGGTAGAGTGGGGCAAGAGCTTGGAGGGCTTTAAAAGTGAGGACGAAGATCTTGATCTCAATCCCCTGGGGGTTGCTGCAGTGCGGAATTGGACACTCGGTGTTCAGCTTGACCAGCGAGTTCCAAGGCTCCAGGCCTGATTGAGCTGTCAGGTGCTGGGAGAAAGTGTGAGGAAATGTGAACACTACAACCCAAACTACCTTATGGCAGCTGCAGGAGCAAAGTCTGGATAATTTCCATCACTGTGGGGAGTGCTTGGCTCTGCTCAGAGCTTTGAATGCCAGGAAGTTCAGCTGCCAATGCCAGGTGATAGAGGAGAAGGAAAATGTTGACATGAGCCAAACCACCTTTTAACTCGCTACAGGAGTCTTCCCTCTATGACTTCCTTCACTGTAGGGGCTCTGCTTACCGCAATGTATTGGCAAAGGAACCTGCTTCTTGGCATTGTCTGATACCATGCGAGTTACATTCTGCGCTATCCCGAATAGGAGGCTTAAAGCGTTTCGCCCACAAAATACACAAGTCCATTTACTTCACAATATGTTGTGTGAAGCGTTTTGAGACATCTCAACGACGTGATGAGGCTCTTCATCAAATGCAAGGATTATTCTTCTTAAAAAAAAAACTACCCACCAGGTAACTCATTGCTTAACTCAGCAGAACAAAAGGGGCAACAGTTTGCTCCCTGCTGCCCACCTACAGTAAATTCACATCACTCAAGACTTGGGTATGTTTTTGTCAAGGGTGCAGTTGTTGGGAGGCTCAGTTGTGGTGCTTCGATGAGGGAGGCGAGTGGGGCAGAGATACAGGAGCGATTATTGGATTTCTAACTCGCTTCATCCTTTCTCTCTTTGCAGTCGAGGCTGCCAGTGTGATCCAATTCGGAAAATCTGCCAAGAGAGCCCCTGAATCCACGCAGATTGGACAATACGGAAACGGGCTCAAATCGTAGGTTCTTCCTATATCGACTTCATCAACCAATATATGAACCACACACTATACCCGGATATCAACACTATATCAACAATAAATTACACACGTAAAGCACCTTTCACGTGAGGAGGATAGCCATGCAGGGCCTTGATACACCATACATGAACCGTCTCTGTTTCAATGTATTATTGGATTTAGAAACCCTAGGACCGGGTTTTAGGTGAAGGTGATGAAGGTTGCAGGTAAATTTAAACTTGCGTTTTTTTTCCCCCCACTTCCAGCGGCTCGATGCGGATTGGGAAAGACTTCATTCTGTTCACAAAGAAAGAGGACACCATGAGCTGCGTTTTCCTTTCACGAACATTCCATGAGGAGGAAGGGATCGATGAGGTTCGTATTGCATTCCTTCGACCATCGCCTTCTCCTGTCTCGGCATCATGCTTCTGCCACTGTCAAGCGTTCTGGGACACTAACCTGCGTGAAGGACACTGTATAAGTGCAAGTTGTTGTTGTTATGAGCACTCCCTGACATGCTGGAGACTTGTTTCATCCCTGTCAGTGTTTTGTACGTCTTCTAAGAAACCTGTTGCTGGGCTGCGCTGGACTGGACACCTTTGGGAAGATTTATCGATTTGCATTCGCTTCAACCTTTGTTTTAGCAATTGGTCTATAATCTCCCTTCTGCTTTATGCCTGTGCTATCTGTGTGTGAGAGTGGAATCCCACACCATCTCTCTGTGTAGTTTCTTCAACCGCACACTTTTTTGTTTGTTTGAAAAAGGTGATCGTTCCACTTCCAACATGGAATTCCAAAACCCGTGAGCCCATGACTGACAACCCAGAGAAGTTTGCTATCGAGACGGAGCTGATCTACAAATATTCCCCGTTCAAATCAGTGTCCGCTGTGATGGAGCAATTTGATAAAATTAAAGAGCGTAGCGGTAAGGATTGTTTTTTGAATGTTGGGGATTAGACAGCAGAACCTAGTCTTATCTAGTAACGTTTTTTTACTCCCAGCAGAATGAATCTTAAGTGGGTCGCAACAAAGGCTTGCTAAAGAGTAACACAATCAGAACAGTTTCCCACTGCTTTTCGCTTTCCCAGTCAATTCTGCTGGTGTGTGTGAGAGAGATTAGATTGGTGTGTGTCTGAGAGATGAGAATGTGTGTGTGTGAGAGAGAGAGAGAGAGAGAGAGAGATGAGAACTGTGATAGTGAGATGAGAATGGATTGGGCTCAGGTATAGTCTACTCTGTTGTTGAATAGCTTGCTGACAGTTGGGTGTAAACCCAACTGGCTGGGTTTACACGTGAATTTTTGATTGAGTTCCAATTGACCTGCTTCTATAATCTATAATCCCTTCAAGATAATCCATCAAACATTCATATGTGCCTGTTAAACCCTGGCCTTTCTTCCCAGCATAAGCATTTATTTTCTTTCTTTGCAGGGACCCTGGTGATTGTATATAACCTGAAGCTGATGGACAATGGGGAGCCAGAACTTGATGTCACCTCTGATCCTACTGACATACTGATGGCGGAGCTCAACTCGAAGGGGTGTAAGTGCTTAGCCTGACAATAGCAATTTTGATATAACGCCTTAACATGTTGTTGAGACATCTTGAAGCACTTCACAGAATATAGTGTAAAGTGAATTGACTATTTTGTGGATGAAATGCAAAAACCAATGGACATAAGCAGTTTCCCACAAATAGCTGTGGATTGAGTAACTCAGTAATTTTATCAGGACAGAAGTGGGAATGTTTTCTAATGGAATTCTCTTTGTCCGCAGAAAGCCAGAGAGACGCTCCTTCAGGGCATACACTGCTGTCCTGTACATCGACCCACGGATGAGAATTTTCATCCAGGGTCACAAAGTCCGGACAAAACGACTATCGTGCTGTTTGTATAAACCCAGGTAATGTCAAGAGAGCTTCACTGACTGTCTGAAACTTTCTGAAATAACAGCAATAATCCTTGCATTTGATACAGCGTCTTTTCACGTCTTCGAGACGTCTCAAAAGTGCTTCACAGAATATACCGTAAAGTGAGTTGACTGTATACTTTGTGGCCGAAATACAGGGCTAACTTGTATTATCGTTAACACACGGGCCCATTAGAACACAAGGGCTTTAAATGAAGCTACACAAAAATAAGGTAATAAGTATCATCCTTGCTTTTGATATAGCACCTGCTTCACGGAATATATTGTAAAGTGTATTTTGTGAGCGAGACACGGCAACCGATTGCACAGCAGTGTCCCACAAACAGTCGTTGATTGAGTGACCACATTTATTTCGTATCAGAGCAACGGAGGAGAGGGAGTGTAAGAGAGGCACCTACTGTTACCTGTGAAGCATATTTGAGGCATTTTGATATCGCAGGTTCTATCAAATACAAGAATTGATTCATGATCTGAGTGTCTGTGTCGTTCCCTTGTGTCTTCACAGAATGTACAAGTATACGTCGAACCGGTTTAAAACCCGTGCGGAACAGGAGGTAAAGAAAGCGGAGCATCTGATGAAAGTTGGTATGTTGTGGGGAAACTTGCCTCTTTGCAACCAGAATACCTGTGTACGCGCTACACCGTGCGGTACAAAGCCACACAGACTAGGACGGACGCAGGTTTTGACCTGTTTACGTCTACATTTGCTACACACAGTTTTCCTGTGTGTGGAGCTGCGGGCGGGTGCGATAGTGGGCGCTTGCGTGGGGGGTCATGCCTGTAAGTATGTGTAGAGAGGCGTGGCTGGGGAGGCGGTTGTGTGTGCGCCCACCTTCTCAGTAGATGTGCAGTTCATGAGAGAACATGGGCTCCTACTCACATATTCATCCATGTTGCTTAAGGGGGAGAAAACAATGGACAGTGACTTGTAAACAAAGCTCAGCATTCAAAGAGAGCTCTGATTCACTCCCGTCTCTGCTGTTTCTGTGTGCGTTACCCTGTGAGCCACTTGCTCTCGCAGGCAGCTCTGCACGCCATGTTCTCACCTCCCTTTTCCCACCTGTTTGCAGCCGAGGAGAAGGCCCGTGAGGAGGAGAGCAAGGCCCGAGCCCTGGTGGCCAAAATGGGAGGAGACCTGAGCAGGGAAGCACGGGTGAGCGAGCCCTTTAGCTTGTTCGAAGACCCACCCCTACCCCCCTAACCTTGTGGCGTATGTTGTCTTCATGCTCCTGGGTACCCGAGTATGTGAAGCCCATCATTCGTTCTGGGCAGGTGTACGACTTGGGCGATTATACGATTCGCGAAGATCAGGCTCGTGTGTGTTTCACTGTACATAACATTACACAAGTCGTGTACGGTACGACTTATGCAAGCTTTGCGTAACTCGTACCTTGCATAAGTCACATTAAATGTACAGTCCCAACTGGTACGGCTCGTGTGAGGTTTACTCTGCAGCGCTCTGAGACGCCGCCCGGCACAGAGGGCGCTATATGAGGGCAAGCTGCTGCTGCTGCTGCTGTTTACGTACATGATGATGGTCTCGGTAGATAAACTCTCACACGTTCCCTGGGTATTCGTGCTCATGGAGGTGATTTTCTCGTGCAGGTCCACCTCCGACAGGTACAGGACTCGGCGTTTAACCTGCACAGGGAGGCCGAGGTGAAGAAATGCTTGTACGAGGCGAAGCTCAGGTTAGTTAGCCCTCGGTTCATGTTCAGAAATTTCTCTCTTCTTCTGACGCTTTAATTCTGCTGTCAGGCCAGCAGCTGCAAACCCTGCTGATCATCTCTGTGCATGGAGGGCTCCACCTTCATTCTTCTCTCTTCCCACACGCTGATTCCTCCACTCACCCATTGTATTCTTGCCATCCTCGACCGACTACCCTCCTCTTGCTGTAATGTTTGCCATCTCCACTGAAGTTGTGGAGTTCTGAAGCGTAATGGTTAGAGCACTTGCCTCACAAACAAGAGGGCCCAGGTTTGATTTCCCAGCGGTGTGAAACCTTAGGCAAGTTTCCTTACTCCACATACCTCTGTTTACTGGGCAGTAAGTAGAAACCTGTTTGTTAGTTGATTGGAGGTAATCAACTCTTTTTAAAATAAGTAAATAAATAAATTTGATCACTTAATCCGTGACTGTTTGTAGGACACTCTGTGCAAGGCAAATTTGACCAAACAATTAAGTTCAGGTTGTTTCCAGCATTGGTGCCTTGCTGTCTGCCTGGGATCCCTCCCGATCGGTCTCTTCATTATATTCCTTTTAAACCTGCAGGGCTTTGAAGGAGCCGAAGGAGATGAGCTTTATTTTCGGCGTGAGCATTGAGCAGCGAGACCTGGACGGGATGTTCATCTATAACTGCAGCCGTCTGATTAAGATGTACGAGAAGGTTGGACCACAGCTAGAAGGAGGAATGTAGGTATCCATTGAGCTGCAACCAGATCAGCTTCAGTCCGTGCTGACCAACACTGACCCTGCGTTCTCCTGTGATTAGATGAACGTCCAAATGTTACATTTTTTTTTCTCTCTTCTCTTCCCCGTCCCCAGTTCGTGTGGTGGTGTTGTGGGTGTGGTAGACATCCCCTACCTGGTGCTGGAGCCCACCCACAACAAACAGGACTTTGCCGACGCTAAGGAATATCGGCATTTACTGAAGTCCATGGGTGAGCACCTTGTGCAGTATTGGAAGGACATTGGCATCGGTAAGGACATTGTGTTTTGGGATGTTTGAGGAGTAATTGCGGAGTCCTGTAGCGCAGTGTTTAGAGCATTCACCTCACAAGCGAGAGGACCCGGGTTTGATTCCCGGGCAGGGTGAAACCTTTGGCAAGTTTCCTTCTCCCACACGTCTCTGTTTACCTAGGAGTAAGTAGGTTGGTTGTTAGTTGATTGGTGGATCGCTTTCCGTTGGACAATAATACTTTCAAAAAACATGTGGTCACTCAATCCACCCCTGTTTGTGGGACACCGCTGTGCGCAATTGGCTGCCGTGTTTTGCCCAGAAAATACACAGCCAAGCCAGTTGACAATATATTCTGTGAAGTGCTTTGAGACGCCTCAACAACATGATGAGGTCCGATATCAAATGCAAGGATTATTAACATCATAATCAGTAAGGTGTGACTGAAATTCAGGGAGTGTGACAGATGGATTAGTGCAGATGTCTGAACGTCCTAATGTTATTTCTGCTGTTTACTCATTAACCCATCCCAAGGATGTGTAAGGAAACAACAGATAAATGCACAAGTGAATCATTATTCAACGTTTCTGTTGAAATGACCTGAAGGAGCTTTATGTGCCGTTCCTGCCTTATGGGAAGTGTAGCACGGTTATTTCCACTCGCTGTCTGAAGCGAGTTATATTCAGTCGTGGCTGTGGTTCAACTTGTGTCTGTAAACTGATTCTGTGTTCGCGGTTTGAGGGTTTGGTGTCTGTTGGGAGGATAACAGAGACCCCACCCCATTAAACGACAAACTAGATGTGCTCAGTTGCTGAGTTTGTGCTCTTAAGACAAGAGCAACGTCTGGGTGTTCCTAATGAACCTTTCAACCGGGAATTCAGGTTTCCTGATGCATGAACCAGCAGATTCTCTTGAGTACTGGGCGCAGCTAGTTTGTTGTTATTGAAACCTACTGATTTTCAGCTTCAGGCTATTTCAACAAAAATAACGTTTCTGTCACGGAGACAATTGTTTGTGCGACCCACATCACAATATAAAAATGCGTTTACACAGCGGCTTTTACGTCTGGAGAACATTCCCAAGACGCTGGAGTTGGGGATTTGGACCCAGGTGGGGGGCAGGGAAGGTAGCAGGGTGTCTAAAGGCACGGTTGAAGAGAAGGGTCTCGAGACGGGCCTTGAAGGAGATGAGGGAGGGAGCGACGCGCAGGGAATGTGGGATGGAGTTCCAAAGGGTGGGGGGGGAAGAGGGTAAAGGCCTGACCGCCAATTGGGGGGGTGGGGGGGTGGTGGGCGGGCAGCGGTGGGGATATGGAGCAGACCTGGGGTTGCGCGTTGCTCTAAGCAGCTGTCGTTCTCGTTCCTGCAGCACAGAAGGGGATCGTGAAGTTCTGGGATGAATTCGGCTACTTGTCGGCCAACTGGAACCAGCCGCCCTCCCACGAGGTGCTTTACAAGCGGCGGCGAGCCATGGAGATCCCCACCACCATCCAGTGCGGTGAGTTGTGTCCGCGCCGGGCTGCCCTCCGCCCCAAACAGAGACACATTCACCGTCTCGCCTCAGCCCTCAAAACGGTTCAGGTCGGACCTGAAGATGCCGGGTAAATAGGCGGTTGGTGAAATTGATGCCGTTTTACGAAGCAGTCCTGCTCCGTGATGGCTCAACGTCTCGGTCGCTGAAGCCACTGGGGAAAGACGCTTTCTTTTCACAAAAAAAAATTAATGGCGACTGCAGTCTATCTTTCTTTGCTGTCGGATAGAGCTTCGAGACGTCGCAAAGACGTGTTAAGGCGCTGGAGCGAATACGAGGATTATCGTTATTCTAACCTCTTCCTTCCGATCGCGGCGTGCAGATAAGTGTTTGAAGTGGCGGACGCTTCCTTACCGGGTGGACGACGTGGGGAAGGAGTACGCGGACAACTGGAACTGCTCCGTGAATCCCGACCATATGCAGAACCGGTGAGTATTGCGTCGCGGGGGTAACTATTGGGATTCAGTCAGAGCAGTGACAAGGGTTTGCGATCCGATGCGGTGTGGGTGGGTGGAATCATTGACTCACTGCGAACACTTACTCATACCTCCTGCTCCGCCTCTACCCGTTGCTCTCACAAGGTTGTGCGATGCAACACGGAGAGCGACGGAATGAGAGCTGGAGGTAAAGGCACCATACATACACCTAAAGGCCGCCAGGGGAGGAATTTGCCCCCTCGTTATCTCCGCCAATGATTCTGACCCATTGCCAGCCATTGTGATCTCTCTTTTGCCTTTGGCCGGCAAGTCTGTCAGTGTATTTGTACCAGACTGTTTGGGGTTACATTTCTGTGCACAAATCGGCTACCGTATTCACCTACAAAATACAGCCACTGCACTTTATGGTGAATCCTGTGGAGCACACTGAGACGTCCTCCAAACGTGAATGTCGCTGTATCGAATGCAAGGATTATAGCTATTTATTAAACCCTTGCTGTGTATTCCCTGCACCTGGAATCCCAATAGATAAGCAAAATATGTAGAGCTCGAGAATATGTGTGCCCGACATCTAAAGGCCTGGTAAAAGTAACCACTCCACCTCCTTGACACTTGCCGGCTTTGCTTGTCACCAGGTGTGAAGCACCAGAACAAAAGCAAAATGTCCCAGTGGGGTTACTGCGGAGAGATGTCAAATCACACGAGGAGAAAATCCGGGCGCAAGAGAAGAAGCTGGAGGCACTGAAGGTAACTCGTGGCTTTTTTGCAATAACCAAGAGGCAATGGTGCCAAATGCTGATAGACTCATTGCGATTATGGGGGGGGAGGTCGGTCCATTGTAATCCTAAAACATTGAAGAGAAAATCTGAATGAACCAAAGCACAATTCCTGTAATCAATCCGATTGAATGAGCATAAATATAAGATAGCAAGGAGTCGATCTAAGAGGAAGTTTATGAACTGGAATATGTTGAAGTCACTGTAGAAGCAGAGCTTGATGCCTTTTGCTTCAATGTAAGCTTGATGTATACATGAGGGAGAGGGAATAGAGTGGTGTGGGAGAGGGGAATGGGAGGGATAGAGCTAGAGCATAAACATCGGCACGTAAACATGGCCTTCCTCTGATTCCATAGATAAATGCTTGCGTTGTGTTTGTGACTTGTTTGCTCATCCAACCGTTTCTTTCCAGAAAAACATCCCCGTCTTATCCCAGGCAGACATCAAGAAGCTACCATTGGAAGTCAGGAGTCGTCCTTTGTCAGAGGTGAGATGTCTATGAGCTCCGTTCAGCGGGTGGGAAAGGCTTCTGCCTTGACTTTAAATTTAGAGAAGCGAGTGTCTCTCCTGGTGTCCTGGCCAACCATCCCTCAAATAAAGCAGGTCACTCACTCGCTCCTTGACTGTGTGCGGGACGTCGCGGTGCACAACTGCCTGCCTCATTTCGCCCACAAAATGCGCAGTCAGTCCGCTTCGCGGCATGTCCTGTGAAGCGCTTTGACAGGTCACGACGATGCGATAAGGCGCTATTTCAAATGCAAGGATTATAACTTCCTCTCTCCGCCCTGCGCATCACTTGTGCTGTGACTGGCTGCGTGGACGCGGCTGCAATTTAGGTGAGTTTAGGAGCCCACAGTTTGCACAATGTGCCGTTGTTCCAAGCTTTGGCATTAGCAGAGCTGTTGGATGTGGTGAGGGGGAAGGGGGGAATCAACCTCAACTTTTTCCAGTAATTACTGTATCCCTGGGGGGTGGGGGTCATTGACCTACTCGGGCAAGAATGCAATGCAATCTAGGTTGTAATACCAGCAGACGGCACCACCGAGCTATCAAGAGGTCTCTATGCTCGAGGGCGCTGCCTGCGGGCAGCTCATGGTATTACAGTGGTTGCCAGCCGGCTTGGTTTTGAATTGGTCCAAAAATACTGAATTGGCCTTATCTTCTGCAAATGATAATTCCGAATTTCGCGAATACAACTGGTTCTTGAGAGCAAAGCACAGACTGGGTAAAGTGTGCAGCCGAGAGGAAGAGGCCTAACGCCGATTGGAAATGAGACAAATTTAATTTGAACTTGGCCATTTCCCTTGTCGTTGTAATAATAATCCTTGCATTTGATATAATACGTCGTCGAGACATCTCAAAGCGCTTCTCGGACTCTTGCAAAATTTTATGAATGTGTACAACTCGATTCTGTTCGTTGAATGGTGCAAATGTTCAGCACAGTTTGATTGATTCATTATGTTGATCTCTTGAGTTTATTTAAGGTCATGTTCCTCCCTCTCTTTCCGCAGGACCAGTCATCTCCTGGTAGCAGCCACCGACCCCGCTCGCCTCCTTTAGCCGACATCATCAAAAACGCCCCGAGCCAGCCTCCATCAAAAGCCCAGGGCTTGCTGCGTAAAGCCTCGGCAACCAGATCCACCAGCAAGGTCGAGTCCTCTCATACGAGCATTAGCAGTAAGAGAGCGGTCGCCACCCCTGGAAGAGCCCAGCACCGGCCCTCGGCCTCTATAAAACAAAATGTTGTCTCTTCCAGGACTGCGGCCCAGCCTTGCACCTCCACGAGGCACTCTGCCCCCATGTCAACAAGTACAAAGAATTCACCCATTAAAGGAGCAAAGACTCCACAACACAGAAAGGAGACACCCACTCGGACAGCCCAGGTGAGGCTCTGTACAGTGGTGAAAGAGGGGCCTGACTGTCGGGGAGATACAGGGTGTCCGCAAAGGCCTGTTACCTCCCTCACACCCCCCTCCCACCAGCCCCACTTACAGTGCACTGGCCAACAACTCAAACATGTGGAGGAAGGGTGATAATCGTATTTAGAAGTACTTCATTGTATTCAGTACAAGCGTTTAACTGGATTTAGACGTCCAAAGTCGTCACCAGACGACCCAGACGTCCGATAACTGCTTTATCAGGATTTTCACCCCACTGTGGTTTAGTTCTGGGCTGCTCCAAGGTCAGGCAAGGTTTTTCTTCATACTTTAAACAGGTCATGCTCTACGCATTCTCTTTTTTTTCCTCTCTCTCTCTTTCTCCCAGTCCGCAGGAATGCGAAAGAGAAATGTGACAGTAGAGAGCAGCGAGGAGGATGAGGAAGAGGAGAGGCCGAGGGTCTCTGCAAAGGTGTGCGAGTCAAAGCGGCTGAAGAAGGAGATCGCTGATGTTGTAGAGGTACGAGGAATGTTACCCTGTGTTCTCTGTAGCTTTTGCACAGAATAAGTGAAAGTGAGGCATCAGCTTTTAAACCCAGATCTTTCCAGGACCTGAGAACATGAGATCATGGCTGTGGGGGTCAATTTTAGGACAGAGTATTTCTTTACGTAGAGTGTAATTTATGGCTGAAAGGAGTTACTGGAAGAGTTGGCCACCATGACAGTGGTCTTTTAAGAAAGGGGTGGAGGAGATCCAGAGGTGGGGGGAAAGCAATTGAAAACTCGATGGTCTTCAAATAACCTCTTCGTGTGAAGTAACTTTGTGATACAGTTTTCAAGATGAGATACGGTCTCAAATCAAATTTCCGCTCACAAGACAGTCAATCCACTTTAGCGTGTAATCTGCAAAGCGCTTCAGGGCGTCTCAACGAGGTGATAAGGCGCTGTGTCAAATGCAAGGATTACTATAACAATTGCACAGCTATTGCTTTTGAATAAAGCTTAACCCAGCGACCGGGTTGGAAGAAAAATGAAACTAACTGAACCGAATTTGGTAACCAGCAGCTCTGTGCCGTGACCGAGGGTCTGTCTGTCCTGTTTCAGATTTCTGACAGTGGAGGCGAAGTGGAGGAAGAGACCGGGGCTCTGAAAGGTGAATAGCAGATTTTCCATCTGTGTTCTCTCTCGGTGCAAAATCCCACAGTCTATGTGAACAAGCTCCCACGATGCTAAAGCCATTGCTCGCTGTGACTGAGCCACACACGTCTGGAAGGTCCCCACACTTCATATCTGCGGGTGCTGAGTTAATCAGGGCTATATTTGGCCTCAGTGCTGCCTGGGTTAGGGAGGGGGAGAAATCAGCTGGAGATCGGAATCCTGATCATTATTCAGAGAGACGCACACTCTTTCTCTTCCCGCCCCCCGCCCCCCTTCCCACCGGAGAGTGGATGTGAGTGGACGTCAGCTCGGGGCAGTGTCGTGTTCGGCTGTGATGCCCCGATGCTGTGGCTGTAGGTCTGACTAGGAGGGTGAAAGGCAGCAGGGCACTTATTACGTCTGTAGGATTGTTACTCACTCACTCTGCTGCGTATCTGCCTGTCGATCGCTTTGTTCTGGATAGCTATTTGTTACGTATTGAGGGCTGTGGGACAAGGATGGATAATTGGACTCGAGGTACAGATCAGCCACGATCTTATGGAATGGCAGCACGGGCTCGAGGGGCTGAGTGGCCTCCTCCTGTTGCTGCGTTTTCCGCACCTGTTAACGAACGCATGCGTTTCTACTTCCAGACCGGGGTCTCCTGGTGGAGGTGAAGGTGAACAAGGAGTGGTACACGGGCCGGGTGACCGCAGTGGCCGCCAGCAAGCAGCTAGTGCGGTGGAAAGTCAAGTTCGATTACGTGCCAACGGCGACGACTCCGCGAGACAGATGGTGAGAGAAAGAGGCGCGTTAACCATCCCATTACCCCACGGCGCAGAGTCGATCTTCGTGTAGCGATCGCGTGAGGACTTCTAAGCAGACCCCCAACACGAGCTGCCGCTTGTGCCTGTCGTCCTTCTCCCCCCCCCCCCCCCCATTCGTCTAGCGTGTCGGTTAGAGATCTCTTCCAAAAATGTTTTTTTAATGAATGAATAATAAAAATAATTTGGTCGCGCAATGCACGACTGTTTTGTGTGGCCGCCGACGTGCGCATTTCGCCCACAAAATACACACAGTCACTCCGCTTCACAGTATATTTCTGTGAAGCGCTTTTGAGACATCTCACCGACGTGATAAAAGCGCTCTGTCAAATCCAAGTGTCGTAGTCGAGCTGTGGGTCACCCTCTGTACCGCCGCAGGGTTGAGAAGGGCAGCGCGGACGTGAGGCTGATGAAGCCGGCGTCCCCGGAGTACCAGAGCCCGGACACGCTGGGGGGGGAGGAGGAGGACAACGCAGCGGAAACCGGATCCACTTCGGACAGCGCCAGGATGGAGCCCGACACCACACAGCCGGCCACCAGCAAGGAGACCGTGGACTCCCTCGTCGTCAGCCTCCGGTGAGAGTCACACGTCTCACGCCCCCCCCCCGACAGCGTCTCCGGCCAGACTCCCCATCTCGGGGCCTGTGTTCACACACAGTCAACCCCCCTCGATATCCCACCCCCAGGGACATTCTTTGCACTCTAATCACATGGTTGGAGCTGGTCGGGCTGGACGGACCAGACCACATTCCACCTTGTTTATCCGTCTTCCCGTGGTTTATCTGCGTTGATTTCTGGGTTTTTTTTTGTCCACTTGTAATTAAAATTCACTTATATTCATTTGAAATGTTAGGGAGGATTTATTTTTATTTGTTTTAGGGATCAGGCTAGCAGTGAGCTGGCTCGCCGGAACGGATCTCCTGCCCCCTAATAACCCCTTTTTAAAAAATAATAATAATAATTTGGTCACTCAATCCACGACTGTTTGCGGGGACGCTGCTGTGCGCAATTGGCTGCCGCGTTTCGCCCACAAAATACACAGTCAGTTCACTTTATGGTGTATCCTGTGAAGCGCTTTTGAGACGTCTGAACGACGCGATGAAGTGCTATATCAAATGCAAGGACGATTGTAGTTATTATTGCCGGCCCCAGTCACGCACGGTGAGGCCATTTCCCACTATCCCCCTGATAATTTAATGCTTTTATCCCTGGTAGTTTAGAAAGTTGTGACATTATATTATTCTGTTTCCCTGTACCTCCCTCTCTGCTATTTGTGTAAGTGTTTTAGCTCTTTTCTTTTGCCTTTGATTAGAAACACTCTGCGGTATTTTCTGCCCCCGAACTACCGGATATCGAAGGAGGAGCTGAGCTTGATGACTCCGGAGGAGCTGGCATCGTTCCCTTTGGTACGTTTCGGCCATGAGGCGGAGATGAAAGCACAATTTACCAGTCTAATCAAAAAGTATTCGCGTAATTAATCACTTGGGCCGCGGGCGGTTTTCGGCACCTCAGTGACAGTCACGAGTGTGAGCTTCCCCTAAGTGGGGCAAAACCTTAGGCAAGTTTGCTTACTCCACACGCCTCTGTTTACCAGCAGTAACTAGGAAGCCGGTTGTTAATCCATTGGCAGATCCCTCAAACCACGACTGTTTGTGGGGACACTACTGTGCGCAATTGGCTGCCACGTTTCGCCCAGAAAATGTAGTCGATTCACTTTACAGCGTGTAATTCCATGAAGCACTTTGAGATGTCTCAACGACGAGATATGGCGCTGTATCAGATGCGAGTGTCATTAGTAGTAGTAGCGGCATCACCTGTCTTCGTTTTCAATTTGACTCAACAACAACAGCGCAATCCCATCGCTCCTTCCTCTTGTCTTTTTGAGTGACGGGTTGGAGACGCCCAGCCTGGGGGTTGGGGTGGTGGGGTAGGGGGGAAATGTCTCACTCTGCTTGTCGTTCTGCCCTGAAATTGTCTTGCTTCACGTGTTGTTGTTTTGTTTCTTCCCCCCCCCCCCCCCCTTGACAAACGCAGAAGGATTATTTTGAGCAGTACGAGGAGGGGCTGAAGAGCCTGTGCAGCGCCTACCAGAGCCGGGCCGAGGAGAGGGTGCGGGCGGCCGAGAAGAAGCTGCAGGAGAATGACGCCGAGCTGAGCGACGCCCAGGACAAGCTGTGCAAGCTGAGGAACAACATCGTGGAGCTGCTGCGCAAGGTTCAGGAGGTAACGGTGCATCCATCCTGTGAGGGTGACCCCGGAGTTGCCGCTCGCTGCAGCTTCCGAGTGAGCCACCGACTCCTGGTTTGAGTCCGGTATCAACACCCCTCTCCCCCCCTCCCGCACACACTGATGGGACTCGGGGGTGATTTAGGGGGGGGTTCCGTTCCTCCTCGCGGAGCCCTGCACTTGCTCCTGGTCAGAGAGTCTCCTCGAAATGACCGTCTTCCGGGTCGCCATCTACGTCACTTGCTGCGCGCGGGAACGAAGGAAGTGATGTCGGTGTCAGGACACGCGGCCACGTGTCTCTCGTGGCCTGTGTCCCTCGCGCGGCCGTGGAACATGGCGTCTACAGCGCGGTTGGCCCTGCATGGCCAGGCTCACGTGGGGAAGTTGTGGGGGGGGGCGGGGGAGGAAAGTGTCAGTGTCCCTTGTCATGTTACTTCAAGGTGACCTACTTTTGACGAGGGAGATGCCTTTAGTCGTCGGCTCTTAAGTCTACTGACCACAGGAAGCGGATACCAAACTGTGGTTGAGAAACAGGATGGGGAAATGAGTTCCACGCTCTGGCCTCGATTTTCAGCTTTGTGTCTTTGTTAATAACAGGATATCGAAATTAACACAGACGACGAACTCGACGCATATATCGAGGAACTCATCACTAAAGTGGACTGATCAGCAACCCGGCAGAGTGTGTTTTTTCTGTCTGTCTCTTTCTCTCTCACACTCACTCACTCACTCACTCTCTCTCGGGTGAGAACTGACTGGAACCAGTCGCAGTGTTTGTTTGTTTTTTTAAACACAAAAATTATGTAACTTCATTCTGGGGCTTTAGGTTTTACACCTTTGTTCAATTGTCCTGAATTTTTGTATTATATTTATTAAAAATACAACTGTACCACCTGCCCAGCTGCCCCCTCGTGCTCTTGTGTCACTCACTGTGGGTGTGTAGGGAAATGTCACGCTTTCCAGCATTTCAGTCGTGCCCAGCTCCCTCTTCTAAGGAGTGCGAATAATAATCGTCATCATCCTTGTATTTGATACAGCGCCTTATGTCGTTGAGACATCTCAAATCGCTTTGTAGGATGTATTGTAAAGTGAATTGACTATATTTTGTGGGTGAAACGCGGCAGCTAATTGCGCACAGCAGCGTCCCACAAACAGTTGTGGATCGTGTGACCAAATTTATTTATTTTTATTTATTTTAAAAAGGGTTACGCCTGGAGAGCGATCTACCCATCGACTGACTGTGTTCTTACTTACTGCAAAGGTAAACAGAGGCGTGTGGAGTAAGGAAACTTAGCTAATGTTCATCCTGCCCTGGAATCAAACCCAGATCTGCTCGCTATCCACTACATTCTGGCACTCCACGAACTGTCCCAACTCACTCTTACTCTGTCCCCAGCCTGAATCCCACTGAAAGCTGCAGAGCGAGACTGGAGAGTCCAGCGGATCAAGCAGATCCCAATAGCTGACAGACAAGAGTAGAAATAGTTTGGGGCAGAACCGTTGGTCCGTGCAATTTCCCAAAGAATTCAGCACGTTCATCTCTGTCAAATAACCCCAAATACTTTTCGTTTCCAGGAACTTGTCTTCACTTTTTTTTTTGACCCTTGAAAGTTCTTGTTCCAACAGCTGCCACGCCATGAGCAAGTTTGTAACCACACACCCAATCATCCTTATAACTCATTAAACGTAATTTAGGACACTGCTGTGCGCAATTGGCTGCCACGTTGCACCCACAAAATATGCAGTCAATCCACTTTACAGTATATTCTGTGAAGAGTTTTGAGACGTCAATGACGTGATAATATTTACACCTGATACAGCACCTTATTAATTTCTCTTGGACTTTGTTTGATAATAGCACCTCATCATCCTTCTGACTCTTTGAGGCGAGAGTGCTACCGACTGACCCGGGCGTCGTGACACCCGATAAGACCAGACTTAAGGAGCAGGTTTGTAAATACCCCCTTTCCCGCTGTGGAACACCACGCGGTGGGAGTTGGTGAAATCTTCTGATCGCTTTTATTCCGTATTTAACATATATTAATAATTAACGCGAATCCTTCTCGCTGTTGGTCTGCAGTGCGACAAGTCTGTGCAAACCACGTGGTGCTGGGAATGTTCTCGGGCTCAAACCCGCCGAGGGGACATGCGGGCGTTTCATCCCGCCCGCTTAATGTGCAGCGGGAATTTCCGGATGGTCTCTTCCACCTCCTCTCTGACGGAGCGCGTCCACTCCAGGAGTTCGGACTCCAATTCCCTGGCGTTTCTCAGGATGCGCTCCTGCCTCGCGCTCAGCTCCGCCAGCAGCTGGAGGTTCCGGTGCATTCTCCGGACGCCGGGACCCGCTCCGTCCGGGAGCGGGCGTTCCGGCTTCGGCGCTGCCGCTTTCCCGCGACCGTGCATGTACTCGGCAAACTCCTCATGCGTCAGGTTGAGGGAGGGACCGTCCAGCTTCTCGATGAAAGCCACAGCGCAGCACTGAGAGAGAGAGAGAATTATTAATAATAATCCTTGCATTTAATGCAGCGTCTTATCTCGTCAGCGCGACGTCTCAAAGCGCTTCGCTGATGTCAAGTGGATCGACTATTTTGTGGGCAAAACGTGGCAGCCGATTGCCCACAACAGTGTCCCACAAACAGCGGTGGACTGAGTGACCAAATTATTATTATTTACTCTGGGAGCCTCCCCAGTAACAGGGTCTAGAGTTTGCTCCTCCGCCCGATGTCCCGCTGGCCCAGGACTCACCAGGTTGGTGAAGTAATAACCGGCCTCGCCCGTCATCAGCCGTTTGGGGTGGCAGAAGCGGACGATGTACTGGATGTTCGACTGGAGCCGGGGAGGGTTGGCCTTCAGCACCACGTAGATCAGGCTGGACAGGAAGTCGTCGGCCGCGGCCGGCTCCTGGCTGGAGACTCGGAGGCCGGAGAAGATGTGTCGGCTGCAGCGGGAGACGCAGGCCAGCTTGTCCTGAGGCGCTCGCTTGGCGTCCACCTCGATGATCGCTGTGGCGGAGAGACGTCGACGCGACATTAGCCTCGCGGGCGCGGAAACGCGGTGAGAGCGCGACAGCGCAGGCGTCCGGAACATCTCAACCCCAGAGATAACAAGTCACACTCCCACGTTAATAATATTAATAATAATAATCCTGGCACTTGACGTAGAACCTTATCACGTCGTTGAGGCGCCTTAAAGCGCTTTGCGGGATACACTGCAAAGTGAATTGACTGATTTAGTGGGCGAAATGCGGCAGCCAATTGCGCACAGCAGCGTCTCACAAACAGTCGTGGTGTAGTGACCAATTTTTGGGGGGAAGGGGTAATATTACCCCAGGAAAACAATCTGCTTAACAACTGGATTCCTACTTACTGCTGGGTAAACAGGCTTGTGGAAAGGAAACTTGCCTAAGGTTTCGCCCTGGCCAGGAATCGAACCCGGGTCCTCTTGCCTACGAGGTGTGTGCTCTAACCACTGGGCTCCCGCCCCGCCCCAGCGAATACACCAACCTGTGATGGCGGAGTCCAGGTGTTCGGTTACCTCCGACCTCTCGGTGAGGGGCACCTGGAGTAGCTGAAGCGTCACCCAGTGGAGGCTCCTAGAAGGTCGGAGAGGGAGAGGGTCAGAGAAGCACAGGAAAAGGAAGAGGCCTTTCAGCCCCTCGAGCCTGTTCCGCCATTCAATCAGATCATGGCTGATCTGTACCTCAACTCCATTTACCCGCCTTTGCCCCGTATCCCTTGCTCCCCTGACCTGACAGATATCTGTCCACGTCAGGGAGCTCCAAAGCTTCGGGGTGTAATGGCTGAAAGCTCGGCCGCCAATGGTGGAGCGGAGGGGACGAGGGAGAAGCAGGAGGCCGGAGCCCGTCAGGTTGTACTGTAAAGCGCATCGAGACTGTGTGTTATGTGGGTTCTGGGAGAGGGGGGGCGGTGGTTGTGGTGGGGGCTGGGGGAGGGGGGTAAGAAAAGGTGTTGTTGCTTTCTGTAATGCGACGGGGAATGCGAGCTGACCGGATGCGACGCTGCAGCACCAGGTCCTGCTGCTCGTCCTCGGAGTCATCCGGGCAGAACACACTGCAGTAAAGCCTCGTCATGATAAACTTCTCCACGTTGTCCATCATCCTCTCCGTGTGCTCCAGAGACTGGCCTGCGGAGGGGGCAGTGTAAATAATAATCATCCTTACATTTGATAGAGTGGCTCATCACCTCCCGGCCCCAAGGACCCCTCCCTCCCTCTCTCCCTCCCTCTCTCACCCACCCACCCACCCCACCCTCACAGCCTCTGCTCACGGTTCCTCACCGGTAAAGTGGCTGGTGATGTTCTGGTAGAAATCCTGCACCAGGTCAGACTGAGCCTGAACACGGAGATCCTGTAACCAAGAGAGAGACCATCACCAACAGCCGAGGCACCGATCCCAACCCAACCCTACCCTACATCCCACCCCCCCCCCCCACCCCCATCCCCCACACCCCCAGGGAGAGGGGAAGTCTCACCGCCGTTGCCTGTAGTCGGTGGATGAAGTGGAGGCAGCGCTTCTGGACGATTTGCTCGGACGGTTTCCGTAGCGACTTGAGAAACTCATTGAAATCCCCGGGCCTGATGGAGGCGGAGGTGTGAGCGCCGGGCGTGGCCGGCTCCAGATTCCCTGCGGAGAGAGAGAGAAAACAAATGGGAAGAGGGGATTTTTAATCAAAAGCACATGCAACGACAACGACAACTCGGGGACAGAGTCAACCCGGGAGGGAGGATGGCTACCCGGGTCGGACCGCGGGCGTCGGTTCCCGCGGAACGTTCCCAGATGTTCCGCACCTCGTTTGGATCCGATCTTGGAGGCGAAGAGTTTCCTGACGGTGCTGACTCTCCGGCCCTTCTCGCTGCTCTTCTTCTCCTCGAACTTAGAGAAGGTGATGCCCGACACAGCCCCGGACTCCGGCCTGAAACACAAGGAGAAGCTGCTCGACGACGACAACAACGACGACAACTACTTGTGTTTACACAGCGGCCCTTCACGCGGGGCCGAGTCCCCCGAGCGCTTGCTCAGTCACGGACTCACCACGGACCCCGCCCCAGCATCACAACGCAGCTAACGCTTTGCAGTGTATCCCCGTGAAGCGCTTTGAGACGGCTCGACGATGTGATGAGGCGCCGTGTCAAATGCCAGGCTTATTATTACACTCGCACAACACAGCACCTTTCCCACATGGTGGGGTGGGGGGGGGGGCTTTTCGAAGTGTGGTCACTGGGGAATTTCTGGGCAGCGAGTCACAAATTCCTCCCAGACTTCTCCTATGTTACACTGAGGGGAAGTGCTACATCGAGGCACTCAGGGGTTCCCCTGCATTTTGACTACCTTAAATACACACAGAGCAGGAGAGGAGCTGGGGGGGTGGTGGGGGGGGGTGGGGAGAGGCCGTGAAGCTTCCAGACTGGGTAACGGGTAAACCGGTAGAGCAATTCCTGGCCGCAGGTCAAAGACAGAGAGGGTAGGAGTCGTTCGATGGGATGATACCCGGGTGTGAGGGAACTCAAGGGGAGGTCATTGTATTGTAGCTTTGTTCTTTTAAAAGCGTTCTGGGACGCTATCCTGTGTGTGTGGGGGGGGCCATATAAATGCAAGTTGTAGTTGGTGTTGGTGGACAGCCGGGTGTCTAGACACGTGCGGAAACCCCGCATCACTTAAGTGCTTAAGAGTCTCCAAACCAAACTGAGTTCCGCGTACGCACCCCACACCCACACGTGGAAATTTCCCTGGGTCGGTCGGGAATAGAACGGGCGCCCCCTCTCCCCGGAGGGAGTTGGCTGAGGGAGTTGCAGCGACCTACAAACAGCCGCGGGTCGAGTGACCAAACTATGAAGGTTTTTTTTGAATTGCTAAAAAGAAACCGCGGCCTTCAGTTGGGAAGTCAGCGCAGAATGTGGAAGTCGGTCTGGTCCTGAGGGTTAGGACTGGAGTTCACAGTGGCTTTTGAGGCTGGAAAGAGAGTCTTTCCAACTATTGGGTGGGTGGGTTGGGGGGTGGGTGGGGGGGGGAACTTTGCAGGGAATTTAGCCTCCATTTTAATTTATTAACAAACCAAAAAAAAGGACAGAAATATAAAGTCGGCACAAGTCTCGCTCGGAGAAAATGGCCTCCCTCTGGGTCTGCTGCACTGCGGTCAGAGAGCGGATAAACGGACGGAGTTGTGAAATATTTCCAGCGAAGTCGGCAGGAAATTGCAACACGACACCCCATCACCCCCCACCCCCCCCCCCCCCCCCCCCCCCACCCCCACACACAAGCAAAGCACTCACGCAGACACATCACCCCATCACCCCCCCCCCCCACACAAGCAAAGCACTCACGCAGACACATCACCCCATCACCCCCCACCGCCCGCCCATTATACACCCGCTTTGCTCTATGTGTGACCAACAACGCTGATTCCCTGGGAGGGAAGGCACCAGGTCACGCTCCTAAACCCAACCCTCCCCCACCCCCCGCACCCTACCCCCGCCGCCCCTCCCCGCACAGGTACGTACTCTCGGCTCAGCTCCGGCCTGGGTTGCTGTCTCGGGCTGCGTTCTCTCCAGCACTTGGAGCAGTATCCCTGCCAGGCCAGGTTCCCATAGTAACCGCAGCCATCCTTACACAGCAGCTCGGAGCGGTCCACGTGGATCCCTCGCAGGCCCACCTTCACACTCATCCTGAGGAGACAACAGCAACACCACCACCACCACATTACACGGCGCTTTTCACGTGGGGAGGACGTCCCAAAGCGCTGGACAGTCCGGGATTTGGACCCGAGCTGGGGCTCGGGATCAGGAGGTGGGGTGGAGGGCAGGGAGGGTGGGGGGTCGGAGGGTGACAGACGGCGCGGTCGGAGAGGAGGGTCTTGAGACGGGTCTTGACGGTAGCGAGGGAGGGAGGGAGGGAGGCGAAGGGACTGTAGGATGGATTTCAAGAGGGTGGGGGCAAAGAGGCCAGACACACACAGACGAACACACACACACACACACAGACACGGTTGTCAGGATCATTGTTGTTATAATAGTTCAGCAACGTTTGCGTATTGATATACATCTCAAAGCATTTCACAGGGAGGCCTGGCAAGCACGGCCAGTGCAAAGACGACGACGACGACAACTTGGTTTAAGTTGGGGCCCTTCGCAGAGCAGTGTCTCGGAGCGCTTAAAACAGACAATTTGCACACGGCAAGGTCACACACACACGCACACACACACAAACAGCCACAGAGTGAAATGACCGGTTAATCTCGAGGAATTGCATTCTCTTTTCAAATAGGGTCACGGGACGGTGGTAAACATCCACCTGAACAAACACGCGCAGCACCTCTTGGGTAAAGATCTCTCGGCCAAAGGTTGTCATCTCTGACAGCACAGCCCGGCTCCCTGGACCGCCACAGGCTACGCCGAGGCTACAGCCCCCCCCCCATTTGTACAATAATCCCTGCGTTTGAGACAAGAGCCTTGTCACGTCTTCGCCACGTCTCAAAGCGCCCCGCGGGACACGCCGGAAAGTGAATGGGACCCGTACGTCTCGCGCGTGGGCCAAACGCGGCAGCCGATCGCGCCCCTCGGCGACCTGCGACACTCGGGGGAGGGCGAGCGACCACGTTATGATCATTTCACCGATTAATTATTATTATTTCCTGAGCCAGAGTCGCGGGCAATGGAGAGCAACTGAACCCAGAGCTAAATATCACAAACATCTGCTCCCTTTCCCCCCCCAAAAAAAAAAGAAAAATAGGTCCATTCAAACTACTCAAACCATCCCTAACCCCAGAATCTCTTGAGCATCATTCCCCTCTTAATCTGATTACCACTGTACACCAAACCACCCCAATATATATATAAAAAATATATATATTACCTGAATTCTCTCTCTCTCTCTCTCTCTCTCTGGGCTGTGATCTCTGGTTCTGTGATACTCACCCGGAACCACACACAACACACAGTGAAGGTGTAAACTTCAGGGACTAACTTTAACAGCGATCAGTTGGTTTCACTTTCTGCCCCAATTCCCTTCTGATCTGTCAACTCCGGAGATGGTTAAGAGGGGACTGGAGGGGAGAGAGAGAGAGAGAGAGAGATCACAGTGTGTGTGTTGGAGAGAGAGAGATGTGTTCCAGTTCTTTAAAACATATGACACACACAAGTGGGATGTTGCTGAGTGTACTCCAACCACCAAATACTTGTCCTTTAAACAGGGGCAGAGGGTGTGGGGGGGCAGTGAGCTTCCACCCTGTCTGTAATTGGGAGAATTGGGCAATAATGACATTATGGGACTATAGAAAAAGCCCTTTTCTGTTCTCTGTTGGTTGGTCTCTGTCTGTCTGTGTCCTCACCCAAACCTCACATTGCACTCCAATAACTGCTCTCCTGCACAGTTCCTTGTGTTGGTTTCATGTCCATTTCAGGGTAGTTCAACTAATGAGACTTTTAATTCGACTTTCAAGTCACACAGGCATTTGCAGCCCAAATTTGGGCATACAACACACACACACATATATAATATATATATATATGTGGTGAACTCTCCACAGTTCCGGATGCTGGCCGTTATTCGTGGAGTCCTGTAGCTCAGTGGTTAGAGCGCTCGTCTCGCAAGCGAGAGGACCTGGATTTGATCCCCGGGTTTGGCGACACGTTGGGTAAGTTTCCGAACGCCGGACGCCTCTGGTTACCCGGCAGTGAGTAGGAACTCGGTTGTTGGTCGATTGGCGGATCGCTTTTTTTCCTTCAAAGACACAACAACAATAAATGGGTCACTTCAAACCCACGACTGTTTGTGGGGACGCTGCTGTGCGCAATTGGCTGCCGCGTTTGGCCCACGACGCAGCACTTCTGTGAAGCACTTCGAGACGTCTCAAAGACGTGATAAGGCGCTATATCAAATGCAAGGATTATTATTATTAGAAATTTGGATGACATGGTTTTAACTTAACTTTTAATATATAATCCTGGCCGGGGGGGAAGGGGGTGGGGGGTGGGGGAGGTCGAGCATCAGAGCTGAGCCCGATCCTGTCCAGTGTTTACACTTTCCGGATATTGATCAGGAACCAGGAATGATTTTGTTCCCCAAATCCTGGGAGGCTGAGGTTGGTTGTTGATGCTGTCATTTTCCGGCCATTAATTAACCAGCGGTGACTGGGGCAGAAACCTCCTGGTCTGACTGTCATGACCCTCAGCCATTTGAGGGAGCGTTTAAATACAATGTTAATTACGTTAACTCTCTCTAAATGTTCGCTGCTCCAAGGTGGGGCTGTTTAAATGCTGGTGGGTTGTGCTGTTAGCAGGACTTTCCTGTCAGTCTGTTTGAAGGCTATGCTCTCGTTTGTGGGTCAGTGGGTTATAGGTTGAAGCTTGGCTGAAACTTTGTGAATCAACAGCCCTCTCTCCCCACCGATACTGACAGTTCAAGTAAAGCGGGATAATTGCCTGGAAGTTTGATCCTCAAACTTGCCACAAGAGTTCACATTTATATAGTCGTGGTTAGCCCTCGCCTCGCGAAGCGAGAGGACCCGGGTCTGATTCCCAGGCGGGGTGAAACCTTAGAGGAATTTCCTCACTCCGCGCACACACACACACACACACACACACAGCTCTGAGGGAGTAAAGCAATGGGTGGAGAATAAACACCGTCACAGACTGGTTGGGGCAAAGTGGCCCGTTTCCCTGCTGTACGTTCTTTGTGAACCTCCGTGATTGACCGACCCTCTCGACAGACCCTCCCTGGACTTACCCGTGTCCCTTGGCTATGGCTGGGAATGTACGTCAGTTACACAGTTACCAAGTTAAGTCGGTTCCAGAACCTGAGGAATCCCCTCACCATTCATGACGTCACACGAGGGGAAGCCCTCATGATATCACAGCGCCTCGACACTCCCCCTTCTTCCATCAACAACAACAACAACAGCCTCGGGGCTGAGAGGCTGAAGGCCACCGATGGTAGGGCGGTTGGGGCGGGGGATGTGGAGCAGACCGGAGCCAGAGGAACGGAGGGTACGGGCAGGTAAGTAGGGGGGTAGTAGGTCGGAGAGAGCCACGAATGGCTTTGTAGGTGAGGATGAGGATTTTGAATTCGATCCTCTGGGGGATGGGGAGCCAGTGGAGGCGAGCGAAGGCGAGGGTGGGAGTGATGTGATCGCGTAGAACGAGATAAGACTGTACCTGTATCTAAAAAAAGAGTCCTTTGCAGGTGGTTGAGGAGACATACTTCTTGCATTTGATACAGCGACTGATCAGGTTGTCAGAATGTCTCTAAATGCTTTGCAGGATTTACTGTCAAGTGCAGTGACTGTGCATTTTGAGTTTGTATGGAGCAGAGGTGTAAATCCTCAGCTTTGTTTTGTTGGAGACAAGAAGAAGGAACAGCGCTGAATCCCAGGGTAGAGCCTGAATAGACACCAAAAATACCAGCAACTGGGTAATGTCCCCAGGGTCAGCCCAGCGCAGTATCTTGCACTCTTACCTCTGAGTCAAAAGGTTGTGGGTTCAAGCCCCCACATCGGGACTTTGAGCTCACAGTCTAGGCTGACACTCCAATGCAGTACTGGGGGTGGGTGGGGGTTGTGTTGTCAGCGGTGCCGTCCTTCGGATGAGATGTTAAATCAGGTGGATGTTAAAGATCCCGCGGCGCTATTCAAAAAGAGAAGGAAGATTCTCTCTCCCGACGTCTTGGCCAACAATCCCCCAAATAAAATTGGCCGCTCACTCCTTGGCTGTTTTGGGGACATCGCTGTGCGCAATCGGCTGCGGTGGTTCACCCGCATGATACACAGTCAATCCACTTTGCAGTATATTCCGTGAAGCGCTTTGAGACGTTCCAATTACATGATGAGGCGCTGTGTGTCTAATGAAGGAGCATTATTATTATTATAAATACCGGAGACTTCGCACCCGAAGGTCTGGGAACACCTCGAAAGCAACGAGAAGCGAAAGGGGAAAAAAAAGCCGAACAAGACAACTTTGTGTTTGATTTCCCTGCTAAAAGCCAGGAGAAGTGAATGAACCAAATCAGAAGGGATTGCGTTACCAGGGAGACGGAGAGGAGAGAGGAGAGCAGCTCAGGGAATCTCCGGCAGCTGGGCAGATTTGTAAGGAAAAGACTTCATGAAGCCCGTATCTGTATGTGCGAGCGTCAAGTTTTTCTGGTTCTGTTTTGGACTCTAGACCATCCCTGAGGTCGAGGAAGGTGGCCGGGAGCCGAGCTTTCCGCACGAAAACCCACACAGAGGTGCCTTTGATCGAGGGAAACCGAGAACAGCCAGAGGAAGAGAGATCTCGGGGGTGGGAGAGAAAAAAAGGATTTTTTTTTCTCTCTCTCTCGGCATGAAAGACATTTAAAAAAAAAAGTAAGCGCATTTCTAAACAAACTCTGTCTCTGAATTTTCTAACTTCAATTGAGCGCGAGGTGAAGAGAAAAAGGCTTGATCGAGGCGTGTGTCTCTGAATGGATCCAAACACAAGTCTCCGCTTGTGTTAAAATTGGGATTTAAAGCTGTTTTATCTGCCATCTGTGGGCAGAAAGGAAACGGGTGAGTTCTGTGTTATCTCTCTAATGCTCTGCCTCCATCCCTACCTCTGAACACACACTTCATTTGTTTATTAAAGCAATCTCAGAGGTCCCGTTGCAACATGAAGGGGGCTGTAATTACAGAGTCTTCCTGTTTGTTGTGTTTATTACCTCTTTATTCCCCAACCCCCAATTCCCATATAATCACAACTCATTAAAAATATCAGAATGACATAGTTCAATCTCTCCCTCCCTCTCTATGGAGTCTGACTCCCTATTCCTCCTTCACTCCCCCTGTAATTTTCTCTCCTCTCCTTATTTGCGACCATTTCTTTATAGAAACTTCAATCACTTCTGCACAGAAATCAGGTTCATCAACGTATTTAAGAGCAAACTTAAAATAATAATCCTTGCCTTTGATGGAGCGCCTTATCATGTCGTTGAGGTGTCTCAAAGCGCTTCGCAGAATGTACTGTAAAGTGGAGCGACTGCGTATTTTGTGGGCGAAACGCAGCAGCCAATTGCGCACAGCAGCGTCGCACGGACTTAGAGACATAAAGTACAGCTTCTCAGTTCATTTGTACATTAGCCACACGAGGATGTGAGTTTGGCGCTTGTTGAGATGAGGTGAGCGATGTGAAGAGGGCTTGTGTGGGAAATGGAGCAGTTACACTGGACAGTAGGGGACGCTAGCACATTGCTGGGGCTGAGTCGAGGGACATATGCTCTGTATCTAACTGTGCTCGTCTGTACCTCGGTGTTGATATTGGGAGCAAACTGCAAGAGTGCTGTCATAAAATAAACCCAGTCATAAATTCACAGTCGCGTGAGATCCTTTCAACTCGCGCCTCGTAAAGGTTTCTCACTTCAAAGCAAAAAATGATAAATATAAGGTTAAATTTGCGGTGAGTACTATATAGCTTGTTTTAATAAGAATAATAATAATCCTTGCATTTGATATGGCGTCTTATCAAATGAGGTGTCTCGAAGCGCTCCACAGCATATACTGTAAAGCGAATTGACTGTGTATTTTGTTGACTGCGTAGCTTGTCTTCCCCTTTGGGGAAGAGTTTCCCAGAACCTTCAAGCCAGATGTGTCTGTGATTCATCATCCCCTTTAAGTCCGGAGCTTTTTTTTTGTTTTGGCAAAACATTGGCCGGTTTCGCGGCCTTTATTTCCTTATTAATGGGGAGTTCTGCTTGCCAATAAGATGCACCAATCACCTGCCAGTGTATTGGCACCGAGCCCACGACTGAATGATCGAGACTTTGTTCTGTCCAGAATTAGGCGAGCGGCTGAGATAACCCAATCCCTGCACGACTGCTGCACACACACACACACACACGTGTGTGGAGGCGTCTCTCTCGCATTTCAGCTGCTAAAATAATAATAATAATAATCCTTGCATTTGATACAGCGCCTTATCGTGTCGTTGAGACGTCTCAAAGCGCTTCACACGATAAACTGGAGTGGAGCGACTGTGTATTTTGTGGATGATATGTCACGTTGCAATGACGGAGCACGTTCTCACTCTATTCTTTCTCAACGATGATTCCCACCATCCTGTCCCCTCTTGAGTCGGACGGTTATAATGATAATAATCCTTGCGTTTGCATTTGATATAGCGTCTTAATTTAGACCTCTCAAAGCGCGTCACGTAATATACTGTAAAGTGGAGTGACTGTGTATTTTGTGGGCAAAATGCGGCAGCCAATTTCGCTCAGCAGTGTCCCACAAATAAGACATGGATTCAGTGACCAATTTTTTTTTGCAGGGATTATTATCCCTGGAAAAGCGACCCACCAATCGACCAACAACTGAGTTCCTACTTACCGATAGGTAAACAGAGGCGTGTAGAGAAAGGAAACTTGCCTAAGGTTTCGCCCTGTCCGGGAATCGAACCCAGGTCTTCTCGCTTGCCAGGCGAGCGCGACAGTCACTACACTACAGGTACCAGATATTTTTGGGTAGCGGAATGAATGGACCCGGGATTTGTAGAGATGAGTGTAGAATGTTTGGTGTGGATTGTTGGTTAGGTCACCGGGACAGAGAAGCTCCCATCTCTTGTTGAATGATAAGTGCTGTGAGATCTGTAATGTCCACCTGAACAGGAATGGGCAGGATGGGGAGTGGGAGACAGAGCACGGCTCACAGGAGCCTTATATTTGCTTATCTTAATGATATTGTTTTAAGTGCAAATTGCCGTTAATGAGATTTTTCGTCCCGTATATTACACACGTTTACTGACTGACTGAATCATTTCCTCTGGATTCTTCTGTTCTCACTTCCTGTCCCCTCAACCCAACCTCTTTAATCACAGTGTTTACCTGTTCCGTAATGTCTGCCCTAATTGCAGGGTGTCTGCAAAGTCCTATTACCCCCATGTTTTTTCTACAGTCAACACACAAGAGAAACATGTGGAACATGTTCTCTGGAGCTCCATCCCTTATTCCATCCTTCTTGTTTCCTCTATCACCTCGTTCCAAAGCCCGACTCAACAGTCACTTTCAGTCATCTTCCCTTTCCCGCCTCCAGCTCGTCTCAATGACGTGCTACGTAAGTTATATCGAATGCAAGGATTATTATTATTGATTATTGATTATCCTTCATTCTCCTTCCTTGTCGAGTGAGTGAGTGAGTGAGTGAGTGAGTGATGGCCATCATCTTTGAGAAGCACTTTGGATGAGACGGTTTGTGAAAGATGCTTTAGAGTATAAATTGTAATTAATGAATTACTAATTAATCAGACTGGCTCAACAAACTTGCCAGATGGCTTTAACGTTATCTCTAAATAAATCAAAATTAGTTGGTGGGTGGGTATCTCTTATCAGTGACCAGCAGGACTCTGCCACCCCCATATATTTGCTTGTTTACCGTATTCACAGTGATAACACTGCCTCAAGGCTCATTTACTTCATACATTGCTGGCTGTGATCGTTAACAGTATGTGGCAAATGGAAATAGACAGAGAAGGAGAGAGTGAAGAAACCCAGAGAGTTAAAAGCTGCCGCTTTAAGACATCTCTACAACCTGGTAAAGTGCTATTTCAAATGCAAGGATTATTATTATTATTATTGTGATCGAGTGACAGACAAAGAGTGGGACTGGGAGAGAGATAGTGTGTGAGGCAGATAGTATGGGAACAATGTGTGGATAAGAGAAAGCAAACAGAGACAGACAGACAGATAACACCTCGCAACTATCTTATTACCAGCATAACAACAACAACAGACACAGGGACACCAGATTGCGTGTGAAACTTTTATTTTTCCGACTTGAATACTTTTCGCACATGCAGTTTCACGGAAAGTTTTAACTGAAACCGAAAACAAAACAGGCAGGTATACAGCAACAGCAAATGATATACAGTGTCAAACTGATCCACAGTCCGACGGTAATACAGCAGGTTCTGGAAATAGTTCAAAAAAATACAACTTTTAAAAACAAAGGCAAAAAATATAAAAGTACAAAACTCCATTGTAGACAATGGCAAATATTGATCAATGATCTCCAGTGCTCGTCACAAGTAAACGCAGCGAGTCCCATCCCGTTAATAACTCGCCATTAACCCTTACAGCACCCTCCCAGATGCACATTTTACACACGCCGCAAGCTTCACTGTAAAATTTCTAAATACACTTTGACAATAAAAAAAATGAAGACTGGAGCATGACTTAACTTGGGTAAATCTGTATCTCCGTGTGTTAATTCTTGCTACAGTGAATGAAGAGTTAACTAAACTGGAGTTTCCACGACAAGTAATCGCCTCTCCCTCTGGCTTCACTTTGACTTAAGCTGTGCAGTTAGTCACAGGATGTCCCCCAGTGCTTCTGCTTTCTTACTCCAGCAGTGAACCAGTCTGTGTGGTGATTCACTCCGTTCTCTAAGGCGATCAACAGAGAGAAGCGGAGTGCACTAAGAGCTCAGCAGTGTGTACAGGGTTCTCTTCAGTGCGTTACAAGGTGCCTCGCCCACAAAATACACAGTCACTACGCTTTACGGTACTGTATATCCTGCGAAGCGCTCTGAGAGGTCTCGACGACATGATAAGGCACTTGTATCGAATGCAGGACTGACCTCACGTATCTCGGCTGGATGTCCCTGGGCGATGGAGTGTGTGTGGGCGGTGGTGGTGGGGGGGGAAACAAGTAACGCCTGTTACTAAGAGAGAAGGGGGGGGGGTGTAAGGAATGTGATTTCTCTGCCCCCCCCCCCAAACCCACCAGCACACACCACCCATCCAAAGGAATGGCTGAAGAGAGCACCAAGGGAGCTTGACATCTCCCAGTGAGGTGGTAAGAGACAGACATTTTCATGGACATTGTCTGGTCGAACCTGCAGTGGAAGTTTGGAAAGTTTCACGTTTGCAAAATAGCACAAAAAATACCCTGTTGTTGTTGTTGTTGTTGTTGTTAAACAAAAGCACCTCTAGAGGGACCCCATTGCCATCTCTCTCAATGCCTGAGCCCCTTTTGCACCAAACCGACTCAGCTGGGAGTCAGGACAGGAGTCGGATCCGACATCACATTGTCTTTCAAATAAACAGACAGATTTCAAGAGCAAAAAAGATATATTTTTTTTAAAAAAAACATCTTTGAGACGCCGGGAATTGCCAATGTATATCCCATTATTTACATTGTAATATACAGTAGCAGGAAGGAAAGGTAAATGAACCGATGGAGGAGAGGAGAGAGTGGAAGAGGGGAACAGGTAAAGAAAGGGGAGAATAGACATCTGTGTGTACAGACAAGTCCATCCCTAACACACACACATACATTCCTACACACACACGCCACACAGGACAGAGAGTTAAAAAAANCTGTGACTTGAATTTCTGCACCTCTGAGTAAGTCTCTGTTTCCCCCCCACTCCCCCCCACACTCTTGTGCAGGGATATCTCACAGTTACAGTCCCCCAAAATGTCACCTTATCTCACCCCAGGTCTGATCTTTAGCCTCACAGTTGGTCCCTGTGCTGGGTTGGGCTGTGCTGGTCTGACTGATGGGGAGACCGATAGAGGGGGTGAATATTAGCCCAAACCCAAACCTGGTTTGAAGCCCTGGAACTCACTCCTGCTACAGAATGAGAGAGAAAGAGGGAAGGGAGAGGATGGGAAACGTCCTTTAGGCACAAAGTCTAGACCTTTGTGGCGGATGAATGGATCTCAGATTTGGTCTGGTTGCTCAAAGTGGACGAGATGATGGGACCGTGGAGGCTTCTTCTCAATCCGGAGCAGCGTAGGAGGTAGACACACTGGGCTCTGAATCGTTGGTCAAAGAAGGCGTAGAGGAAGGGGTTGAGACAGCTGTTGACATAAGCCAGGCAGGTAGCGTAGGGGTGTGCTATGTAGATGAATTCATCCACGGAGCAAGAGAACGGGACTATCTCCAACCAGAACAGGGCGTCGATGGTTTTGAGGATGTGGAAGGGAAGCCAGCAGTTGCCAAAGACCAAGACTAGGGTCACTATGATCTTGAGGAGACGCCGTTTTTTCTTCTCTTCCTTCTTGATGTTGTGGAAGTGCCTGGTGACGGTGTTGGCGATGGAGCAGTAGAAGATGGACATGAGGAGGAAGGGTAGGAGGAAGCCCATAGCTGTGGCCGAAAGGCTGAGGCCAGCGATCCAGTAATGCTCCACATCTGTGTCTCCCACCACAGAGAAGTCCATGTCGCAGATGGTACGGTTGTACTTCTCTTGCGTTTGGCGTAGGATGAGGGCTGGCAGGGCTAGGATACCAGCCAGGAGCCAGATCATGCCGAGGGAGAGAATCATGGATTCTCTGGAACGCAGCTTGGTGCTGGACAGCGAGTAGACTATGGCCAAGTAGCGGTCAAAGCTGAGACAGGTCAAGCAGAAGATGCTGGCGTACATGTTGACCATCACAAGATAGCTGCTGACCTTGCAGAGTAAAGACCCAAACGCCCAGTGGTACTCGAGAGCCGCGTACACAGCCCAGAGGGGCAAAGTCACCACAAAGGCCAGGTCAGCCAGAGCCAAGTTGCCTATGTAGATGTCTGCAGAGCGCCTCTTGGTTCTGGATCTCCAGACGGTGCAAATGACCACCCCATTCCCCGACAGGCCGAACACGAAGACCAACATGTAGAGCACAGGCACCACCGCAGAGGAGTGCTTCCAGTCGCTGTAGTCACAGAGGACAGAGCTCTGGTTGTCATCCTCGTAGCTCTCGGTCTCTATCATGTTCTGCTCATCCATCTCTTCCCCCCCCCGGCCTCAGGTTGGCTTTGCAACGCTCCAAGTCAGTGTTACTCCCACTGATGGGTGAATGAGCTTCCAAGTCGCAAACTGGCGATTATTATAGCCTTCGGGTCCGCCCACAGACCCTGTAACAGCCTCCCTACTCCCAACCCAAACCCACCCACCAGCAACTCTTAAAGGCACATCTCCCACCCCCTGGACCCAGTCAATAATACTAGTCCTTAAAGGCACACACACCAAGTCCTCATACCACTCCATAACATCGTCTCTTAAAGACATACCCACAGCCCCTTATACCATTCAAATAATACTGGCCCGTAAAGGGACACTCACCTCTCGGGCTGGTTCATGCCCCCACTGTCTCTCTCCTCTCTGCACCATTTCCTTTATTTATTTTTCTTAAAGTTAAACCACAATTCCCATCGTCTGAGAGCACCGTTCCCCCGATAAGGTCTTCATCAAATGTTTGTGAAATGTAGTGACTGTGGGTTTTGTTAGGCGAACAGGAGAGCCAATTTCCCACAAACAGCCGGGAGGCGAATGGTTAATTGTATTGGGCGAGGTGGCTTCAAATCCTCTCCCCCCACACCCCCCCGCACACGAACACATACACATTAATCACACAGATACACATATCAGTCTACACTAGCACCCCCCCACCCTCCCCCCCAGATCAGTGTCAGACTGAGCGCCTCCCTGCTGTATTAGCCGGACCTGGCCGGCCTGGGACAGTCGCTGACCCTCTCTGCAATCACAGCTCGGGGACAGGAAAGCCCATCGCGAACCAAAATAAAATAACACATTACCTGTTTCCAGGGTTAAATGACTCCATTGTCTGAGCAAAGTCAATGGGGCACAGTCCAGAGAGACTGTGAGACAGAGAATGACTGGACCCGGAGGGTTTGTAACACACACACGTGGAACCCGGGTTGACAGCACAGGCCTGGGGTCGGGATCTTCTTTTAAGCAGGAGCTTGTGTTATAGTTACAAAGGCTCGCCGATGGCTTGGCTCAGTTGCTGAGGTGTTAGTGCCGCAGCTTTAAGTTATTTGGGATTGGGGGGTGGGGGGGGGGGGATGAGGTGAGGGGCCATACAAATTCCACTCGCACTCTTCATCTATCTGTCCTGGCCCAGGACAGGGGTCAACTTGCAAATTAAAAGGAAATTCTAGTTCTAAACAACTTTTTACAGCACGGTTCACATCGACACACGTTCAGCCAATAAACTGTTCTTTCTCTCTTCTCAGCACTGAGTAAGCCACCCACCCCTTTCATGTGTAAATGGCTTGAGACACTCAAACATATTAGGTTTTCCCTTTATTCGAGGGGGGAGGAGAGGGGGGTGGGGGTGCAGGGAGTCATTCCACTCAGCTCCTGTTAACCCTGCAAGCCAAAGCCCTAACGGGTAGGATGGTCCGAGCTGGACGAGCAGCGGGCAAGGTTGGCAGGCAACGATATCAATGGCTAGCTATGCGGGCTTTAGCTGGTTAGACTCCAGCCGTTGCCCCCCCCCCCCCCAACTCACACTCTGGGCTCCCCTAAATCTTTGTTCTTGCCAACCAGCGCCTAATATTTTCCGGAATTAGATAAATAGGATGCATTCCTCCAGGGAGAGAGAGAGTGCGCATACCAATCCAACAATCCTGTCGCTCCTGGACTAGTTGTAAGCTGCGCAAAGCTCCTCCTGTTTATTACACAGAGACAGGAAACTGTTTCCATTTCTGTCCCGAGGTGGGATTTTTTCTACATTAAAAAAAATTAATTAAACATCTCTCTGGAGAGATTCCTTGCAGAAGAAAAACAGCTTTCAAAGTTTTCGCTGAAGTGTCGATTTCTATTTTTTGCATCTTTATCAGAGCCAAAAAAAGTGAGGGGAGAGAGACACAGACACAGAGAGGGGGGGAAGAGACAGAGAGAGTGAGAAAGACAGACAGACAGACAGACGGGGGGGGGGGGGGGGAGAGACAGAGAGAGTGAGAAAGACAAACAGACAGAGGGGGGAAGAGAGTCACAGAGAGAGAAAGTCAGAGGGCTCAAATGTCTGCATTTCCTTTATTTTACATTTAAAATTAAATGATCATTTTTACTTTAAATAAAAACAATACTTGTCATTTCATTTGTGGGTAGCGTGCTGAATTATTAGCAATAACTGAATTGACTTAGATAAGAAGAAGACACTCCAATTAAATATAGTGGGGGAAAATAGCAATTAAATGTGCAATTAATTAAACTGGGGAGAAATGTAGATTTCATTGCATGAATTCTAATTTAGTTGGGGTTGAACGCTGGATTATAGCAAATTTAACACTCTTGAATCTTTGAAATCGCTGTACTTTGTGACAAGTTCATGTTTTTTTGGGGGGGGAAATTTGGGGCGAAAATCAGTTTCTATTTCTTTTTGTCAGCGCCTTGGGACGTCCTCCTGACGTGAAAGGCGCTTTATAAATGGAATCTTGTTGTTGTTGTTGTTGTCCCGTAAACCAGTCAGTTTGAGTCTCTAACTGGTGTTTGAGAGGTGAAATTGCTGTGATCTTGTGAATATCAAACCGCCGAGAGATAATAACCTTATCGACCTTATTGATTTACTCCTGTGTCCATTTCCATTAGAATTCAACCCATTTGACTTCAGGTGATCGCGGTCTTTATTCCTTTGGTCTGAAAGAATAGCATTTGCAAATGGTGTTGATTTCAATTGAAGGACAGACAGACACACACACACACACAGACCCCCACACACAAGACACGTACACTCTGTCGTGTATCATTTGCAAATCATGTTGGATTCAGTTAAAACACACACACAGTCACACACACACACAGGCACACACACACAGACACACACATAACATGGAGGGTCACAAAGGAACATTGTAAAAGCACCATTTGTGTGCAAAAATAAAGACTCAATACTTCCGGACAAGAAGGGCAGATGGTGTATGATGTGGAGGAGAGGGGGGGAGAGGGGTGGGGGGGGAGTTGGGTCGGTGTTGACGGCGCAGTGGTTAAAGTGCTGGAATGTGTTTGATGGGGATTTAACCACCAGATGTTATTGACAGCGGCCAATTGGTTTAACAGGGAGTTGGGTATCCGCTGATGGTTTGTGTCACTGTCAGACAGCCTGGCATTTGGTATAGGTGGAGTGGGGAAAGAGAGAGAGAGAAGGGGGGTCATTAACCCTTCCAGTGCTAATGGCATATAATAATAATAATAATACAGAATATACTGTCAAGTGAATTGACTGTATGTTTTGCGGGTGTAACGCGGCAGTCAGTTGTGCACGGCAGCGTCCCCACAAACAGCCGGGGATTGAGTGGCCCAATTGGAAAAGCGATCCGCAAATCGACTAACAACCGGGTTCCTGCCGGTAAACAGAGGCGCGTGGAGTGAGGAAACCTGCCTAAGGTTCCCCCCCCCCGCCGTCGCCGTCGCCCGGCCGGGAATCAAACCCAGGTCCTCTCGCTTGTGAGGCGAGTGCTCTAACCACTACACTACAGGACTCCACACCACACACACATATATATATATAAAATTTGTTTCTGATCCCATCTCCGAGCCCCTTCCCTGCCTCGCACCTGCCCCTCCCCCAGGGAATGGGAGTGGTGATTGGTGCCCCCCCTCTGGGTAGTAAGATCTCTGTTAGTTGTTTAGCTGCTCGTTAAAATAACATTAAGGTCTCACATAATGTGAGCTTCCACTGGGACCAGATTTAAAGAGAGATCACACGAGTAAACCTCAAATGCAACTCTCTTTGATGTACTGTTGCCCTTTTCACCAAGCAATAGAATTGAATAAGGATTTTTTTTCACAATAATAATAATAATCCTTGCTATCGATACAGCGCCTTATCGCGGGACTGAGACGTCACAAAGGGCTTCACAGAATATATTGTTAAAAAGTGAATTGACTCTGGACTTTGTGGGTGAAACGCGGCAGCCAATTGCGCACAGCAGTGTCCCACAATCAGTTGTGGATTGAGTGATCAAATTATTATGTTTTTCTTTTGAAGGGATTATCCACCAATCGACAAACAACTGGGTTCCTATTCACTGCTCGGTACACAGAGGCGTGTGGGGGACGGAAACTTCCCCAAAGTTTGCCCTGCCCGGGAATTGAACCTGGGTCCTCTCGCTTGCGAGGTGAGTGCTGGAACCGCTACTTTACAGGACTCCACGAGTGAATGATTCCCTGTGTAAGATCTCATCTTTAGGAGAGAAAGGGAGAAAACCAGGAGAAAATATAACTTACTGATTTGGATTCAACAGAAGATTTATTGAGACGTCAGTGAGTTAGCCTTGTCTGTCACCAAGACAATCTGCTGATAGGTTTAGTGTCTGTGTCCAGTGTTTGTTGATTTTATACCACTGAAAGCATTCTCTTTTATCACCCAAACTCTGACAGCATTTGGGCTCCTTGGGGGAAAGTTATCGATATTTGCTTAAAATTGTCCTGGTGAATAAACATTCCTTTCCCAAGCACAGCTCCTAACATAGTGACCTCGATGTGAAAACCGGTCAATTCCTCCCAAAAAAAACTCATCAACAGCCAACTTATTGCTAGACAACTTGTGTGTCAGCTTGGCTCAGTGGTAGTAGCACTCTCGCCTCTGAATCAGGAGGTTGTGGGTTCAAGCCCTACATCGAGACGTAGAATCACACAGTTTAAACTGCCGGTCCAATGCATTTCTGAGGGGTGTGTTGCATTGCCAGAGGTGCTGTTTGCCTGATCAGTTGGATGTTAAAGATTCCCATGGCACTATTCGTAAAGAGAAGGGAGTTTCTCTCCCTTGGCCGGCAATCCCCCAAATAAAATTGGTCGCTCGCTCCACGGTTGTCTGCGGGGACGCTGCTGCGTGCAACTGGCTGCCGCGTTTCGCCCACAAAATACACAGTCACTCTACCTTACAGCGTATCCCGTGAAGCCCTTTGAAACTTCTCGACGACGTGAAGATCCGATATCAAATGCAAGGAATGTTTATGATTTATTTATTGCGGTCGGGGTGGGTGTAATTTACCTACGAGGCTATCGGGAGAGCTAAGTTTTGAGGTGAAATCTTCAAGCCACACTGTGATGTGAAACAACACGACAGGACAATAGGGGTCGACAAACAGTAGGGATTCTCCTCTAAACATCCTCTGTCCCTATTACAAAGGCTTCTTCTCCCAGCAGGGATCTGTACACAGCATCTCCATTTCCTTTCTAACCCACCCGTGCTGAGTAATCACATCAAATCTTCCATATGTTTCAGCCCCATTTTCCCCCCACCCACCCACCCTCCCCCTCCCCAGGTTAGCGCT